TCTTGACTAATGTTGCTGTTACCGATATTCTTCTTACGCTAAGTATGATTTATATCATCATGAGTACATCTGGTATTCTATCTGTAAGTACAATGCCTTTGGTTCATATCATTTTATGTAAGGTAAGCCACTTTTTAACTTGGTATGCGATCACTGTAATAGCTTGGACAAATGTTGCTATTGCCCACTATCGTTTTATTCGCATGCTAAGTCCACTGTGGCGACGACGAGCAACAAAGTTACATACAAAACGCAGGATGATGATCATTTGGATCGTAGCTCTGTTCATAATGATAGTGCGACTTTACGGTTATATTGTTGGGTATCGCTCCCAAAAACGCCCGGCGACGACTTTAGTATATACATCTTCACTAAGTAATCCTACTAATTTTTCAACAAACAGTCCGTACTATTCTCATAACGGAAGTTATTATAATACTACTACTAACATTACTACTGACGACGATATAATACCAACGATATACTTATCAACTGTTGCAACAAACGCTATTGAAACTCATGTCCAAGTAACTTTGTGCAATTGCCTTCAATTTACCCTGCCATTAGAATATTACGTGGCTAAATATCTAACTATAGTTTCAATTACTCTATCTTATTGCCTCCCGTTCGCTATTACTTTGGTCATTTATGTCATCCTTGGTTATCGGTTATGGATTATTTTTACTGGACGACGAAAAGGATTAAAACCACGCATTATACAAAATTTAGCCCGGTATCGTAAAAATACTATAACTTTCGCCTTTCTATTCGTTATTGTAGGTATCTTGTGCGTTTTGCCTTTAGCTATGTACGAATTGTGGCCATCGATTCTAAGGCCGGCTGACAATATCATTTTTCTTAATATAGCTACTACATCTGTTGTTGCATATCCTTTAATTAATTCCTTACTCATTATCTGTATAACAAATCACAGCCTGGATTATCTACTGGTAGCTTGCGGTTGCACCCGATTTAGTCATCACTCTATAACTAATCCATCTTTAGCTACATCAAGGCAAAACTTAAAATCCAATTACAACATATCATTACGGAGTATAACTGCCACAGCATAGCTATATCTATAACAGAATTAATATTTTAATTTGACTCAGTTATTATCGAACTGACACAGTAAAATTCATATTAAAATGTTGTATGTGTTCATTTATTAATACCGAAGATAATCGTATTTTTTCACTTTTACGGATAGACAAAAAACCGTGATATGGTTAGATTGTAGCTATTATAGCAACCACAAAATGATTACGGTAGCCAAATTGTTTTAATACCAGAAAGGTTGAAATAGATTCAATCAATTGTGTAGCTATTACTTTGAATAATTCTACGAGGAATGGAACAGTTATACTCTGATTGTAGCTAACAAACTGTGCTAAACTAAAACGATACTATGATGTTGGTGATTAGTAAACTATTATCACATAACTGATCACAACTTCAAATGACTTCCTGAGCGAGAAAAGTCACCTCTTGACTTTATTTAATATTTAGAAGGATGATCTACAAAGGAATTTCGATATCAAAGACTAGAAAAGTTTACTTTCACTAATATAACGCTTTGCTTAGCTTTCTGAGAAACAAAAATGATCACGTTTGGATACGTTTTGCGAATAATAATAGAGTATGAATATTTTTTTAATGTTGAATAGGTTTGAATAAATTATACAAGCAATAAAATTAATCACCCTTGTCTGTAGGTAGCAAAGATTCATAAGCTACAACACTATTTGGATGTCAAATGGATACGAATAACCTAATATATTGCTTGGACTACCTTTATTGCCGTTATATAATTAATCTATGGCAAGGAGTACTTGGTGCAGATTGTTTTAATGTTAAAATAAATTTGAATTTTAAGTGATTGCATGTTGACTAAATGTGATGTATATCCATGTAAAGTAAATAACAATAAACTATAAAATGGTTTTAATAGGTTAAAAAATTTTAATAGCACAAGTACGGTAGTCATTGATTTAAATAACTTTATAGGTGGCAATAGTTGCAACGTCTTGACTACAAGCGAAAATCTTGATACACAAAAAGTATAGATTCAAAAAGTTGGAAAGGCTAATAATCGTATTAGTAATCATTACTTTGAAGATTGTGTGAGCAATAAAGGTTGCCACATTTTGCCTATCTATGGTAAATAACGATTTATGCCATAAGTGTTTGAATAGTTTAATGCCAAGAAGATTTCAAGAAAATAAACAATAACTACAATCATATTATGACCATAAATAGCGAACGGATTTCATTGATAACTCTTAATTATAGCCTGAGTAGAGAAGATACTAGATTTCGAAAAGGCAGTTCTTATTACACAGATTCGAATTCTTTATGTACGCATTTAGTAGCACTCGTTAATTACTAAATACCACACACAATCAATACAAAATATAAGAATTCAAAAGTTTATACACTATTTCATAAATTAGATATATTACGGAATTTAAAATTGTTACACGAAAAGATAATTCTTTGATTTGAATATTAATACACATAGCAACTAATATTGCAAACAACAATATAATTCTTTCTAAAGTTGATATGAACTTTCACGAAAATAAATATAAACATATGCGTATACTTTAACATATAAACTTAATCTAGCGTACAATCGAATTATTATGATTATGGATAATGTTAATTACTGTACTGTAGATTGTCTCATTTCAGTCCTACAAGACATAGAAACTAAAGCTACAATAATATTAAGAGGAAGCTATTACTATCATAGTAGTAAATAGTTATTTACGAAAAATGCTTGCAATAATGCGAATTTAGGAGATGGTAAGTACTTTTAATGATGTTGTATCAGTATCTAATATGATAAAAGGCATACTTAAATGTACGCTAAACTATTTAGTAGTATACGAATAAATAAATTGCTTATAGCTTTATTAGCGTCATTGTTACTGATATCTAGTTTATGGCATTACTGAATAATATTGCTAGGCTAAAAAATAACAGGATACAATTCGAACTTGTAGAGAAACGACTATTTTCAATTAAATATTAAAGCAGATAAGTTATTGTTGTATGTTAAATATAGATAAATAGTAGTATGGCTGTTAGGCTTTGGTTATTAGCGTAATAAATGGCTGAATCAATGAACTCAAGCACAAGATACGCCTACTTGGTCATGTTTTATGATTTTAATTTAGTTCTTATTTAAGCTGATAAAGAATTCAATCTTGACTTGAGGTAGTTTATTAAATGGAAAGAGCTTTAGAGCTATTCACATGCTGTGAGGCTTATAGTATTTCAATTGAGAATGTTCAAAGACTTTAAGCAAAGTCTAGTAGAAACTTGCTTCAGTAATAGCACATAATTTTACATGGTACCAAATCGGAATGGCTAGTAAGTTATCATAAATATTTATTTACGGTATTAAAAATTAAATTTCATCTATAGCGATAATGATAAGCTAGTTAGCTTTATCCGAATTGCGGTAATATATGACCTAATTCTAGTACAATCGTATTATCTCGACAATCAGTAATACATCATGGCTTAACAATTTTGGACAATAATTACCCAGATAACTTATGACTCTTGTAAAAGCAGCCATGCTTAATTTTTCAATCAGTCGCCTCACTAAATGACAGTTATTTCTATTGCAATGATGAAAGGACAATACGCCAGCTTTTAAGAAAAGGAATTATTATGTAACTCTTTTTGTACGATCACATAATCCATAAAATGATTAATGGATGATAGGAGAAATAATTAATACGACTAAATTAATATTGTATTTGTGATGCAATTAGGTTGTAGTACGAGTATATTCAGTTAATGCGTGTGGTTGTGTAAAAATTCACTCTATATAATAATGTACGATTTTACATTTCTTTTCATTTATCAGTTAAGCACAAGATAAATTAACTTTAAAATACTTTATTCCTGTTTTTAAAATCACTGTTGGTAAGTCTTTAATCAATATAGTAACGCAATCTAACACATACGAGTAGATCCCTGTAAAGAAGATACCTTCATATTTTACGAGCTCAATCTTATATACCAATTCACTTACAGTTCGTACCCGTACAGTTAGTAACACATACGTATACTAGATATTTAAGCTCATATATATGCGCGGTACTGTACCACATCACCTTAATAATTGCTATCATCTGGTAACTACTGCGCTGTACTATAGCGAAATGAATATTTTAGTAAATACACATAACAACTGTTCAATCTAAATATAATTGATAGGACGACTGTTAATTATTGCACTATTTTCCGTCATATGTTTAATAATGAAGTTCATTTATACAAGATACGATAGATAACTGACATATCCTATATCAAAGAACAATATTTTAATGTCGAAAGCTAAAGATTTATAAACAAAGTTGTTGCATTCTAGTTCTATTTACGTTGAGATGCTACACTCCTAGTTTGCGACATTGTTATGTAATGTTTAAGCCTATATTAAATAGTAGGATAGCAACCGAAAATCAAACAGAAGTTTGTTATTACTCGATCATGATTAATCAATCTATTTGTCCAAAATGAATTATAATTATTAGGAACTCATAGATAGTAATGGAATGATCTTTATAGTTAGCGATAAATCGGTAAAGAAAATTTCTTATAAGTAATGATACAAGGTAGAACGTGTAGTAGAATCAACAATTTTTCATATGGTAATTTTTATTTTTTAATTGATAGCGCGGTATTTATTATCTTCTGTCTTGAAATCGAATTTTTGAATGATTATATCTAATATCATTTCTGATCTTAAATTCATCCCTTTTGTAATATCCAAAAACCAATAATATCCAGAGACAAATTCGCGTGGATTTCAGCTGGACTACTTTAGTAACGTAATAGTAAATTACGCTTAGACACTAAACCAAATAAAATCTTCCCTGTTACTCATAAGACAATGCATGAACAACTAGAAGAGTAACTGCTGTTAAAAGGGTTTTATTTATATTGAAAAAGAATTTGTACAGTGAATAATATTAACAAAATTATTTGCTATAAGCGCGTAAAAACTTTTCAAACAGTCTGCATCGAAAGGTATATCTGAACATTCTAGTCTTATCGATCCTGATTATATATGATGTTGTATTATACATTGAGTTAATTACTTCAATTATTTTATAAGTTAGCACAGAAAGAACCCAATTCAGGGCTATTAATCTGTGCATTAGTATTGCAGTACTGGTTTTTGTATTATTGTTATAGAATACTTTTACATTTTGTAACGCAAAATATTGATACAATAGGCATGTTCAGCCATACTGTAAAGAATCGATATCGATCCTGTCACTATCAATTGCCGATATATAAAATGTGTGCAAATTATAAAATAGTGATTTATAAACCACATATAAATTTAATTATTTTAATATTGTTCCTGGGTGAGTTAATTGAGCATTGAAGGTATCCATTTTGTTTTCCACTTTTCCACCTAAAATATTTGAATTTTCTAGTATCAGGTGTTCTAGTTGCCTACTACATTTTTCTCTAAATGGAACACGACAAAGAGGCATTAGATACTCTATCATTCTCTTTTGCTACTCATCTACGATTATATGCTATCATCATCATAATAAGGATTAACTAACCTTGATTTTAGACCATATTTACCAACTGGGATATTACTAGTCGGTAATTTATTATTTTCCAGTGGAACACTATCGCAAAATAAATCAGTACAATGGATATTGTTATCAAGATCACTTCATTGCTTTAAATTTTTGCTAAGTAACGATATATTCATATTTCAAAAGAGATACTATTTATTTGGCGTAATGTGTGATTTTATTTCGACGTTACAGCTTTTAGCAGCATAAAATAAATATTGAATTAATGATAAGTATTCATAAAAACTGAAATAAACCCAAATTTTCGAAAGCTGATTTGTTAATTTGATAATTAACTAAACCCATTTTATACTAACTTTACTCTATCGTATATCACAAAATAAAATTATTTTTCTGCCTTATATGCATTTGTAGCTTTAGCATTTGTATACCTGAAATCTTCTCTATCTTTCTCAATTTCCTCAAGAATTGGAAATTCTGCTCTTACCATCTCTGGTGTCAGCAATGGAATATCAGTATCTCTCTCTTCCCTGAATCAAATAATTATAGATTGACTTGCATGGGTAAAAATATTTACTAAAGGTATATATGTATCTTAGTCTCCTACGATAAATATGAATAAATTATGAATTGTGCTGAAATCAGTTTAACGTGAGATGCATGCTTACTTATCCTCCAAATATATACGATCATCTTCCGGTAATTCAGTTAATAATGGAGGTCCTTCTTTAGGTAATAGATCGTCATCAAATGGATCAGTCCTAATGTGCAGTTTAAAAGATAAGAGTGACTTAGTCAATGACTTTTCGATACTGGCATGAGGTATAACTATTTTACCATCGTGGCACCCAAACGCTTGAAATAGTGGGCGTAGAATTTAATGCCAGTAGACTCTGACTAGAAAATCTTTTCCATTTCATAATACCTGGAATGACACTCTAGTGCAGATAAAATAAATTATTCAATTAGAACTTATACGTATGCTCTTATACTAATACCAGTTGTAAATAATTGCATGCAGTCCTGTAATTGCTACATTTATTACTAGTAATGATGTCTGGTACTTTCTACAACACTACTATTATTTTCGAATTTTAAATGCTAATCAATTAAGTCCATGAATTGACAATATAGCTTGATATAGGCTGTGACAGATTTTAGAACAGCTTCTGATGCATTTACCTTTCTATCTAAGAAAGGTTTTGCATTTTGGTTGCCAGTTGGGTTCATAGACGTGTGTTGCTTAAATCTTGGTAGCGGACAAAAGTAATAATCTTCATCAATTTCAGAATACTTTAACGGCGGGTAATAAGCTTTTATTCCAGGGTATGGATTCTGGTAAATAGAATAAGCCGAAAAATATATTAGTATAGTAAAGAATTTATGACTTGATTGATATTATTACTTGGAAGATCTAGTTCAATGTACAGTATAAATCTGGGATTAGTAAATACTTACAAAGATGGTCATAGGAGGGTATTCTACTGGCTTGAGAATCCCCATTGGAATTTCAACCATTTGTCGTTCCTCTGCACCTTCTTCGATATCATCAAGATCGTTCGGTTCCTCGTTAATCGTTTTTATTTCAATACCTTTAGTTTCAGGTACTTTTAAATCAGCATCAACTCGGTTAGCTTTATAATCAGCAGAATTTGCACCAACTGCTGGCAAACCAATTAGTTCGTCCTAAAAGTTTGAATTTGGTAATATCATATCGATGTAATTACAATTTAACATACAGCTAGAGCCATATTTTGAAATAGCGGACGACATGGAGCCAGTATTAATTAATTATAAAGGCAAGGGCAGTGACATATTATTGTTGTATTATTATATCACCTCTGCTCCAACACGTAGTGATACAGAAGTATTCGGGGTGATATATCCTTCAAGAGAAGATTGAATGGCATGTGGCTGATAGCCCATAACGCGATATTGCTGTGGCACCTATTTAGGATAAATACGTATGTTTACAAAAGCAATAATTATTACAGAGATGTAAATCTTAGTTAAAGTAGCAAAATAACATGACGAACTTACCTTGAGATCAAAGTACGAAAGTAAATGTTTTGATGTTAGACCGTTTGTGTCTGTTTGCACTTTACCAATTGCATCAGGTTCCTATTACGCGAAAAAAAATAGTAATTGTGGGATATTTCTAATTTCTTCAGGTACGATATCAAAACTTATCCTCAATTCTCTTCATAATAGGTAAACATACCATTTCGTCTTTCACCGAATAGACAGGTATTCGAAATTTTAATACTCGATCAGGCCGTATAGATAGCGGTACTACATCTAAAGATTCGAAACTTCCTTCTTCATCTTTATATAAAATAAAGTCACTTAGCCTCGAAAGCTTGATGTTACCAGTCACTTTTAATTGGAATAATATGAATTCAATATCTATCAAGGTACTATTTTACCTGTCGCAGGCGATATAGGGCGATGATGTCCACGTCGCCAGTTATCGACAAGAACTTGTAATGATTCTAGATGCTTTTGTGCTCTTTCTCTTATAATAATCTGTCGTGTAATGCCAACAATAATGTTACTCATCCAAAGATTTCAGTTAAAAATTATCGATATCGGAATAATTACTTTGTATCAACATGTGCGTTTACAATCAAGTACTGTATACCTTTCGGGCAGCTTGAATAAATCGTTGTAAAACAGAATGTCGTTTCGCCCAATTATCGTTACTGTAAACGTCAAATGATGGCTGACAATTTGGTAGCTAGAATAATACAACGATTCGTTATTTTACGTAGACATTTAGTAATTTTATATGAAATTTGATTGCATTGATTTACGCTAGATTAAGCTGTAACTCTTTAGTAAATTGAGAGAGAACAAGTAGAAATAGTTAATTTTACCTCGTTTGCATTTCTAAATATTCTACGATACGAACAATTTACAGCGTTCCTATTACTTTCATTTAATGTTATGGATTCTTTTCGAAATATCTATTAAAGTAATATGATTTAGTGAGATCAGTAAGAGGATTAGCTCTTAATTCATAGCAAATATTTACTTTGTATGATTCTTCCGAATGCTGTCTGCTTTTTAGAATTACTTCCTGTTGCTCACTTGTCATTTTCTCATCTCCTCGATGTACCATCCTGTGATAATTTTATTAGTTGATCACTTTAGTTTAATGATAAAGTTAGCATCAAATCGTTGTTCGCTATTTCATTCATATATATTTAGTGATCCATCGAATACAAACCAGCGTAGTTGATTTGCTCTTTCTTCCATAACAAATTGACGCACTTGCTGTTCGAAAAATGCCTCCTACAAAGAATATAGATTAATTGGGAATTGAAGCACGTTTACCATATGACGAATAAGCGATTATAATTAACTGGAAGATAACAATATTTTTTATAGTACGTATAGTTAACCTTCAGCTGCCTGTTAGCTTCCGATTTTGAGACTACTTCAACAGCTATATATTGATTTATTGTTGGATATCATACGCGTACGTCGTTTAAAGGTGACAAAAAGAGGGCAAAATAAAGAAAGATTTAGTTAATATGCAGGTATAAGTAATATGTTTTTAGAATCTTGCTTGCTCTATTTAGGCCTGTATAGCATTAATTATATTATTAATAGATAATTAATATATGTTCTGATGGATTTACTTCATATTAATTACTATATTAGTTCAATAGTATCTCACAAAATCGTAAGAATTACTGTAGAGTGTAGATATAATTTCCTTTCCTTCATCAGGTGTGGTAATTGAATTTAGTAAGTTTATTTTCTTTTGCTGTGTGTCTATGATTTCTATTGCAGGTAAGTGTGCTCGTACAACTGTCCACAAACACATCACAATGCACATCGTAATATGCCAGTATGTACCCACTATACAAATTTCTACAGTAACTCTATTTACGCGTATTTTCTATGATCTGTTTTCAACTATTGTAGATATAGTACGGAATCTAGATGAATTAAAAGTTTTGAAGTAAATGCAATATAGGTTACCTTGTTTTAATTCTTTAACATTCATTTTCCCGTCTTTTTGATTTAGGACGCGTGCTACTTCACTAGGACAACTCAAGGTAAGCGGTACCTTCATATCTTCCATGCCCTAAAAATGATGTAGTGACGTTAATTAATGGTTGTAGTTTCCTATAGAATATCTATAACAAAGGTAGTACAGTAAGCTTGTATACGCGTTATACGTACGGGTTTATGCATCATATACACTACAAAATTTGTCAGTATGTTTAGCCTACAACTGTGCATTTATCAAGAAAAAAAATTTAAATGTACGGCTTTATTTAATTTTATTATACAGTATAATATCAGTTTTCGTACGCCTATAATACTAACAGACTAGCAAATTTGATTCAATTACAGTACAATAGTATGGGACGTCTGCTAATAATTTTACATTGAATATGTATTAATTAATATTTAATATAGCCAGTATTTAATAGATTATTTCAATTTCGCTTTCATTGCGAATTTTTAAACCGCAGTAGCTATACTAGATGGTAATACGGTGTGACCGTAAAATCATTTAATTAGAGAAATCTAAATCAAGGATTACTGAACAAGTAATTCATTCATTTTCCGATAATCCTTTAGTAAGTCTATGAATGCGAGTATTATAATTCGAGGGGATGGGCAAACTTTTGAGTAAATCCCGTCTATATATACAACAAATAACCGTGTCGAAACAATCCAATATTTTTATATACCTAATTATAGTAGTTGCATATACGCGTATTTTGTATAACTAAAGTTTTGGTTTTCATTTTTGGCATGCCTGACACTATTTAGTGCTTAGTCTGTCCGGGTAAATTTGTTCATTTTTGCGAATGAGTTGTAATACGTCACTGTGCGTAATTTTTGTGTACATTATATCGCATTCAGTGTATATATATATATAAATATGTATACGGTACGTAGAAGACCAGCAATAGTAAAAGCGGGCTTTTAACTGTAAATAACTGAACAATTTTGGGAATTTTATGAAATAAATTTCGAATGCTGCAGTTATCGAGAAAGACGTACAACAAAAGTGCACTGTACTGTACGTGCTGCATCCTGTACAGTACAGTACATACATTTTTACGTACTGTAAAGTACAGTACTAACAAGGCATTGCATTACAGTACATACTGTACTGTACAGTACTGATACTGAAACGCACTGTACCGTCATGAAATATGCAAAATATCTATCCCATAAGTGAAGGGGTTTGGTGTCCAGTATAATAACGGATGATTTGGCACGGTCGCGCTATCAGTAGGGTGATCCTTACCTGTTGTCTCTTAAATGAGACACAGATTAAGGATACACATGATGATCCGAGAGTATGACTATTCCATGAATTAAAACTCTCGCATAGCAGAGCCGGCGACGACTTTGTTATGGTTGCTGACCATTCTACCCTACTGCTAAGTGTCAATAAAGTAAAAATTATTATGTCACTATTTCTTGAGCAATGCAAGCTTCGAGCGAGTTTTTGTCTACAAATGGCCTCAGTTACTTACTGTACTGTACAGTAGTATACCGAGATTGCTTACTGATTAATTTAACAAGCTTCCAAAAAATATACTGTACTGTAGATACTGTACAGTACGGTATATTGATCGTACCCTGCACGGTACTGCAGAACTGTTATACTGTAAGTACTGTTAGGCATAGTCTGCTAGATTGCCAATTATAATTATTATGCTGTACAGTACTGTATATTGTGAGCAATAAGTGTTGGGGAGTCCAGCAGCCATTTCACTGCCCGCAAGTATTGTTATTTGGCTTAATTAATTAATCAGCATTCCATTGCAAGTACAGTGTAGTTAACGTTAACTTAATGTACATTTCTTACTGCGATAGTATTTTCTGTCCTGGCTGTTTTACGCAAGTGAGTATTTTTAAATTGACTTTACTATTGTGGTGCTGTATACATTTTCTTCCTCAGATGAATCTAAACACAGTGCTGGATACTTGTAAATTGTACTTGTACATGCATATCTACCTTAAGACCAGATTGAACCTTTACAGTCTTCTTCATAGCTTTCTTATACTTTGAGCGTTCTAATGGCTTCAGCAACGATGGATCAGTTATAGAATCATAGCCAGGAATTGTTATGATATCGTTGTCTTGAAAAGTTTGACTACTCTCTTTTTCATGTTCTTCTATTAATTTTTTCCTAAAATTTTCATGAATACAGGCCGTCATAACGGTGTGTCACACGTTAGATACCAATAAATTTGTATAAATATATATGTATGTATATATGATATACACGTTAAGAGCTATTAATTGGTTTTATTGAACAAATCAAAAATAATACCGATAATTTAATTTATAAGTGTATTAATAATCACACACCTAACAAGTCCAGGTTCTGACGATCCTATTACCGTGCATACAAACGATTCTGAATTGAATTGCGAAACTAAGAGCTAGCAATGAAATGGAATGATTAATTCGAATATCTAATATTTGATAATAGTTAATTAATAAAATCTATTTTAGTCTTGCATCAAGACTCGCTTTACAAGTAAAGTACATCAAAATACGACTATAGCATATTTAATTAAAAATTATGAAATGACTTTTAGCGATCTATCTATGCGCATTCGTTATCATCACTGCGATTATTTATGTTACCTGAAATTTCATGTGGGCGGTTGCGTAATCATTCGGGGTAAAAGTAACGACGATGTCTTCCTGGCTGTTAGCTGCCACGCAACCTAAAAGAGCCAAAGAAATATGAATTTAATATGTTTTCGTCATCTATATTCGGAAAACAGACTTATCAGTTGGTGATAAAAATAAATTCTTGCCTGACATGGGATTTATTACGTATGCATCATTAGATTCTATTATTTTAATTTCAAATTCAAAGTCAACTGGAATATTTGATCGAAGAGGAATAGTTTTTGAAAAACTAGAGGTGTTCGATGTATAATAAATCATTCAAATCAGTATACATTAGACATACATATTTGATATCGAACCCATCTTTACCTATGAGCTAACGGTGTTTTAGGGAAGTTAATCTTCTTTGGAAAATCAGTAGACTTTACAAGTACTGGATAAGCATGAATTGGTATCAATAGATTCTCGTCATCCTGTTAAGAGAATAGTCATATTAATCACAGTTATTAAAAGTCAATTATCTTGATTCTTAGATTACTTTGCAGTGTACACGAATACAGTCATCGTAATAGATCCAATCTTTTGGGAAAAGTTCAACATTGACTTCAATACTTAAACCAGGAACGAGACGGGCCTGTTTAGTTTGGATTTAGTAAAAGAATATCAAATAGGATAACATATTCGATAAATTTATCGAACAAATATAAACGCAGCGACTCATACTGACGTAAATTTGCTCATTTAACTTCGGATTGACTTAACTTTACCTGTTTTTCATAGCTTATTTTGAAATATGAGGTTGTTGGCGGTATAATATGAACACGTTGAGGATCCGCCGAGATATTGGTAAGTTTCTGTTTTCGTAACGGTAAATAATTAGAATTGAATATGATACCATAGCTACTATAATGTAAGACTAAAGTTTCTAAAATGATATGATTGAGTGATTTTATATTTTCACTCGTAATTGCTTGCATCCAAGAATTCAGCTATAAAATCTTTATATATCTACGGAGATTACCAATTTATATTTTTCTGTCTTGCCGATCTGAAATCCTGCGAAATGAACTTCGGACGGTTTAGCTTCAATTACAGCATTATGAGCAACCTGGCCAAATATTTCTGAAAGAAATTTCCGTAATAATTGAATAAGAAGATTCGGAAGCTTATGCAATAGGCGCTTAATTCCAACGAACTGATAATTGTTATTCAATAGGACAAATAATTATTCTAAGTAGTCTTGGTTCTTCAAGTTTTAAATCGAAATAGAGTATAGCAAGTGTGTTCTTGAGAGAGTAATCTTACAGATTGACCGAAACATTTTTAACTTTATAATAACAAATGACATGGCATTATATCATTTCTGTATATTTATCATATATATATATAAATTCTAATATATGAGTAGGTTTCTCATAACAATTTATCGTAATATTGAAAACTACAGGTGCTTTACTGATACGATTATTATGTTTGTTAAAAACTGTCAACGGATGCCCATAAAACTGAAGAATAGTTATTCATAAATGTGGATGTTATAAACAAATCACATCGTTTACGTTGGCAGTAGTTTTAGTAGTTAAGCTACATCCTAATGATCCTGTTGAAGAGCTTCTGATGCGCTAATTTGTGATTAAACAGTACACTATGCGTATTATAATTCTCGTGAAGCTAACTTTATTCATACTGTAGCTTACTTGTTTCGACAAGATGATTTGGCACAGATTTTTCATGTAATGGTTGCGTGAAGATCTCTGAGTCTAAAGATGAAAGTGGATGATTTGTATTCACCTCTAACGCCATCTTGGTTCTTAAATTACATGATTTCCATGGTTACCACGTCAGTACCGATTTTTATATAAAACACATCGTACAGTACAGTACACTCGTTCTGGAAAGATCATACGATACTGTACACTGTACAGTATCATACGTACTGTATGAATCAGTACAGTACAGTACACTGCGTAAATTTTTGTACTGTGAACTGTACAGTACAGTACAACACAGTACGATAGTGTACAGTACAGTACAGTATACAGACTGATACAACTGGACGAGTCGTACAGTACAATATGATAATCCATGATTAGCTAACGAATAATATAGAATAATAATAGTGGTTCTGTGTTCTCACTTTATATGAAGGAATAAATAATAGGATATGATCTAGGAAATTCTAAATATAAGAATTTCCAAGAATACTTAAACCTCTGTTACCCATACGATCGCATACAGTGCCGTGCTTTCGCCGAACAGTCAATCCTCCCATCTTTATTTCGAAAATACTAATGAATTACTCAACATTAGAGATGTAGATTTATAGACACTTAAGTACAGTACAAGGTATATGCTCGTATATACCGTACGTTTATAAAAATCATTATCTTAAATTTTACATTAGCGAAAATAACTATTTGAAAATATAATAAAATGTACTCATACGTTGCTTATACTGTAGCATACTCCGATGTTTAAATACTGTTTGTAACGATAATATATATAAAAATTTCATATCGAGGAAATAGTTCTGGTGTAATAAGGATAATCATCGATAAGCTGTAGATGACATATCTTGTCGCAGTGCATCTAACCGATGCCTACAATTACCGTATGTATATTCTTATTTATGATGATTAGTTAATAAAATGGTCATATCTATTCTATTTACATCATATAGCAGAATAAGATGAAATTATATTAACGATGCAACCGCGATTATAATCCAGCGGTATCCTGTACAGAAGTAGCAGATTCGTGTATGATAATTACTGCATATAATTAAGAGGAGCTGGTAGCTCTATATTCACGTACGGTTGTATGGGATTGGAATTTGGGCACATTCATTGTACTACAATAACTGTAGTAACCCATACGATACGGCAAGTAAATTAATATTGGTAACACACTAATAAGATAATATTTTATATAGCTCCGCAAAAAGCAGATTATGAGAACAAAATTGCTATAAATTTTAAAATGTAAGTATTCATATTTAGATTGACAAATGACAGTATCAAAATTGAATAAATTGCAACCGCTTCGAGATTTTATTCCACTCGGATGGAAAAAAGCGTAGAATAAATTCTTTTCACTTCCTTGGAAGAAGGTGCCCTTGTTGTAAGCGGAATATATCTAATCCTCTCATCATCTGTTATTAAAACAACATTAACTAAGTTTTGATAAGAAGACTAATCTGATATCTTTAATAAAGTATTAAAATCTGATGAATACGTAATTACAACAATATACATACGTCCTGTACCAAATAGGCATACGAACCTTTATTCAAAATTGGTTCTTTACCACCAAATATAACAAATTTCTGCGTTGGCGGACATCGAATAAAGATAAGATTACTGCGGGTGATTTGATCGCTCCAAGAAATTAATAGGTTTTGAGTGTTCTGTTGTATGAGATTTCTATGATTATCCTTTGATTTCATTCTACGTTGCATCACATTTACTATATGCCTCAAGTAATTTTATTACTAAATGGATATGATCATACATACATTTATGAGTGACGCTTCATTTGCTCTTCTAATGTTAGCTCCTACAGATCTATACAATTAATAGAATAAGACAAAATGTTGAAGCAGGATAGTGTATAGTTTCATACTTTGTAGGCGATTTTTAGATAATGAGGAGTAGACTGAAACCTTTTCAAACGGTTGCATTTACTATCGTGAGCGGATTGTCTGGTACCACTCTGAGCTCTGACGGTATAATAGCGCAATCTTTTATGTACCAAAACTTTTTCCCTAATATTTAGTAATAGGTGTAATAAACGCACTGATTCACTGATTTATATTTATGATGGTTATAAACAATGTAACGAAAAATCTCAGCGTTGTTACCCTTGAAATACAGCCCCTGCAAATCGGCAACTATCTATCATTAAAATGCTAACAAGTTGATGATTTTTTCGGCTCAGTAGCTGATGAAATCTGTTTGATATTAATTCACTTGTCGTCGTTTCCTGTAACCAAACATAATGACACCGGAATTTACTTTGAAGGTATTAAATGGCAGAGATTAAACTCATAAAAGACGTCACCTTTCTTGCAGATAATAGTACTCGATGTATTGATATTAAATTTCCATTGGAGTTCCGAAACCAGAGATAAGGAGAACCATCTCTTTTTTCCAAGATAGAGTCATCGACAATATTTCCTTCATTATCTTCATCTTCCTCATTCGCATCACTATCGATAGCTGAATCTTGTTCTTGTCCAATTTAAGTAGGATTGGGATATTAATTTTAGAATACATTATAAAATTGCCCAGTACTGACATGACTTAGGAATATGTTTATTATTTATTATATTCATTACTTATTGATTCGTCATGTTCATTTTCTGTTAGAATGGTAAGATTAGCTAGTTTTCGTTTAAGATTTTCGACGTGCCAGTCTGATTTAAAGTGTTGCCGCTGCAATTGAATGATATTAGTTAGTAAATGCAATGATGACAGTTTTTGATAATACTTTAGAATGCTTTATTATAGTGCTCGACTACAATTCGACCAATATAAGAACTTTATGACTCATAAAATGATACCTGTAATCGCGTGTTATCATGATAGCAATGGTAGCTGATGTAATGCATACGTAGTTCAATTTGCTAACAATTCTATACGTGAAGTAATATATAACCGCAAATCGTATGCACCTGATCAAAAACACTGTCGAAAGCTGCTCCACATTGGCGACACGTTAATCCTTGTACGAATGGATGATTTCTTGACCATAGGTCATGTGCTGGTAACCTTATTTCCTCATCTTCTATATCCGAAAAAGCAATAAAAATACGATGATGAAGCATTTATTACGACTAGCAATATTCGTAGATTGACAATTGGGTATAATCTACAATATACTGTACGCATACATATGAATCCGTTAGTAGATATTATCTTGTGTTGATTGTAATATAGATAAGATTTTTAAAGTTAAAATTATTTACATTACAGTAGTGTACTGTATATACTGTGTATGGCATACAATGGACCATTAGAAATATATTGGTATCCTTCTAGTGGTCCATGAGCATACCTAGTATCTGATTTCTTAATAGCGAGGGCGATATAGAGAATAGAGTACACAACTGCACATTATAATTATGATTATAAAGCTAATGTTTTAGTATCCTTTACTTACGATTGTTATTACTTTCGGCCGATTTAAGGTTTTCGTTATCCAAATTTAGGCCTACCAGGAGTTCTTCAGTTTTGCTATCGAATAGACTAACTATCCTCGCCAATTTTTTTTCCATCTCTTTGAACTGTTGATGTTTAGCATAGCAATACAGTAGAGTCGATAAAGATATCAGATGGATAGTTTTAACTTGAACATGTATTTTATTACTGTAAAACTAGTATGGTTAAATACTGTCTATCAATCAAGTACGAATTACGCATCCTATCTAGAGACGGAGATGGTAACGAAATGATGATTTGACGTTTGATTTCTTACCTCCTATATAGACGATAATGAATTTTGAATAAAATTTTGCTAGGAAATTGTACGTCAATCTATCTACTCGTATATGTTAGCTACACGTTCTAGCGATGAGTAAGTTTAATTTGAGTTTTAATGCTGTGTCAGCAACTGCTTACAAGATGGAGAAACTTTGAAATCATTACGTCATGAAATCATGGAAGTGATTGCTGTTGACTCCAATCAATTGATTGGAGTTGGGCGTTGTATTTGACTCCGATGCATTTACTGTGCCGTACAGTAGTGTAGATGTAGGGTACAGTATAGGATAACTGTAGTACAGTATTAGTACAAAGTCTGCATGTTAATCGCAAAATCCGCACCATATTGATCACCCTTTACGCATGCTCAGTAGGCGCGTACAGTCTACAGTATTGTACCTTAAGTCATCCAGCACTAGTACAGTACTGTACAGTACAGTACTGTAGTGGAGAAGAAGCGACAGAAAAATACGTCTCTTTCACTACAGTACAGTACTGCTCTCACTATGGTAGCTGGATGTACTGTGCTGGACTGTACAACACTACGATGCCATACTTACAGTGTACAGTATATGATAGTTATCTACGGTACGAGTACTGTACTGTACTGTACTGTACTGTACTGTACTGTACTGTACGTTGACGATACGATAGTATAATTACTGTAGTACTGTAAAGTATTAGTACAAAGTCTGCATGTTAATCGCAAAATCCGCACCATCTTGATCACCCTTTACGCATGCTCAGTAGGCGCGTACAGTCTACAGTATTGTACCTTAAGTCATCCAGCACTAGTACAGTACTGTACAGTACAGTACTGTAGTGGAGAAGAAGCGACAGAAAAATACGTCTCTTTCACTACAGTACAGTACTGCTCTCACTATGGTAGCTGGATGTACTGTGCTGGACTGTACAACACTACGATGCCATACTTACAGTGTACAGTATATGATAGTTATCTACGGTACGAGTACTGTACTGTACTGTACGTTGACGATACGATAGTATAATTACTGTAGTACTGTAAAGTATTAGTACAAAGTCTGCATGTTAATCGCAAAATCCGCACCATCTTGATCAAGCTTTACGCATGCTCAGCAGGTGCGTACAGTCTACAGTACTGTACTGTAGTGGAGAAGAAGCGACAGAAAAATACGTCTCTTTCACTACATTACAGTACTGCTTTCACTATGGTAGCTGGATGTACTGTGCTGGACTGTACAACACTACGATGCCACACTTACAGTGTACAGTACAGTACATGATAGTTATCTACAGTATGAGTACTGTACGTTGACGATACTTCAGCCATACAGAGGATGCGTACTAGTGTAATAGAGAGCAGAGATGATTGTACAATATACAGTATCATAACATACTGCGGTTCCATACTGTACGCTACTCATTATCCACACCATACAAGGTCTAGTCTAGTAGTACCTATGTCCAGCACGTCCTTGATGAAGGGCTGGTAGTCGCATGCCTTCTGGTGTCTGTGATGGACTGATGGTCGATAATTGATTGCAGAATGCCATTGAAAGATAGAGTTCGCCATTTATTACATCGTGATGTAAGTTCTTCTATCTTTCAAATACATGCTAAAGAATCAATTGATAGATTTCTTACTATGATTTCCCTTCACGGTGGAAAATAAACGAGTGAGAGCCACAACAATTGAGCCAATCGCTTGCTTTATGTATAGTTGAAGATGGCACTTTCTATCATTTCCATTCAAGCATTCGACACGATGGTGTCGAGAGAGTAGAGTGTACAAACGAGTAGATAGGAGATAGGATCAAACCATCCATGATGATGGTCTAGGTAGCATTGAATTTATAATTTTGGACTATCCGCTATTCTAGATTGGACGATACTGGATATCAAGATGAAATTGTCTTGCATTAGAATGGTTTACTTTCGTATAGTTGCTAATAGAAAAGGCATGTACAGTACAATGCTACAATAGGCAACGGAGTCAATGTTATTGAAAGTTTTCCTTGCAATAGCATGTCTAATTCTGCTACGATGGATGCTTGCATGCGTCGTTTCGCCACTCGATAGAGAATTCAATCGAATAGAAGTAGCCCATTTTACTAGCATGATTGTTATCGACATGATATCATAGTAATTGGTTAACCGTGACTAGCATATAGTCCGAGATCATAGCACACTTTCTTTGTCCGTATTTTATTTATTTAGTCAGCGACTGTATGGTAAATGGTCAATCACGGAATCCCTTATAAATTTGTTGCTTTTTTATCATTATTCATGGATAGCAGAATAAAGACCGCGGTCAATCAGCTACAGGTGAAAATGAAATCAGCCAAACGCCAACCTTTAGCGTGACTAAGGTTTGTCCAATTACATGTAATCTTCATTGCATTTTAATCTTCTAGGTCACTTTCTTGTTGATCTTTAAACCAATAATGATATATAATAAGCGTACACTAGCAAATGTTAAAACTGGTAAATAGTGTATGCGTATACAGCTATCACCGTATAAAAATCAGTAAACTCGATCAATATGATTATGTAACAAACTAAAATAGACAGACAGAGAAAGAGATAAATAGTTATGACTAGACTGTAATTCTATTTCTATGCCGTTATTGCGCCATTGGCTATGGTGAAATTATCCAATCCATGCTAGAACGTTCGTCTATTACATCCGCCTATCCAATGCCATAAATTATTCAGCCAGTACAATACAGACAAAGGGAATAAAATATCAGCCCTTCAAATCAATGGCATATGGGGTAATCATAAGTGATCATAATTTACTTAGATCACTGTCGCCCTCTCCTGTTGAATTGCCTTAAATCTATCCAATCCATTGACTCAAGATATTTCCGTTTCGTAAAATGAAAGGATTGGTGTTCCTATAAATGATGCAAATATTTTTTCACGCTCGACGAATAACAATTGAATATACGTACCTTCATTTCGATCTATTGGGTTATTTTTATAGTACAGTGATGCAGAGCATTTACACTCTAGCTCATTATAAAATGAATTGAACACGATATCATAGTTTGATACGCCGACAAGTGGAGTAAATCAAGATAAATACCAACGATGTCACTTTCTCGTTTTTAGAATTAAAGTGACAGAAAACTGTCCAATTGCTAGTAATCCAGTAATTGAAAGATTTATAGATAACATAAAGAGTATTAAAAATGAAAATGATCATCATGGCTTGCAGTCCATTGATAATAATTAATAATCATCAAGTATAGTTTTAATGTACTGTAGATACAACATCTCGGCATATTTTGTTATATTAAATTTGAATCCTCATTTATTTTGAATAGTTAATTCTTTCTTTTGTCATCGACTTTAGATCAGATTAAAATTTATTCTTAAACAGTCATTAGAGATGGTTATCTTCTGTCAGCTGGTTCTTACTGTAAATTGACGATAGTAGAAATGAACTTAATAACAAATACTATAGACTAATTATACTTTTATTAGCGTTATCCTTCTTGTCTTGATGTCATTAATCAGATGATATTTCGAATCATTAAGGGAAATTACTTGCTACATTTATTCTATTTGGAATAGATGCTAATCCGTTTCTTTAACTGTAGGATGATTCAGCAATTGAAGATGAAGTTGATCATGACGAGGTATTATAGCTACAAAATGAGCTCTAGCTATCCTTGCTTAGATCGCTAGATAATAACACGGACGTGTGTCTTAAGTTATCATAATAAGATTACTCTCATTAAATAAATTTGACTATATTAGTAAGATCAACATGTCAACGTTGTTTGGAATTATTGCGTTTTGATAGGTTATTCGTGAAATAGACCAGCAATATTTCTTAATCTCCAATTTTGATTCGTGTTCACATGAATTAAAGGCAAGTTCTAGTATAATGATAGTATTACACCCTTAGTAGTTGTGTTTTTTGATATTGGATACACGCGTAAACCATACATATTATCCATTTATATTGATGTAAGAATAGAGTACTGATGTTTTCTTAATCATAAAATTTGCAGAAATTGCCTCATGAATTAAGCCTAAAAATAATAGAAAGCCAAAGGACTGAACTTCAGAAGAAATTAAAATCTGTAAGTGCTTAGGGTAAAATTGGTTGTCGATAGTTATGAGCTTAGCTAGTTAATATAGACCGATTTATTGGCTAAGATGTTTCATATGATGAATATTATCGAAAGATTAACATTTACTTATAAATCTACATCTTATTCAATCGTTATACTCAATTAATAAATTATACATGGATTGAAAATTAATGTCGAGCCTATGAAATTTTCGAATGCTTTTGTAAATCATAACTTTTGATACTTTATCTAGGTTACAAAGAAACTGTCTGAGTTGGTTCTAGAAAATCATACCGCTTACATGGGGGTAAGCCAAAATTTCATTCGTTATAGGAGAGTCATCTGCTAATGTAACAACTTATCAAACTATCGACTTATGCGAAAGTTTACTTCAAATAACTTGACGTTTGGGATACACCTTATCTGTTAATCCGAATTTTAGTATTATAAATTATCGCATATTTGATTGATAGCACACTAGGTTAATTAATTATGTCGCTATGTAATATTTTTAAACTTTCTCTATTGCAATATTCAAATTAGGAACTGCAAAGGGTAATGGATCTTCAGGAAGATCTGGAAAGAGCCAATGTTTTGTGTGCCAGTGGAAGAAAGTAATAACTAGTATAAGTTGGAAAACGTAGTATAGAGATTATCCACTATCTAAAGTATCTCTGTTTGTATTATTTAAAGAAAATTAACTCTTTCGAGAGAAAAATTTAGTGGAGCAGGTCTAGGAGTTCTTGGAAAACATCGAAAAAAACAGCTCTTGTCTTATCTATTGCAAAATTTTCATACTATCAAAACATTGGTAGGTTCAAGGTTTTAATTTTATACCATTACACAAGGAACGACATTGGACTTACAATTTCATATTATTTTTATTTATTCATAATAGCAAAAAACGGATATTCATCTACGAGAGCTATTAGAGGTAAGTTTTAAAATTATCACTTGCCGCTACACCTTGATAACTTGACGATCAACATATAAATAAATCATTTATTAAAAGTTTTTATAACAAAATTTGTTGATTAGAATGGAGATTTTTGTGGAGCTATTCAACTCTGTAGGGAGTGTCAACAGGCAGCAAGTACTTATCATTATTTCTCATGCATTAGGTATTATAATTGGAACATATCTTTTCTAGAATTTCTTTTGAGTTGCCAATGTTAATATTCTAATAGAAGTTCTGTTGTAAGAATCTTACCTATTTGGTTTAAAAATTTTCGCTACCTTATGCTTATTAATTTATTTGTCTATCTGTTTAGTGAACTAAGTCATAATCTTGGAGATACGCAGGATATAATCGAAGTATGCTAATTTTAAAACCTAAAAATTACACAATATATGATCCTCATTAAATAACGTAATGAGAGCATATTGCATCTTTTATGTTAGGAAAAGTTAGATGTTGCCTTGTCAAAGATTTGTTCAAAATTTGACTCAGAAACATACACAACTATTCAAAACGCCTACAGTTTACTTGGAAAGAATCGGGTATAGCCTATTCTGATTGCATATCATGATAAATAAATATACATATGATTGGATATGATACAGTTACAATGTCTTTAATATTAGGCTGCAATGGATCAATTACATATGCATTATACAAGTGCTATTCACAATACTGCATTTAGTGTAGTTACCGGACATGTAGAGGTAAGTACTTATAGCTTAAGTTCAGATTACGTTACGACCCATTTTTGGCTAATAATAATATATTTATCAATTAATTAATCATTTATCTGAAATTGTAGGAAAAAGGAGAAGCGCTGATAAAAGAGGAAGCTCAAAAATTTTCCTATCAGGATTTGTGTAAAGTATGTCCTTGGTGACTATAATTTCTACTTTTGAAATTGTTTATTAATCAATGCTCTAATAAATTTTAACAGAAAGTTCCGATTTCGCGATTCATCGAATGTTTGATTCATTTATCAAAAGTACGTGTAACGGTATCAGTTTAATTTTACGAACTTCTTAAGTTGCATAAAGATAACTTCGATGCCGTCTCCTCAAGGCGTTAGAGAGATATCTCTAACAGTAGCGCTTTATACTTTTATAGGAAATGTGGTACATAATGCATAGTTATTATTACGTCATGAAATGGCATAAAGACGAAGAAAAAAATGTACCGAAATTAGACTCTTACCCTAGTATAGCTGATATTGAAAACGATTACAACAAGAAGTATGTTTTAAAGAAGCTAGAGACTGGTTTTACCCGAGTGTGGCAAGTAGGTTATTGCTCAACAACTATTCAGTATTGCGTGCATTTACTCAAGTAGACCACATTTTATTTACATATTATCCACTTGATGTGAACCAATTACATGTGTTTAAATACTAATTTGTTAATGCATTTTTTTATCATACGTATTTCAGGATGTTCAAATGAAAGTTAAACTCCTACTGTTTGGCACAGACTTTTCCTCATTTAGTAAATTTGAAGATCTGTTATTCATTCTCGATCTTACTAATAGGTGATAATTTAGTATGATTATTATATCTTTCATCGGACTTTTGTAGAACTTACTAATTGTAGAAGACTTCAACAAAGCTAGTTTTTGCAGTTGCTTTAATTTGGTAATTACTTCAATTTTTTAATTTAATTTTTCAAAATAATTAAAAGGTTAATGTTAGTGGGTGAAGAATTTTGCGGAAGTAAATCGAAAACCTTACAAGAAACAATTCGTACTCAGAGTATTAATTATTTCAAATCGCATCACCGGTAATTATATGTACTTAATACACGCTAATAAAATCTAATTTATCTTTTCTGGTTGTTATGCGTTCACCATCTAACATAATGAAAACTACTGATATAAAAATAAGTAGATTCTTACCTAACATTTAAAAATTTTAAATGCGCTTTAGAGCTCGTTTAGACGAGTTAAGAATGTACCTAGAGAATGAAGCATGGGAAGTGTGCCCTTTAGAGCTTGGATTTAATATATTCAACCTTCAAGTAATTATTATTATAATATCTCAAAGTGATAAAGTTCTAATATTTAATATATATTAATTAAATACGATCATAATTAATAATGCAGGAGTTTAGATTTTTAAGAACTGCTGTTCAAGACGCGAACAAATCGAAATCTGACACGAATGGTATGAGATGTGAGGTTAATGGTATTTTACTTGGACTATCAATTTAAGATTTATTTATCATCATTTAGGAATTTTTGAGAAATATAACGTTTTAGAGAGCCCTTTTGATTGTATCATTGAAGATAATAGCCCAGATGACGTCGTTTCCACGGATAAGGTAATATTGTGTTATTTCCTGCTATGCAGATTATGGCTCGAGGTAGTCTTGATTAACAATAAATTGTAGTATTTACCCCAATACCCATATACGTGTGTTTTATTATGCTGGTGGTATGTTTTTCGTAGTTATAGCTGATTTTCAGTAATGAAATGGCGAACCATTTTACCTTAATTAAAATATGGCCTATAAACTTAAATCGTACTCTTTTTCAATTCTGCATTATTGGTAATGAATATCATAATAAATTTATTTATAGCCATCAAATGATGAACCTGAGGTAGATGAAGAAGGTAAAACGATCTATAATGATAATGATGAAGATGACATTCCTGGTAAGTAAATCAAATTTGCTAAGTGCTTGTAGTTGCGTTATTTAATTCTTTTTTTCGGTTTATAATATTACAGACGAACTTAAACAAGATTTTATCGACGAGCAAACCGGTGAAACGCCATCTAGGTATTGCTATATACGTTTATAGTAAATATTTCATTGAGTTTAATTTGGTATCATAATAATCATAGCTTCATTTTTCTTCGTTTAATAGGAACTACAAGGCTGGGGAGACCAACGATGTAAAATTTTCACAAAATTCTTCGGTTGTTGCCAATACAACTTTAACTACCATTCGGTTTTTTGGTACGAAAAGTTTGTTCTCTTATAGCTATATAAACTTTAAGACGTTATTAGAGCTATTATTATGTTTCTTCACAGGGCGATATATGCACATTATGCATGCGCTATCACCAATTGCTTTCGATGTTCTCATTAGCATGACTCAGCTTTTTGATTACTATTTATTTACGGTAAGCAGCTATAATACCACGTTAATAAATTCCATTCTGTCATTATTCTAATTTTATGTATACCTAAAAAATCATCTCTCCCTCTGTATATAAATTTGTAGGTATTTTCCTTCTTTTCTAATGAAACGGTACGCTTAATCAATGAGTTGCTTCTATTATTTCATGCTGATATTTAATCCTATTAATTTAATTCGTTCTCTACAGATTAGTAACAATCATCAACTAAGCAGTAAACTTGCTGCAACTTTAAAGAGGATAAAGGATAACATGATCCAATCTTCGCATGCTAGTGTAAGTACAGTACAGAAAAGTACGGTTATGCCATTTTATCTTTTCTCAATACGTCGCTATAAGAGATGATATTCAAGCATTATGTGATTTCTTTTTTAGGAATCTGTTAGTGTCAGTGTCGATGATATTAAGGTTAGCTAAAAATTAGCAGCTTGTGATAATAACATTCGCATTATTAAAAGTATACAAAGAATTGACTGTTCTTGTTAACGTTAAAATTAATACATTTAGGTTCAGTTTCCACGGATGTCATTAGATGCTACCCTATTTGATGCTGGAACTCAACGAGGATTAGCATGTAGAATCATTGCCACTGAGTCTGTGTAAGTAATTTTTTACTCGGTGAAATATGATTATTATGATCAAGTACTGAGCTAGTTATTCATTGTTTCTGTAACAGGATTTTTTTAGCTGATAAACTTGAACTTCTTCGTCTTCACCTTGAAACAATGATTCCTTCTTCAAAACGCCCTTTTTTGTCCCAGTTTTATTCTCAGGTGAGCCTAGCTTAAATTACCAAAACAAAATTTCTTGCTTTTTAGTATTCATAAGGCATTTAAACATTTTTATTGACTCAGACAATCGGAATCGTACGGGAGATTCGTTTACCAATATATCAAACAATCTCAGCAAAATCGATTAAATACGATGGGGTATATATGAATTTAGAACGCTAATTGTTTGCTGCAGTCTAGGTTCTAGTAATACATTTTCATTTACAGATTCGTCTAGCTATGAATAATGTTAAATGGGACGTTAAGGAAATTATGTCACAACACAGCAGTTACGTCGACTTATTAATACAGGTATTGAAAAGGATGTTTATAAATAAATATCTGTAGAATTTGACTTCATGATTTGTTCTCTTTATATAGGAATTCTGGCGGTTCGATACATACTTTAAAAGTTTGGCGCGGTTAGTTAAGTTCTAATAAGCAGTATTTGGTTTGTGGGTCGACAAGGTTCAGACGTTAATAATAATTTATATTTGTAACTTCAGGAGAGTGTTATTGCCGATTGAAGTATATAATATATTATGGGATCGTTGCATAAAGTTAGCTAATAAGACATTTGTTGATGGGTAAGCTAACAAGACTCTGTAAATTATCAATTGTAGTAAAATTGGCGATATAGTGATTGAATATCTTTATTCTGATAATTTCCTTTATTCTAGCTTCAGTAATGTAAAGAAATGCAGCAATGAAGGCAGAGCCTTAATGCAATTAGATTTTCAGCAATACTTGTTGCAGCTCGAGAAAATGACAACCGTGAGGTAGAACGTTTTTACAATTAACTTGAGACATATCGTAATGAAGTATATTAGAAAACTTTAGCTGAAGTAATATTATTTTACTGCATTAACAAAGTGAGCTATAGGTAGTATAATGCTTTAAATTCAATGAGCTATATCGGATATTAACATTTTTATAGGCCAATACCAGAAAAAGAATACGTAGAAAATTACGTCAAAGCCTATTATTTAACTGAATCTGAAATTGAAAAATGGATTCGCTCTCATAAAGTTTGTTATATTAATAAAAAGAATTTGCTTCTTTCCATTTCTCATTTTAACTTTCGTTCACAGTAAGGCTTATTCGTACGATAGCATATTTTTATTGTAATTTTGTGGTTTTCGGTTATATTATTCAGGAATACTCATCTAAGCACCTTTCAAACTTGGTTCTACACGGAGTTGGATCTCACCTCAACAAGAAGCAAAAGCAAAAGATATTAAATTTGATTGAAGATATAGAAAAAGGAAAAAAATCTTAATTGAGTTATTGTTCGATGCCAATATCTTACTAATTTCGCATTCCCTGGCGAACTCGAAAGCTGACCCATTTTTTAACTATAAAGAAATGTTAATAGTGATGTTTAACGTCCTTAGGCTTGTCAAAAACTAGCTAGATATGTATAGTTATATAGTAGGCCAATGGGTTCTCTAACGGAAATATCTATCACGTGAATTATGCCATGTATCCGTTATCTGAAATTGCAATTATAATATAGTGTAATGTACTTATTGCTAAAGCTAAATATTATTTACCTATTATTATATCACATAACTACGATAGCACATTTTAAAAAAGCCGCCGTTGTTAAGCAATATTACATTTTTTATGTGGTTAGGGATATTTCTATTATTATTGTTATAGAATTTATTAATGATTGATCGCTGCTGGCATGTTAGCGATTTCCCATTAGTCATATGATAAATACCGCAGAATGGTCGCTTCTTACCGGTCATTGATACTGACGACAACATTTTGTACAGTTTTATTTTTCACTGCTATCTAATTTGTAACTAATGTGACAGTTGGCAAAAACTTTTTTACTGTACAGTTAAGTTTATCATTGAAGTGTGTATACTGAAATAGGGTTATCAGATCAATTTCAATGAAGATAATAAATATTTCTATTTGCTAGCTTCTTAATGTATATATGGTAGGAGAGAAATTCTGAAGATATATTGAAATAAAGACAAGATATCGGACATTAGTGTGCATGCTAATTCTGTATATGCATAATCCCATCGGAAATTTTTGTCAATTCGAAATGCGTATTAGGCGATGAACCCTACTCATGTCGTTGGTGCACCATTTATTACTCTATAGATACGATAGCAGAAAAATTCATATTAAGGTTTACGTAACCGTGATAAGATCAGATTAGATCGATGAATCAGCCATTACAATATACAGTATACCAGTCGTAAGTTACCATTGCGTACCATGCCATCTCTACAGCAGTATATTTACCTATATCAGGGTGTGAAGCTTTCCCTTGCCTGGCTTTATTCTGTAATCACTGCTGAATCTCGTCCTTGTTTACGTAGAGATTTATGTAACCTTTTAGCGATATCTAAGGACAACAAGATACATTTTGGTACTATATATTGAATTTTCACCAAGTCATTTCTCTGCTGATTTAATATAAAATCGTTTCCGCTACAAAATTTGAGTTGCTATTGATCCTAGTATTCACATTAAAAAATTATCTCGGCCTTTTTTCATGTCCAAAATTGGTTAGAATTACGATTGGAATTTACTAACAAATTTATTATAATTAATAAACAAAATAAAGTATGGATGAAGTAAGTGCATCTATAATTAGATTTAAATCTCAAATTAAAGATATTTATACCGAGCGTCATGTCGATGTTGACAATTAAATTCCTTATTAGGCACTTTTACCAATTATCGTCTTGCATCTTCTTATTCATGCTTTATGTGACTAATATCGAAGTAGACCCAGAAATGATTTCAAAGGATTTTCGTGATTCAACTGAGATTTAAACTAGGTATCAACCAATCAATAATCATTTCTAGATTTTCTAGGCACTTTTATCATTATGGCTACTTCTATTACTATCTTCAGTAATCAGTAGCAAAATCAATCCGGATAAACTCATATTACTTCAGTGCTAGTGCTTTTATGATTGAATTTAGAATCAATTAGATATAATCGATCAGCAATCATTTCTGGACCTTTTATCATAATAAATTCTTCTCTTTACGATTCACTGCAGTAATAAAGAGGAGGCATGCATGTATTCATATGATCTAAATTTTCTGTAATTAAAATCTAACCAATTTCCAAATACTGTACGTAAGCATTATAATTATGCTACTGTATGATATGCATTATAATCTGAACCTAGTGAATCTACCACTATTATTAGTAACAAAGTAGATTAGTGACTTAGTTGTTAGTTCCTGTGATAATTTTTTTAAATTCCTTGAGCATTTTTATCACATCGATATTTCTATTAGGGATCTACTATCGAAACTAATAACAAAAGGGCTAGATATAAATTTAAACATGGAGTTCATACTCAACTTAATTGTCAATTTTAGATGCAATCCATGGGCGGGTTATTTTGCGAATATTTTCATTTTACAATGTTTGTAAACCAATAATTTAGCGCCAATCCCGACAGTTACTAATGAGAAGATTGTATGTTAATTAATTTCTATATCTAAATATATACCCGGGTATATGATTACATCATCATAATCTTAAATTAGATAAATCTACTGTAATGTATGTATAAAAATAGATGGAAAAATTGGAATATCTGAATAAAATAACGTGATTGAACTACTAAATGAGAGGATTATATTTGAAATCGCATGTATGTTTATTGTAAGTATCTATCCATTACTATTACATCATCTTCATCTAAAGTCTAACCGGTCTAGTATTACAATCAGATATAACGTAAAGGAAATGATAAATATCTATTTAAAATGTAGTTTTAATAAAAATCACGAATGAGAAGATTAATCATTAATTCAATCGTCCATACATGTAAAAGCGTCCATCCATTGCCAAAATGTGGTGATAACCCAAAATGGAACGAATCTGTCGTCGTTAAGACCAAAGCAGATCGATAAATTAACATTTCTATATTAATTACCTGAAATCGATCACTTAGATGCCTGATTACAATAACTGAGACGTGGATATTATCGATTACAGAACATATGCGGTGTTACTTCAATTGATTCGAAGAGAAGAATTGATAAAGTTTGACCCCAATTAATCTCTACTTGATACCGGATATGATTGATAATATATTTACTCTGTACCGGATAGAGATAGATTTCACCTATTTTGCTTGTATGGATTTGTGACAGTGTTATATACTGTATTAGAATAGAAATATCTATGCTAGGATAATTCTGTTAGCCTATCCTTATTTAGTTAACTTCTAATTTTGGATATACTATGTTTTAATATAGCACTGACTTTTTATGACAGTGATACATATACATATACTGAAATTAATCGTTATAATGGGGAATTCAAATCATCTACTTACTTGTACAGTTCGAATCATTTTAATAATAACTTACTTATGGTAGATTGTAAATTATCATGGAAATGTTCCGTGATAGGACATATCGTAATCTGACTATTCTGTATTAGTCATCAGATGTCTATGTTCGTAAATACTGTTGTCTGCATTAAGGGAGCAGTAGCTAAAATTAATATCTAATTCAGTGAATGATTCCAAAGTTAATCGTACTATGTATGACTCATAAACTATTGAGGAAGAATATATAAATGCCGTATATCGTGTAATAAAGTAAATTCTTAAACTTAGTGTTTAACGTAAAATACGAGGCGTCTAAGTCTTTGAGTAGTCTGTTAGTAGAGCAAAAGTGTTTCTGATAGTGTAGATATCGTTCCTTGATACGTGGTTCAAGGAATTGACTATTGATCGCACATTACGTTATCTTGTTGCAAAGCTGCTTTGTGACAGGATTGCATCATAGAAATGAAAGGGTAATGTAAAGGAGGAGAAAATGGATGTTGTTTGAAAAAGAAGTAGCTTTTTACCCCTTATCTGAATACAAATGCATGTTGTATAGGGATGGTATCAATATTAAAGGAAATTTTATTTGTCTAGCTTGAAAAATAGACCTAACAGTATTGACCATACCTTAATTAGCTGATAATAAATGCAATTATTTAAGCAATCATACGAATCTATTAAGATAGCAATCATTTTGTCATGGTGATCGTTTGTACTATAGAAATTGGATCTATTTATCCGAAAGATTATTTCAAATGACAAAAGGACTACTCCCAATATATTAGTTATAAATGGATACAAGTTAATCAATGTCCAAATTAGCGAGAGATGCATTGATTGTATTAACATTAGTGAGAAAAATCTGTTCTTGCTAAACTAACGACCGCCTTGTACTGACATCATTTTTTCTTTTACCTCTACGGGTGCTACAATCATTGAATTTTGTTTCCGATATTGCAAATCACTTTGTACAGTTTCAAATCTGAAATCAATAAAAATACTAGGCAGACCGATTAGTAAAACTACTTCCTGTGTCGTAATGTGCCTTGAGCTGGCTTGAAGACTGGTTAGACTAAAGTTGATTGATTAGATTGCCAAGATTGATTCTAGTTGGTCATGAGATGCCACTGATGTACGTATATCGAAAGTTCAAAAATATTTATTATAAATCCATTTGCTTATAAATGAGATTAAAGAGGAATAGATTGAATTTTTGAATCACCTAAAACTTCGTTAATTTCCAATGTCTGCGAGCTGAGCCAGAATTGACAATCTCGATATCTACTCGACTAAGTTATCCCATTTCATTAAAGTCTTCAAACCCAGGAAGAATTGATTATTACCATATCTACTCGAAGAGGTTATCTCCTTCCTTTAATTTTCAAAACAAGAAAGAATCATTTATTGCGGCACTTACTCGATCAGGTTGTTTCATTTCATTCAGACTTGCAAATCGAGAAAGAATTGATCGGGTTATCACATTCTTTGAAAGCCTACAAACCGAGAAAGAATTGACTATTACGATATCGATGCTACTCGATTAGGCGATCTCATTTCACTACAGCTTTAAGGGCCTACTGATCACTATCTACAGCTGAAAATTACTTATTACAACGACAAGTTCGCATCAAAACAATATTGGGAATAAGTAGACTGAAATTTAAATCACTTTGTCCCACATCTTATATTATCTTTGGAGCTTTTAAGCTAAGTAAGAATTAATCGCCTTCTTATCGATAGATATTTAAGGCCTTTCTATCATTGAGTCCCTTGGATATCCGCGTAAAATTGAAAATTATTTCTTTAAACTACAATTTGTTTTTAATGATATTATAAAGAGGAATAGAAATCCTTGAATTACCTGATTTTGCCCCGATAATAATATGACTATTACGGCCATTAAGGTGAGGAAGAATTGATTGGTATCTGTCTACTCACCTACGTGCTTGGTTTCAGTTTAACCTTAAAATTATTAATATTTACCTAAAGTTAAAAATTACTTCTTATAGCAATAATTGTGTTACAAATTTAAGACGGATTAGGTTAAACTTTTAGTCATTTAACTTCGTCTAATTCCTATATCCTCATTAAATCATTAGTGTAAGTAAAAATTATTTACTCTCTATCAATTTGGTATTTAATTTCATTCAAGCCTTTAGCGCCCTAAATATTTTTTTCGGACACGAATAGTTACCTCTTATATAGATATTCTCCTATATTATAAAAAATATAGTGAAAGAAATTACGAGAAGCTTTGGACTATTTCTATGTTACTTAGCTTTAAATCGCCATTAAAGCCCTCAAGCTAACTCGTATTAGATTACCATCTACTCTCTGGCAATTAGGTTTTCCTGGCACGTCCTGCTATTGCATGAGCAAATTTATACAATACTGAATCTCTTTCATTCATTATCTGTTAGAAGGATTAATTCTTTTCATATATAACAGATACCATTGCATTATTTAGAACTACTGTATAGTAGAGAGTATTTAGAAACGAATAGTGAGAGTTGATATGCTCAGTTTCTGAACTTGTTGGGTATAAAAATCAGCTTGAAGCTATACGGAGAATTCTCGATCTCTTTCTGGAAACTCTTCTACTTTGCTTTATCATTGACCACCATCCTACGTTTTCAGATCTCTGCTATTTATTCTAAAGATCTCAACATTGAATAGTTTTCAATTTATTGCTTATTAAGGACATTTATCCCAATGTATGTAGAAAGAGATTTTAACTAAATTTTCAGCCTTCCATTCTGATCCTTAGCGCATCATTCTGAGGAAATTTTTTCTCAATCTTTTGAATCTTACTTATTCTATCGTCGAAGGTATAGATTTAATTTTTCCAAATTTAATTGACCGTGTTTTTCATCGGAGCTAATAGTCTCGAAATTAATTTTCAATTCTAATTACAGCCTGAGCAATTACCAAAGCTTAATACTCGTCTTTAAGATTAAGTTATCGAGCAGTTATTTAACTTGGCGATCACGACATCTAGTAACTTGAAGCTTAAAGATGAATTTGTCATTAACAGTAAATCTAAGTAACACTAATGTTAGTAGTATTGTTCCAATATCGATAACGGTTGCTGTCGGCCTTCCAAGCTCTATTTTAGGCCTGATTTTGAATATAATTTTACTTCATATCATTACCATGAAGAAAAAATTACATAAAGCGGTTTACATACTAGTTTGGAACTTATCCTTTGCAAGCTGTCTTTTTTCCTTCGTCTATCCAGCTGGATTAACTTTTTTAGCTTTTACACCACCTGGTACGAAACTCAGTTATCAAAGTGGTTCATTAATGTGTAAATTATCATTTTATATTAGTGATACATTTTCAAGTGTATGTAATTTAACCCTAGCTGTTATTAGTTGTGAACGTTATGATGTTATCGTCTCATCAACATGGTTTAATTACCAATCTCGATTTACCAATAGGAAATTTATGGCTATAGTTATTGCATCTATTTGGTCTATTGGCCTATTAGTTTGTATACCCGATATAATTTTTACCGATTCTTATATTGATGCTCCGGTATTCTGTGATATCTACCAGCGCAATTCTGGTGTTCAATATTACCTAACCTTTTTCGTCATTATGGTCATTATTTTGCCATGTCTACTCATGGCTTATAATTATACTAAAATTGTTAAATATATTTTACGGCGTATCCGGCCTGGTTGCCTTTCTAATCAGCGAAAACAGTTAGAAATGAGGCAAAAGCGCAATCTTATACATGTATTGGTATTAACTACCAGTGTCTTTCTTTTATGTCAATTACCACATCTTATTAAAACTATGGTTCTCTCTTACTCCACAATTTCGCTAAGACAGTTGGAGCAATATCATTTCTCAGTCTACGTTCTGAGTAATATTACAGTGCCGCTAACTCTACTGTTAACTTTTATTAATCCTTTAATTTTTTTAACCTATGATAGAAATATTAAGGAACAATTTAAACAATTCTTGAAATGTAATCGAAGGTGTAAAGTGCATGAAAGTATCAGAAGTAAATAGTGATACGTAAGTTTATGCATATTGAATTGAAGATTCCTATTTCTACATTCTCTCATATTTAACACATTTTTAGTCAAGATGTAACTAAAATTATCAAATGCTAATAAGTTCGAGATTTTTCATATAAAAATAGTTGGACATGAAATTACGTATAGCGCGTTAAAACTCGTACAATGTATAAAATAATATAAAATAATAAGATTATATTCATTGAGTGGAAATAATATTCGACAATAATAATCGATTCGTACTTGCATATGAAAGTTACCTTTTCTTTATATCTTACCTACGATTTTCGATGTAAATAACAGGAAATCATAATATGTAAATAGAATAGGTGAAATAACATAATATACGAATGTAAAGTAGGCAGAATATGGCTTTCGACGGTAATAGCTTATTCGTATTATAATGTAAAAGTTTTACTTTTCTTTGTAGCCTTTGCATCTCTACGATTGAAAAATGAGGGTTTCAATTCATTAAATAGTCAGTAATTTATGAATCTTTTATAAGTGTATAGTGCATATTCAAGAAGTATGGCAGTAAATGATATTTAATATATGCAATATAGTTGGCGGCTTCTTTGACGATAGCTAATAGATATGGAATGTAAAGTTTCTTCTTAATCCCGTTGTATCTTGTATTTTTAAGGAAAGATCGTTAAATCGTAAAGTAATCAATAATTCTAGCTCTTTCAAGTAGAAATTGACAGATTTATATTATAAACTATTGTCATGGATGATATTATTGCTATTGATAAACAGCAATTAGCTAAAATATTCCGCTTAAGTTACTGTTGTTTATAGTTATTCGAAAAATATTATGTATAATATGAGACGTGTCTTTTGCACTGTTTTTCTCTCTATACTGCTACAATATTTTGAGGTTTTCACCTTATCTAGAGTTGGTCTTAGGAATGATGTAAATCCTCAATTTATCGTAGCAATTTTCTAATTGCTTTATAGCTATGTTGTTGTTTATTCGAATAGAGGTTTATTGAATTTACGTAAGTCTTTTACTTTATTTATTTTAATAATTGGTTTCTTTACAGTCTACTAAGCTCACTTTGCTCTAACATACGCGTTAGAACTGATTAGGGAAAGTTTTAATTGAATAGAATATACAGCAGGATAGATTGCATTTGTTTTAATTTTTAATACATCGATTTTTTCCATAATCGATATTGCTAGGTTAGATATATACAGTATATTGCTTTAAAAATCTTTACTACTCCGGATATTGTCTACCTTTCCGGTCATTTGTCTTCGCATTGATCCAATAATGCACCTGTCTTTGCTTTGCTAATGCGAAAATAGCTATAAATAGATCCTTAATCTGTTTGATACCTTCTGTATATCATAAACCGAATAAAACACTCGTTAACATAATTTCTGTACGCGTATAGTTGGAGTCACGTACCATCTAAGGTATCAAATATTGCTTTTAATTAATTTTCATGTACATATCTCGATGTTACGTTATCAAGTGATGATTATCCCTTTGCTCTTGCAGAAATTTATTCAATAATACTTCAGCAATAACTGATACTGTCTTGCAGCATATACAAATCGTTAATATTTTTGAACTAGAATTTTGTGGTCCTATATTATGGATGTCTGTTTTATTCAATGATGTATAAAAAAGTTGAGTGTTTTATTTAGGCTGCGGTCTACTACAGTGTATTTCTAAAAATGTACTATATCTTTAAATGCTATGCTTAATAGCGATCAGATATATACGCATACCCACCGCTGCATTTATCTATCTGCGCGTATAATATCTTTAGAAAAGCTTTACAAGATAGTGTCGATCTGAGTAACTTTATTTACAATCAGAAACAAGCATATCGTAGTAGTCTGTAATTACTATAACAACAGTAAGAATATTGTAAAAGGAATGGCTGGTCATTCTTGCTGTTTCCAATAAAACGTACTGATAGCCTGATTGAAGTGAGGGGTATCTTCGATTGGGTATAGACCGTTCTCGTCCTCACCATTATCATTTACATCTTTCGTATTATTTTTAACAACAGATTTTGTATTGATAGTTGGGAGAGAAGACAGGCACAGTCTTTGTAATAATTTGAATTCTAATGTTTAATACTTTTGACCGTGATTTAAAAAACTTAAATGAGCATAGCCAGACTTGAAGGTAACGAATTTTTTTCTCTTCTTCATCATCTTTTCATAACTAAACTGGTTCTTGCTGATTGAACTTGATTCGAGCTCTTCTTCCTGCAATGAGTAGTATATTAACTAATTATAGAGGTGCCAAATTCAATATTAGAGCAATTATGGTTAAAATTAGTGTATCAGTTACAAACTAGTATCAATGCCTCACTGAAGGAATTGTAGGTACTCCGACTAGATATTAGCATAAAGCTTCATAGATATATTTAGTATCAGAGAGTAAAAATTTCGTGTATAGTAACTGCACTCTAAATGGCAGTAGTATCTACAGTTAACTGTATAGACTATCGAGAAAACTAATGGTTTTAGTCTTACGCTCAGTATCAAAGAGTATCAACTTTGTATAGAATAACTAAACTGAAAATGACAACAGTATCGATAGTTAGTCGAATAATTAATCTACTGGTTTAATCTTATGCTCAGTATCGATAGACACAGACATGTTTTTGCGTTCAGTATCAAACAGTATAAACTTCGTGTATAGCAACTACACTCAAGATGACAACGGTACTTCTAGTCTATCGAGAAAAGTAATGGTTTTAGTCCACACCGTACACACCGACATATTCTTTTACATTTAGTATACAGTATTGCATAAACCATTGCAGATAGTAACTACCCTCGCAATACAGCAGTATCTACAAGCTATCGAGTAAACTGATAGCTTTAGTCTGCACAGGTATGTTTTTGGATTCGCTATTAAATAGTATCAACTAGGTAAATAGTAACTGTATTCAAAAGGACAACAGTATCGATAGCCTATCGAATAAACTACTAATTTTCTGAATCATTTGTGTGTTCGATCGATATCGATGACAACTTTATAAAGTTTTAAAATTTTCTATCGCGACTAAAATTACCGTAGTTTTATTCTTTGGAAATGCTCTATTGAATACAAGCTTCAAAACAGAATACTTACCACTGTTAAATAGGGCCTACTAATAAGATAATCAACTCTACGCATAATAGCGGATCTTTGACCTTTATTTAATTTCCTGTTTTGACTAAATTTTTGAATTCTTCGATGTTTGCTACAATATCCAAAGCATAAGATAATGTAAGCGATCGTAATGATTAGCAAATACATAAATACTATTTAACAGTACGCATCATCATTCTTATTCCGCGTGGGTGCAATGTCTAAAAATGTATCTACGATTGCATTGGACTTTTAAAATAAGTTACTGTAATTGAAAAAGTAGAACAAGCACCCGTGTGCAAAGACTTACCCAATCCATTGCTTACCAGGCGTCCAACGACGACTTAACAAAGCTAAAGTTAGAAACATGATAGAGTTATGCTTTCAAGGCTTACACTGAACTAGGCTGTCCTATCTGGCTAATAGATTAATTCGATAGAATAATAACTAATAATCCAAGTAACAAGCAAAGAGAAATTTCATGTAAGCTTGCACAAGCTGCAGGAACGGCAAGATCTCGAGCCTTCGTTTGCAGCGTTGCCAGCGTATGTCACCCTGAGGAGGGCTACGCTGATAGAGATTTTGCACCGACAGGCTAATGTCATATTAAAAGCAATAAACAATCAGCGTACACCATACACTACTTAACGGACAGGAATGGTTCTGTCATTCTGTACACTCTGTACACGAATAGTGGATATACAGTACTGTAGTCTCATTCGTCTGTGTAAAAATGATGTCATCTTTAGAGTCGCCCACTTATGGTGTTTCTACGACATCCATTTTGCTAGATATGAATACTACTGCAGTATGCCATATAGGTAATTTAAATTATTAGCAAAAGTGATGTCGTCAGCACAATAAATGGCTATACCATGAAATCATCACTATAAGTGACACTATTTTTGGTAAAGACTGATTGAGTTCAAAGATTCTCTAAAGTCTAGAGAAAACGAAAAAGAGTCTTCCTCAATTACGCTGGCCTATAAAGAAGATTGCACTCCTATATTGCTGCAGCTGTGATGAATCACTAGAGAATGTGCAATTGATGAGCAGTACTTCCAGTCTTTTACCATACAACGTGGCGTTACCGGGAGAAATCCATGATTTCTGCACTACTACAGCTATAGCTACAACTGCATGCAGTGACCATCGATATTAGTGTATCGAATAGTATTGCACTTTGTTAACACATAACAATATGCAACCAGGGATGCTTGTTGTATACTTGGACTGCAATTGTAGTAGGAGACAGCATAGATTGAAGAGGGGCTGAATTATTAATTATCTAAAGCTTATCGTAGGAATTTACTGTATTTGGACAAGTGATGACAATTAAAAATTGCTTCTCAACATACTGCAAGAAGTAACATGGTAACGGTAATGCAATGTTCGTTACTATGGGCAGAGCTCGCGTTAGGGAAACTTAAAAAACAGCAATAAACCTGTCTTGAATTCCTATATAAAAACTTCGGACAATAGCTTAGACCTTTTTCTATTTTTTAAACTTTTTAAATGAATTTAAAACGTGTTCAAAGCCATTAAAATGATAATGATGTAAAAAATGCATGGCATAAATTTCGCCATATTATTTTGCCAGTCTCGCTGCAGCACATGTACTCACACCTGTTCAGAGTCTACAGTGTACAGTACGTTACAGATAGTCCAGTACAGACTGTACGGTTTGTACTGTATCCTTCCAACGGTGGTCGGGCAACTGTAGACTGCATGTGTTTTTCCAGGCCTCTCTACTTCCAATATGGCTGGAATTTTCAAGTTGATTCAAGTCGGTCGATGTTCAGTTCAATTATTAACATGCAAATCGCTCGGTTCCACCGCAAATTATAACAACTTTCAAAATATAATAAATAAAGGTAAGGCTGAGTAGATTAGTAATCAGTAGATACGGGTAAACCTCTACAGATGATTGTAAACTGACTCGCTTCAACTTGCTTAATGATGGCCAAATGATTTATGAACTTGCATACAATCAAGGCCATGCAAGACAACTACTGTAGAATGGCGCCACTAAAATCAGTTTGTTATGATGTTAAGAAGTGACTATTTATAGTGTGGACTGAGTATCTGTATTGTATTGTAGACTGTAACGACAAGTATCACTATCTACTAACCTTGACGATGTGTATGATTTTTATGAGCAGTACCATGTAGGTCATTAGCAAGTCGTCCCATTCACAAACGATTAAGAAAACGTAGCTCTTCCGATCAATCTTCTGGTGATAACCTAGATAAATTTAAGCCTCGTTCTGCTTATGCCAATTGGTAAGCTAGCTAAATTAAATGCAAGTTATTCTATCAATTTTAATTGCTTGATTTTAGATAGGATAACAACGGAAATAATAGCGTTGTCGACACATGTTTCACATCACTTGAGTAACATACGCAAAGATTAGAATTAACCTAATGTATACTTACAAGTTACATCAATGATTTAACCAAGTACCTGTAGTAGCTTACTGTAGCTGTCATTTCTTCTGCATCTAATAAGATGGGTAGTAGGCTACGTCAAAAAATTAATTTTGTAAGTTTACTGTTACAAATCCATGTAAATAACCACTGTAGTCTGATGCTGAATTAAATTGTTAATTAGGAATTACGATGCAGAATTGAGCGCTTTCATGAAGCGTATCCAACAAAATGTATCTGAAGACAGGCTTAGGATGGCATTAACTCATCACTCTTTCCTTCATCAAAATGATGATGTTAATTACATGGATGACAACGATTACAATACTGGAACTGGTGTTGCAGATTTTAAATCTGTAGAAGACGTCTACCAAAGTAATGATAGACTTACAATATTAGGTGAGTGCAATATCATTGCAGATATATCATAGTAATTGTTGTTAGCAATCTATCCCTATTAATGAATCAATTGAAATGACCTGTGAGTCCATAACTGCTGTTTATCGCGCATAAACGATATCACTCTTAAATGTATCTCTCACAATTTAGGTTACAATGCTATGCGTCACTTTGTAACGGAATATGTTTACGTTCGTTATCCCAATTTAAAATCATCACATATTTAGTAAGTATCTTATCATTTGTAATAGGTACGATTACCTCTATTTCAATGAATAGAAATGTCGTACGATGTGATACTACTCATTACATTAACATTCCGGTTTAATGACTTAAAAGCATAGAAATCCGATGCTAAAATAATCTCTGATTTATAATTTGATTTGATTTTTTTTGCTATCTGGCAGTCTTGACAAAATGTTTCTCCCGTGCTAATTTCTTGATACCTTACCTTTTAGTGATATGATCAATTTCTTTATGAATCGTGATGGAATGGTAAACATAGCCCATTATTTAGGTATCGCAGACCTTATTCGCAGTAAGGTTAGTCTATCGTAACTGTTGGATCTGAAATTTTTTTATACTAGTTAATAGGTCATTATACCAGCGGCGATCCATGTCTATATTATAATTTGTATTCATAAATAAGTAGTAAATGTTAGCCTATTTCTTAGTAATTTCTTGGATTGACTATTACAGATCCTTTTATATAACCCTGTCAAAACTCGAATCATATCTGACGTGTTCTGTGCTATTGTTGGAGCTATTTATATGGATCTGGTTAGTGTATATTGTATAACCGAAAGCATATGTAGCTTTTGAAAATTCTTTCGTTAATTAATACATTCTTTATAAAGGGTCCCATTGAAGCCCGCTCTTTTGTGCAAGATTTTATTTTAGTCCAACAGTATGGAAGAGAATTCAGCGATATAATCAAAATTGAACACCCGATTTTTATGCTTACAGCGATTCTGAAGATGCAACGAATGCAGCCTTTGGAGGCAAGGTGTGAAAGTATTAACAAATGATGATTTTTCGATTACATTACACAATCGTGTCACTGTGCTGCATAATTTATTACCTACCATCTTATACCAGGCTTTTGAGAGAAAGTGGTCGAGCAACACATTTCCCTACATATGTCGTAGGTGCTTTTAGTGGCAGTAAACTCTTATCAGAAGGTTTGCAACATTTACTGTCTAGGCGCCAATATTTTTATTCAAGCAATGTAGTTTAGCATATGATATCAGATAAAAATCATCGTAGACGTACATAAACGTTACTGCTGTATTGTTGTAGTTAAATTTTTTATCCAAGTACGGTACTTGTGTCAATTATCGATTCTAATAGTATAATTTATTTTATACTATAAAATGGACTATCTGCAATCCGCAGTAGTATTTTTTTCTACCGCTCTAGTAATTATTCTGTTTTAATACTACCAAAAATTTTAGGCGCTGGACCATCTATCAAAGCAGCCAAAAGTGCTGTAAGTTTCTACGCAGAATGCATACAATGCTACCTTATGGTCATTTAGTCGGAGAATGTTATGACCTGAGAATACTATCAACAATCTTTTATTAGATATTGATATACTGTACTCCTATTTGTTGCAGGCATGCCAAGAAGCACTCTTAAACTACTTCCAGAAAGAATTTCGAAATGCCCCATTACCATCTGATCATGACAACTACCTAGCAGAAGAGGAAATTAAGCTGGACGTTGCTAAAATTGAAAGCAGTAACAGTATTTAAAATATTATAAAATATATCAAGACTGTATGTTTATAATCTGCTGATATATATTTTTCCTGTCGGCGATACATTGTATAATAGGATACCAATCTATTCTCGAATAAATTTGTTTGTTCGAAAAAATTTTTCTTTGCTTCTTGTGCTAAACATACTGCGTAAGGATACACATACATAGCTGTAATTTTAACGATTTAATGTACTAAACGAATGATAGAAAATTTCTAGAGTCCAAAATCTCAGTGTTGCTGATGCGCAGCTAGCGTATCATTAATTTAGGATGAAATTCTTTGTGTTATAAGATATTAACTTTCATAAATATTAATCGTTTTGTTTGATGGGTATGTTTTTATATTTCCACAAACATTTCATGCGATGTTACGGTAAAGACATTATCAGGATTATAAGCAAATTTGACGTCGAGGTCAAAAGCGCACTAAAAACTGAGAAGGTTTCCCTTTGCAAAGATAATAGCTCAAATTCGAATTACTTTACTTTATTTCATTTTATAGGTATATATTTTCAGTTGCATCTTGAAATTCTACAGGCAAATTTGGTTTAAATATCAAAAGCGCATTAAAACGAGGAGACATTTTTGCTTACGAAACTAATAGCCTTTTAAGTTCAAACTACACTTTTAGCACATTACTAGATCACTTTTATTTCATTTTAGAGGTGTGCGTGTTTAGTTGCATCTTAAGCCCTATCCACAATGCATAATACAGTATGTGTAATCATTAGCCTACTTTGCTTTACCAAATCACTAAAGTGCTAAAAGTAGAATTTTTAAATGTATGCGAATTATTGTCACCGTTCATTGTGTGGAATAGCTAAGTTTCTATTAATTCAGAGTTACTGTTGTAAGTAATTATCGACTACACCAGATTATAGTTATTAACTTTTTTTCATCACATGCAAGTAAAATTTCTAGAGTTTGCATGTTACAGTTCACACATTGCCTCGCTGAATATATAAATAAAGAAATACGGGTAGCTTTATTTTAGTCATAGCCAGTACTACAGCATAGAATTTTGCATTACAATCACAAAATATCTACTACTTTTGCAAGATTTTAAGGAATGAATTTACTTTGCTACAGCCTAATAGCCGGTAGTTCACAAATGACACAATTAAGATCTAATTTACAAAATAAACATGTTGAAGAAGTTTTTCTTGGGTTTTTTAGACTTCTCGACTTTCTTGGCAGAGATTCGGGCAAACATTGGTAGTTCTATCTTGCCCAACGAGCACGTACCAGCACCGGTATTGCAAGTGAATCCTGATGGACAACAATGTTCCATATCGGAGCAGCAAGTTGCATTAGGGAAAGGGCAGCAACCATAAGAGCCGGATCCTAGTTTGCAGCATGTAGTTCCTGATGGACACTCGGACTGACCACCAGGGCACATTCCATTCTTTGGGCTTGGGGCACGCTTCATAACTGGAATTTTAGTTAGCATTGGTAGCTTGATAGTACCCATGGAGCAAGTTCCAGCACCAACATTACATGTATATCCGCCAGGGCAGCAATGTTCGTTATCGGAGCAACAGGTAGCATTTGGATATGGGCAACAGCCGTAACTGCCGGAAGCTAATTTGCAACATGTTGTGCCTGCAGGGCATTCTGATTGGCCATCAGCACAGACACCATTAGATGCTGGAGTTTTTACTTTCTTGACGGAAAATTTGGCAAACATGGGCACTTCGATGTTACCTGCTCGGCACGTACCAGCACCAACATTGCATGTGTATCCACTAGGACAACAATGCTCATGATCGGAACAGCAAACAGCGTTGGGATAAGGACAGCATCCATATGATCCTGATACTAATTTACAGCAAGTGGTACCGCTAGGGCATTCAGAGATACCGTCGGGGCAAACACCGTTAGCTGCTGGAGCTTTGACCTTTTTTGGTGATAATTTAGCGAACATAGGCAATTTTACAGTACCCATTTGGCAGGTACCACCGCTAACATCACAAGTAAAGCCACTAGGACAGCAGTGTTCCATATCGGAGCAGCAAGTAGCATTGGGGTATGGGCAACAACCATACGAACCAGAAGCTGACTTGCAGCATGTAGTACCTACTGGGCATTCCGAAGTACCATCTGGGCAAACTCCATTACTAGCTGGTTGGCTAACCTTTACCTTTTTGTTATTTTTTTTAGCATCAAATCTAGCATACATAGGTAATTGCAAGGGACCCATTGTACATGTACCAGCTGAAACATCACATGTATAACCACTTGGGCAGCAGTGTTCTTTATCTGAGCAGCAACTTGCATTAGGGAATGGGCAGCAACCGTAAGCACCAGAGGCTGATATACAACAGGTTGTTCCAGTCGGGCATTCAGACTGACCATCAGGACATACTCCATTCTTGGCAGGAGCAGGTGTAGCTGGAATTTTCTTTCGCATAGTAATTACTGTAGTACCTACTTGGCAAGTGCCAGCACCAGTATTGCATGTGTATCCACCAGGGCAGCAGTGTTCGTGATCCGCGCAACATGTAGCGTTAGGGAATGGACAGCATCCATACTGACCACTACCTAGGTTGCAGCAGGTAGTACCAGCTGGACATTCAGATTGCCCACCTGGACAAACGGCAGCATTAACAACCACTAAGACAGCGGCTAATGTTATTAAAATGGTCTTCATTATCCTGATAAAAGGAAAGAGTAAGGAAAACACTTTTAAATCTGCGAACTATTATAGTATTACACACATACTGCATGGGATTCAGATTCATAGTTTAGCAGAGTGAAATACAATGATCAGAGTAGAAGCATTGTCATCTAATAGGCAAAAAGTGAACTGTTCTCCGTAGTAATATTGATTATAATAACATGTAATGAATTATTAATTTAATTTCATCGATCAATTTAAGTATTCTTATGAAACTGTGCAACCAACAGTGCCGGTACAATCAATCACTACTCAATACGTATATTAAGAAATGTATTGTAGAAGATTGCCGCTTTAATGTTTAAATCGATACGGTTAGGTTTAATTTTAGTGATCATAAATCATACCAAGTACAATACGTACATACTTGTAAATTATGACAAAGGCCGTACGCTAACGCTAAATGGCTGTACTAGGATTCTCGTTATAGATATTGATATTCAGTCAATGGTACTGTGCTGATTTTACACATGGTGAAGACAAGTAAGTAAGTTTAGTTTCATTTTATTTTACTTTTTAAGGTAATCAATTGCTTCACTATTCCAGTAGTTTGCAAGTATTAGTATCGTCAAAAGATTCCATATACTGTACGGTCAAATCTTTCTATATCCTATTAATTAATTTACTAGCATCACATTCTTGTCAGAAGCTCGGCTCTATGGTAACGTAGCGTACTAAGAACGTTTGGTTCGATTCAGTCGCTTCGCGTGATTCACACACCGTACAGTTAAGATGACATCATACTGTACTGAGTGTACAGTGCAGTCATAGAGTTAAGAAAAAACTCTACGTGTTACAGTACCGTAAATGCTGATAGAAAGTACAATACTGTACAGTAGTACACCAGTGTGTAGAGTCTGTTTTGAGTATGTTTCCTTGCTGTTGTGTACTGTACACTGTACAGTACTAGTTCATCGAAGGATCATGTCTTTATGACTTACTGACAAGGTTTGATCGGAAAGGTGATGAATGCGATCGAGTGCTCCATCTCCAATCAGCAGTTGGTGTAGTTACAAGTTAATTTATTACTTCTAACGTCAGTACAGTATGTTAGAACAGGCTATGATTATTGCTAAAGTTGGTATATTCGATGACTACTCAATTCATTTTGCTTTTTGTATACAGTAAAAGGAAAATATCGAAGCAGCTCTGCTTCGATGCTCACATCAAACGGTTCATAATGACGACTATTTTCATTTCCTAATTGCTAGCTTATGAGCAACAATATTCGTAATTCGATAGTCCTAGACCTAGCTATGATCCCATTTCTCTTTCTATCCAGGAATTAACAGACATTTTCAATATCATTGCACTCAACCCTGACAGCACTGCACTGATGCTTTGCAAAAACTTTACAAAAAAAGATATCAAGATTGCTAATATTTGAGCGTTAGCACTGAGCACAGTACAATGATAAAACTTTCACTCTCCTAAAGCATTGATGGATTATAATATTATAGCTGTCTAATTTTTTTAAACTTACAAATTTTTCTAGGCTTCAAGCTTTCTTTCAGCTAAGTTGGCTCGACAAGAAATACTTGCTTTAACTTAATCCAAAATGATAAATTCTTCAGACACTATAGACATAAAAGACTTCTCGGCGTTATTTGTTTAACCGTATTTAAATATCATGCAATCAACGCACCGTATTGAAGTACTGTACTGTAGAGTGAGTACTGTACTGTACAGTACAGACCGTGCAGTTCCCTACAGTAGTGTACAGTACACTTTTACAGTACCTAGAAGAGCACTGTACAGTACAGTACAGTACTGTACAGCACAGTACGGGTACAGTTACTGTACTGTGTCTGATGAGCTAAATAATGAGACTCGTGACTATCATGCAATTTTTCGCTTTTTATTCGCGTCACGGGAGCAGGAGAAGGAGAAGCTTTCTATTGCATCATGTGATCAGAGATTCTGATTCTGATTGTGTACTGTGCTGTAGTGTACTGAAAGAATACAGTACAGTAAATGCTAAATGCTATTATACTCTACAATGGACATTGTTTTGCATTGTAAGCTTTTTTAAACCAATTGCGACAAGTCTATCTGTTTTATTGACAATTGGAAAATATAAGAAGCAGTAGAACATATTAACATACTCGTACAGTATAATACTGTTTATGAGTAACTACTGTACCGTACGTACGTCCATGGTTAACCCTAAAACATGCACACCAACTCTTCCTGGTAAGCCAATTTGTAACGCAGTGTACACTGTAATTAATTAATTAATTATACTGTACAGTACAGTAATTTGCAATTGTACACAATAAGTTCATTGAACCAGATTGAACTGGTAATAATATTAAAGGTGAAAAATAAAGTCTTTCTACCTCGATGGTCAGATTCAATAGGTAGAAAATAAAAGAAAATCATCAAGCGTAACCCTATACAATATTTATAGTATAGTATTTCATTCAGAGTTAGCGCTAAATTGAAGCTATTTTTAGTGTTGATGGATTATATCTTTGATCCACGACAATTTTAATCTAATTAATTTAATTTTCTACTGTGGTTTCTTTCTTTTATGTATTCTATAGTACTCTACAGTACTCTAACTCGGGGTTACTTGGGGTTAATCCAATTCGTCTACAGTATGGTGGTTAAGCAAAATTCTAAAGCGCTGCAGTACTGTACTGTAACTCGGGGTTACTCGGGGTTAAGCTACATGTTACCTCTGGCTCTGTCTGCGCAGGACTTGAAACCAAACTGTGAACACTGAGCAGGCGTAGCTGCCTGTGACCTTAACTACACAGTGTACACGTCAATCCAGTGATGTACTGTACTGTAATGTGGTATGACTGGCTCTTACAGTACTACAGTACAGTACACTGTATAACCGTCGGGTAGTAAAAGAGAGCGACCATGCCAGTGACACCGAGTACTGTAATAAAGGGCAGCGTGGTTTGCTTTGGTTCATCAACGTGGGAGTTGCCAGGAAGGAGCGTACAGATTGTATTGTAATTGTCTGTACTGTACTGTAGAAGCAGCCACCGTAGGCTCTGATAGCAGCACGGGTATTAAAGACCGAATTTGGGGATTTCAAAGTTTTCTATGAAACCTTTGGCCTCGGCGCTTAATCATTTATTAACCTCTTCGGTTTAGTTTGGTTTAACGCCAGGCTTTTCAATTTTTTTTAATAGAACATTACATATTACGGCAAGGTTGTAGTGTAATATGGAGCTGTTAATGACCAAGGCTTCCACACCTGGAATAAATGAAAAAAACTTGATTAATAATCCACCAAAGAACAAGATTCATCCATTTTTAGGCCGCAATATAGTAGCAGCGGCTGCTCCCGCTGGAGGCAAGAAAAAGCATCCTGTAAAAGCAATCTTGGCAGGTTAGTCAACTTGTCCATTTCCAATGATGCTATCATATTGATGATCCTATAATTCTTCCGTGTAATGGTGAATGCGCCATGATGATGTTATTGAAATGTTATGATTAGCTTGATACTTGTTGGCGTGAATTTACTTTTCATAGTTAAACGTTGTACTGTGCAGTACTGTAATGTACTGTATGTACCTTCAGTGCCGGATAGTGTACATGTACTGTACTGTACACCTTACAAGATTACGTTACGCCTCCGATCTAGAGAGTATATCAGATTCTCGGGGTCTCTACTCCGATCGATTCGAAAATTACCTACGGGCATTAGGATAAACTACCGAATTGAAACGATAATCCAGTACAATATTACACTGTACATTCCATTGGATAAACTAGTTAATTCCTCCGTTTAGTGTACTTAGTAGTGACGTTGGCTAGTATTGGCTACAGATGTGATACGATATGCAATCAAGAAAAATTGAATCATGGTGCTATGGTTATGTGCGTGGTACGGAATTGCAAAGTTTCTAATCGATGTATATTCTGTATTATTAATATGCAGGTGGAATTGCTGGTGGTCTGGAGATATGTATAACATTTCCTACAGAATACGTCAAGACACAGTTACAATTAGATGAGCGTTCAGCGAAACCGCAGTATAAAGGACCTATAGATTGTGTTAAAGTAACTGTCAAGAATCATGGTTTCCTAGGCTTATATCGAGGATTAAGCTCTTTATTATATGGTTCTATACCCAAGGCATCTGTGAGGTAAATGAGGAGTGCATGATAATTGAAAGTAGCATTGTTAAGGTTTATTTCTGCTTACCGATTCTATAATCGGTACTACTTGTATATGTACGTTTATAGTACCTCATTTTCCATACAGGTTTTCCGTGTATGAATTTTTGAGAAATCGCCTAGTCGATGAAAAGGGTAATCTAAGTGGCGGTAGAACGCTGTTATGTGGTTTAGGTGCAGGTGTTGGTGAAGCAATATTAATTGTTTGTCCTATGGAGACTGTAAAAGTTAAGTTTATTCACGATCAAACTCAACCAAATCCAAAGTATAAAGGGTTCTTTCATGGTGTTAGAACTATTGTAAGAGAGGAAGGTAAACCCTTGATTACCTACATGTACCTAATGCCTATTATCACCATAATATGTCTTGCTTAAAATGACACTCGCGTCAAAAATTTATATTATAAACTTCAATCGTAGTTCATATCTCATATATTTAAACAGTTTCATAAGTCTTGAGTCATTAATTATATACTTTTAATTGATAAACACAGGATTTCGAGGAACATATCAAGGCTTAACTGCGACAATATTGAAGCAGGGTTCCAACCAAATGATACGCTTTTTCGTTTATAACCGGATCAAGTCGTACTTACAGGGAGATTCCAAAGAAAAAGCTAAGATTTGGCAAACGTTTACTAGTGGATTTATCGCTGGTGCTGCTAGTGTCTTTGGAAATACCCCGCTTGATGTCGTAAAAACTAGAATGCAGGTACTATATACGTATTGTGCTAAACCACTATTTATAATACAAATTCTTACGTCTTCTTTTTAAAATTCAGGGTCTCGATGCTCACAAATATAAGGGATTTGTCGACTGTGTCCAAAAGATTGCAAGAAATGAAGGTTTCTTCGCGTAAGTTACTCTTTCTCATCTATAGTGATAACATGAGGATGATTAAGTTGCTGTACTAACTAACCGTTTGTATCCGCAATTTCGATAGATTCTATAAAGGTACAACTCCTCGCCTTGGACGTGTTTGCCTGGATGTTGCTATTGTCTTTACATTATATGAGAAAATTATGCAATTTCTTGACTATGCATGGAAAACAGACTAATGTTGTCATTCCGGAAGATTACTTATGATGCAGTGCAATGCTTAACTTTATCATTATCTCGTTATTTATATTTCTATTCCATTACCACTTCATAAGCTACATTTTTAACTGTCTGAGGTATTACATATTTGTGCTATATTAGATGATTATAATACGTGCCATTATGACGTAACTGGAGTATAGATACTGGTCAAAGCTCCAGTACACTTTTGCAATTTTTTATGGCTTGCTATTGTCATATTTGCAATTAGCGTAGGTAGATGGTTTATTCAAATACATGAAAAATGCCGCAGTATTTTGCTTCAGCAAATATTACTCGGTGCTAATAAGCATATTAAGAAGTTTATAAAATTTTATATATAAATTCCAACTCTACGAAAAGGTAGTGTTTTTATTGAATTACTGTTGTACAGTACAACTGATAGAGAAAAGTACTAAGCCTAAACTCATTGAGTAACGTACACAAATAGTGTAAGACTATTGGCGATGTTACTAAAATCGGCGCTAGAAACCTGCTCCTATTCTATTTGCATACAGTAAACGTTTTACAGTAGGAAGGACATAATCAGCATAATAGATAAAATCTCACTTTTAAAAGGTGAACCATCAAGTACTTTATAAAGTGTTTTCATAGTTGTGCTATGAAATTCCCCTTACTTTATTTGTAGTCTTTGGTAGGAGTGTCAGAGGTTCGGTTTTTGGCTGTTATTACAATAGTTCGGATATCTTACACAGAGCGAGTTTCAAATCAGTGATGACTGCCTAAAGTTACAACCATCAGATCGATCGATCGTTCTAGCTATTGCAGAACAGCTAATTCTAGGTATTAGATGAAACTCACATGCAGTTTAGTTGAATTATAATAGTTTTCAGGTAGTGCACAATGTTAGGGTTAGGGTAGATACTGTCGTTATCATTTAGAGTGCAAGAATTGATTGATTCCTTTAAGCGAGGTATAAAATGAGATTATTTATTTTGCATCGCATAATTATGTCTTATAAAAGGCATTTGCTATAAGACTGCAATATAAATACTGTAGTTTGTTGCAGATTCCAAGAACTGTTCTACAGCAAGATTGTATTGAGATACTACTTGGTATTAATTTTAGTGACTTAGTTTCAATTTTACGATTTCTTATAATTGTTATATTCACTGAGTGTCAATGTGAGATCCATATCAAAAGCGCTATTCTTATTGATGTGGAGGGCAGTATTCTGTGCAACGCTTACATACTTACAGATATATTTATAACATACGCGTATATTAATATAATGTAATGCATTGTAAAGTACTTCTGCCCGATTCTAGCATTGCATAGATCATGGCAACCAATAATGATGGACATGTATACAAACTATATTACTATAATACAAGCCTAGCACACTACGATGACATTGGTCAGGTATACTCGTATACACCACATACGTACGAGTATATCGTTCTAGTCTTATATGCCTTTTATCATTTCATACAAAATAATTTGATTATAAAGCAATTGCAATGCATGTCAATAATAAGTATATAACAGTAATGAAATTATAATTACTAATCCAGGAATTTGCACTGTATATGCAGTATATAGTTATAACTTATTTTATGTTATTCTATCGCAAGTATAGTATTGGCGACCTGTGATAGATTTTATTGTCGGTTTAGTTACTGTCCTAGGCATGTGTCAATACAGGAAAACCATAAGAACTCCGCCAGTAAATACACCATTGGTAAATTTAACTATGTATTGATATCTTGCCATTAATGTTCGGTTTCATCTTTTAGGTGTAATGTTTTAATGCATAAATCTATGAAAACATAAGTAGTTAAGTAGGTGATTCATATGCCATTAAAAACTTAATCTATATATACCGTACTAATTCAGATTACAAATATTACTCTGCCTAAGTTAAGTTTAGCGTTTAATGAGTTCAAGCTATGAAACTTTAGAAATAAAGATTTAGTTAATCATTACCTGCTTGAATTATCAACTAGTAAAATCTCTATATCAGGCCATTCAAGTTTCTATTACATAGGAACTTTGCTTTCTGGGATAATAAATATTCGAAAAGTTAGTTTATGAGGTAAAGCGCTGTAGAAAAGTTGCTTTAATATTAAGATTTACAATAGTGAAAGATATTATTGCATTGAGGTAGAACCAATAGTATTTACTTATGGTCGCAAGGGTTTTAATATCAGGACAACGTTAATAAAATTAACCATACAGTACAATATCTTTATAATACTTTTGTTGTGCTGTGCATTATGCTTACAGTACCCTAAAGGGCATTTGCTCCTAGAGTTAATACAGTTTAAGTGAACAGTTTAGATAATTACGTAATTAACTTCATAAGAATCACAAATTTTGACTGTTTAAGTGGGTAATAATTTGGTATGTTTGCAATCTCAAATAGGAATTCAAGAGAAAATATCGTATTTAATTTCACTTCCATACTATGAGTTTTAAAGCTTTGTAAACCGGACGACCATTCCTTTTGAAAATATGCTTACTATTCGCTCACAGGATCCATTTCATAATGGAAAGATGTAGCGTTCGAAAGGCAATAGTAAATTGACATAGCGAAGTGATGCATTATATTATAACAACCCTTTAGACATGTATCCTAGCGTGATCCTATAGGGTATTCTGTATAAGGTTTAGTAAAATTTTGCAACTTATCTATTATTATACCTACGTTAGGACTTGGTGGAACCACTGAATATTAATAAAGTATAGCATAAGTACACTATTTCAGGTCGAATTGATTGATTCACATAGGGGCCTTGTCCTATCATACAACACGAACTGAAATAGCATACGCGTAAACTATACAGTGGTAATAATGCTATTGCACAGGTTGTCAACGTGTTGAAATAAAATTGCAAAGATACTGGACATTAGTAAGCCGAACTATTGGTAATGGCATACTTTTATTTGAAATTTGATATCTTTAGGATTAGTAAGGTTTCGATTTTTTTCGAATTCTGTTCGAATTAATCTTCGATAGAAATCTCTATCCGTATAACGTAATTTAGCTCCACTACGAAGCAAAGACCTATAAAATCGCAATGCAACGACTCTTGTTGGCACTTCCATTCCACAAGCTTGGCTCAAATTGATTCAATTTCTGACGTATGATAGGATGACTCTGACTGATTTGAGGTAGTTGACAATCTTATTTCCTCTTGAAGTAGCGTAAAATAGAAAATGATCCCTAGTCAAGCGATACTATACAAGACTGTCGAATCTTTAGGTGGTGAAATTGCTTGCAAGATTTGCAATTTTGGCCTTCTAGCTATCACGTGTACTCCAAGCTTTTCTGCACAATGACTGAACAGTACTGTACAGTATAGTAAGCCAAGTCTCCAGTCCTCTACAGTGTACAGTATTAACAGGCACTGTACAGTACAGTACTATGTACTTTCTTCCTGTAACGCCCTGATGGGCCAACGCCAGTGGCGTGATCTCTACGCATTCAACTAGTAGTACTGTACTACAGTACTGTACTGTACTGTATTAGGTTACAGCACGACAAATAGAATGTGCAAAATAAATGGTCATACCTTTGAGTGAAGCGATTGCTTCAATAGCAGGAGACAAACCCATGTCGTCAAAGAGGTGACCCTAACAGCGATGACAAGTCGTTTTGCACATTCAAACTCTTGCTGACCAACGAGTGTACTGTACTGTACTGTATACTGTAAGGTACAGTACATAGTATAGTGAATGATCGTACTGTACTGTACTGTACATTACTTGTGCTAGCAGTAGGACGAATTTTCCTTGAAAATTTTTCCCGTTGATCTCCATATTTAATTCAATTAGCTTAAATTAAAAATCAACTAGACTACGTAACTGTCCAACTTTTAGGTGTATCAAACAACTCCAAGCTATGACGAAGGAACATCAATTAGAATCGTTAGACTCTGAACAAGTCAAATTGTTAGAAGAAGAATGCATTGTTGTCAATGCAGAGGATGAAGTTATTGGCCATGATAGTAAACGTAAATGCCATCTCAATGAGAATATTAGCCAAGGCCTCCTTCATAGGGCTTTCAGCTGTTTCCTTTTCAATTCGAAAGGAGAGCTACTTTTGCAACAGAGATCAATGGCTAAAATTACCTTTCCTGGCTATTTTACCAATACTTGTTGCAGTCATCCATTATATTGCCCCAACGAGTTGGAAAAGGAAAATTTTATGGGTGTTAAGCGTGCTGCTCAAAGAAAGTTATTCCATGAATTAGGAATAAAAGCTGAGCAGGTAGAAAATAGATTGTTTAGAAGTATAATTTTATCTTAGTACTATACATCGAACTATATTGTATAATCTAGAGTCAATCCAGTGACTTTGTGCTTTTATAGATTCAATATTACTTAGGAAAGTTGAAAACTTTTTGCAACGATCACAGTTAACTACTGTACTGTACTGTAGAGTCTGTATAAAAGCCTTAGTTGTCTTGTATAAACTACTGTCCGCTTGTAAGTTTGGACAGGGACTTCGAACAATTTTCTCTTATAGAAGTCCCTGGTTTGAAATACTGTTATCAATTTTGTTCGGTGCATACTTGGCGTTGCTTGTGTATCATTATAACTAGCTATGCATGATACATCATGAAAGTACGTCATGCTACGTAAAAGCATCAAATTATATGCCACTGTATCAAACGAATGAATACTGATAACTTCAATCGAACGCTAACGCTAACCCTGAATGCAATACTATGTATTATTTAGGTTCCGCTCGATGATTTTCGCTTCCTAACGAGAATTCATTATAAGGCAAAGTCCAACGAAACTTGGGGAGAGCATGAAATTGACTATATCCTATTCATACAGCGTGATGTTGAGGTAGACATGCAGCCGAATGAGGTCATGAGTTATCGCTATGTTAGTAAAGAAGAACTCAAAGAAATACTCGATACTGCTGATGCCAATAATATCGTGATAACACCGTGGTTCAGACTGATTGCCAAGAGCTTTCTCTTCAAATGGTGGGATATTTTAGACTCTTTGCAAACACAAGTTGATGAACATACCATTCATAGAATGTTTGAAGATTACTAATTGGAGTACAACCCATACCGATGGTCAATAAAATCAGTAAAATAAGACTGCTTTTAGCTTCATCATTGAAAAAAATTTAAAGTATAATAAAACGAAGTGCTATTGTAATTGCAGTTGCAGATAAACTTATTCATGTGTCAATTCATGGATTAATTAGCCATTTCCTGGTCGCATTGTAAACTTTATAGCCAATTTATGGCTATATACGCATTTGTATAATAGTCCTGTATAACAATTAGAAAGGAAAGAGTAGTTTTTTTAAATGGCATGTGGTTACGTCAAACTGACGTGATTATTTTTTAATGTACTCTACTACATGTATACATGCATATAATACGTATATAGTTGTTTTTGATTTGTGAATGATTGCAAATTCTGCATTTATGGTACAGTTATTTAGTGGACGAAAGCTGGCGAATGTGTCCTATCGCTGCAAATTCTAATTCTGAGCTTTTACTGATATAAAGCTGTGCTTCTTGAGATCAGCAGCTTTTGGTACTGTTGCAGTGCAAAAGTTATCACTATGCAACAAGATCATATCGTGTTATACCTATTGCATGTAGTCTATCGTGCAGTGCTATCATTGTACGTTGTTATTCTTCATTTCAGATAATCAAAATTTCTGTATACCGTTTGTGGAATTTTAATTGTTGCTCATTTACCTTGAATAAAGAGGGCTTACAGCTTTTATATGCTGTTGCTCTAGCTGGATGAGCCTGTTCCATAATTGATTTCAATGTATCAGTTTGAAGCAATTAGCCTTAGCTAAATGATAATTATAACTTTAGTTTACTGTAGTCGAGTGGACATGCAGGTTATCACCCACTTAAGTAAGGTATACATTTCTAAAGGGCTTAGTAAGTTCAAGTATAAGAAAGTTGTTCATCTTTTAGCAGTGCTTCAGCCTTGTCTCCGTACTGATACAGAGACTTCTAAGGCTGACAGTACTCAGAAATCTACTTCTTTTGGCAGAGATTAATAGAATATTCATTCGCGACTTGCTATGTTACTGGCCATTTGCTCGTATTAGAGTCTGATGTTATTCTTTTACATTTTTCTGTTGTTATCTTTTCCACGTACTGTAGTTTCTATTAAATATTCTTCCATGCAGTTCCTGTTGGTTCGAGTGAGGATTCAATTCCTATATCCTTCCATTGCGATCTGAATTCATGATTAGTCATTTTCTTTCGCAATTACCGTATCAAGAAGTTCTGCTGAGTGTGATTTTTCATTACCTGGGCCTTTATACAGTTATTATTGAGTGATATAGTTTGTACATCTACTGTACGGCTAGGTTTTAGGAATTTTGCAATTTCCATCATACAGTCTCTTTCCTTAACCCATTAGTATATAATACTGAACGTATAAATAAATAATAATAATATTATCTACATACAGTGCATAAGATTTCTCAGACTGCAGAGTCAAAATGACTATATAACATACGAATATATCGATATTTTCATTTGACTGCTCGAAAGCGAAGCCTGCATCATCAGACTACTGTACTAGAAGTTTTCTGACATTTATAACAAAAATGTAAGAGTTTAATAATATTGAACAGTAAATAAATAATACTAATAGGCCTCCCTCCCTATTCCCGACTCCGCTTAATACATACATAGTAATACGAACCGTGTTGAATACTCAGCAGGCAGTAGCTCAGCTGATTTGCAGTACAGTACTGTACTAATGTAAACTAAAAAAGAGAGAGACGTGAAAGTTCTAGAGATAATACAGACACTATTTTGCTCTGCATTTGCTGCCATTGCCTTTAGTAGTCTAAGGTCGTAATATAGAATAAGCATCTAGGGCGACTACTAAAAGTAAAAATAATAATATAGCACTGTATTGTCCAGACAAAAATGATGTCATGCGAATGGAATTACTTTCTGACAGAACGAATCATTACCATATGTGACATTATTTTTGTCCAGATGCAGCTTACTGGTGTTCAAAGTAGTCGTTTTAGTCATTCTATTCTACATTTCTACCCTACTACTGAAAACGTCTGCCGTAATCGAGCAAAATGAGTCAGCGGCAGGTGATTTGGATGATAATATAGTCCAAATGACCAGGAGTAAATAGTCGGCCTGGACATTTTAATTAATTAAGCATGCCAAACGACCCTTTCATGGACTATTAGTCGCTAGAAAAGGACCTGGTAATGGTGGTATGCTGCATCGGCATATCACAATGTTGAATTAACCCTTCAATTCGCGAAATTTTCAAGGATTTTGCCATGGACTCGTATGTGGTTTTGCTAGTGCATAAATAATTAAATAATTAATTAAATAGCTATTCAACATGGATTCAGTGCTATAGAGGTCTGTCCGTCTGGTGCGGTATATTCGTACCCTACTGCACTGTATGATTAGCCAGTCAGAGACTCTTGACACAAACACTGTACTGTAGCTACTGTACGGTACAGTGTACAGTACAGTACTTGTCTAAATAATTAAATAATTAATTAGCTATTTAACATGGATTCGGTGCTATGGAGGTCTGTCCGTCTGGTGCGGTATATTCATTCCCTACTGCACTGTATGATTCGTCAGTCAGAGACTCCTGAAACAAACACTGTACTGTACTGTGTACAGTACTTGTCTCAGAAGTTCCTGGTACAGTGTACAGTACTCCAGGACTGAGCACTGTACACTGTACAGCACATCATACTGTAGATCTCCCCACGCCTACTGTATTTCATGTTGGCGCGAATTGCATTTCGCGCAATTTTTCGAGGTGTTTAGATCAAGAGGTAAGATGGCCGATGGCATGTTCAATTTGTTGTTCTTCTTCTCTGTTATAGACTGTAGGCCTTTTATAGTTATTAACAAGTCTGTTGGAACATATTGATGTAATAAAGAGACGACAGTCAATATTGATCGTAAAATAGTAGCATGATGTTAATGTTTTGTGTAGTAGGGAAGATGGTGCCCTAGACGAGCAGCGTGTAAATCCTACATAGTTAATCATTAATCTTATTAAGGTAGAATAGGAAATAGGATTTCATGGTACAATCTGGTAGAAGATTGCTTGCTACGTCTAGGTTAATAGTTGTTGTCTACAGGGTAATAGAAACTTATTTGATTGTTGTCGACGAGGACGTACTTTGTTCTACGTTACAATCATGCTTTAGTTTAGTCAGTAAGTCGCAAATGATGTCTGGCGTCTTACTGTAGATAGCGTAGTATCTGGGTTAACGTGAGAATTGATTTTCCATCTTATTGATCTTTTAATAATGATCTGCTTGATGATGATAGGTTAAGAAAAAGACTCTGGTGGAGGTCAATTGGAGTGCTTGTTACATTAGTAGATTGCGTGCAAGACTCGAATATGATGGTTGCTACAGCACCTCGCCATGGAGCATTCAAATCATTATTAGTTAGTTTAGGTGATAAGACTGCACCCGATGAAGATCGTATCGATGCCTACCTGACATTAACTGAGTAAGTTCAATACGTTGCTAAACTTTTATCGGGTTAATAGGGTAAAATTAGATTACAAATAGTCAGCGATAAAAGCTATCCTTTGGTTTATCGACTTTCTTTCATCGTACTACGTCGTTCGAATATTGATCAGTTTATCATATACGAATTGCTATGGATGACTATCTACAGTACAGTACAGTATATGCTTATGCCTATTATAGCTTTAACATGTCGTGGCCGTTAGCCATTAAACGATACTATATTTTTACTTTGTGGACCGTATTTGCAAAGTTAAAAGCTATGGTGCTTAGGTATAATAGTAAAGTGATTACACAACCTACTTGTATTAAACATGATATATTTCTACTAGACGTTTGCGCCATGATGATCAAGATATTCTAGTCGATGAAATATGTCGAAATGCGACAATATTGTGCTCTGTTGTCAAGGTACGTAGCACTGTAATCATGATGGTATTATGCTATCATTTTTAGAGCTTGTCGGTTATCTGCAATGATGCCATTTTGTTGCATTAAGTTAATATACATCCATGCTTACAATTTACAGCTCTTGTATTCACTACTTGCCACCATCGCAGGCTGTCCACTTGTATAACACATGATCGTACATTACATTACATTTGCAAACTCAGATTTCCAGCGTCGATAATGTACGCTCTTCTCTTACATTCGCAAAAATAGATTAAACTTACTTCTATTCTTAAGTTCTCATTATTAATAATTGATTAATCAAAGGTGCCATGCGTTACACCGCATTGTAATTTTACCTATCAGCTCTGCATTCTACTGTATCACATTAAAATTGCTTTACACTTTACTGTAGGTATCTAGTATATTTTTGTATGGCTATTCGGTAGAATTAGAATCAATTAAACTCTTTAATTACCCTACTTACTTACTACAGTACTGCTAGCCACGTATAGTATCATTCTTAGAGCCTAATCAACCATCATCATATCTTGCACCAATTTTTCCATCTATGTAAATTTCATTGCTATCGGCTAAAGGATATTTTTCGTAGATTATTTTGAAGGAACTTTTTATTCTACTCGATATTTTTCTGCTTTTATTTTAAAAGTATGTTTGTCATTAGTTTTTTGGGCTATAACTGAATAGCAGTAAATTATGATTCTTGAAATTGTTTAATTAGAGTTCTTAAATCTTATCAAATTAATTAGTAGTTGATTTTGTACAAAATACAAAACTGGTTATGAGTTCTACTAAGCAGCTAGCTATACTTGCGTGAACATTATTTATTTTTACCATATGAAAAAATTTTATCTTATAGAGAGATATTTTAAGCGATCCCCGAGAACTAGCTCTGGCGTCTTTGCAAGCACTTGGCTATTGCTTGTATCATGCACGAATTGCTGGGCAAGTTCAGCTCACTAAGACTTCTTTACTATCACCTGATATTAGATAGCAATTATACTTATACCAGTATATATTGAGTACGCGTAAATTGTCTGTCCTATGTACTAATTATCTACTGTTTTATGTCGTTTTGCAGTTCTTTACCGGATGACGTTGCAATTGGCATGCTAAAAGGTATGTTTAAACTTATATTTAGCATTTCTAATTGCTGATACTTCACTAAGCAGATACTGTATTGACGCTATCAATATCTTATAGCTCTTTGCAGTGCTATCGTCAGTACCCATGACAAAAACAGGTGTACTAGGGCTTTATGGTGCGTTGCAAAGCAAAATATAAACTCCGATATTGTTGCAAATCAAGTAAGAGACCAATTTTGGCTGTTGTTACATCATCAATCTATACGTGTGATATTAAACAAAGAATATTAATAAATGATCAATATATTAGGTTAGTGTTGTCCTTCCAGCCTTAGAACACGTACTGTTATCCGGTGGCTTTCAGTCTGCAACTGTCGAATTTGAAGCTATGAATGTGATCTTAAGGTTCAATTTTAAAGCTCATTATATCGAATCGTCTTATCATTTTATTGTTAGATTCACCGATTATTCGAGATTAAAATTACACTGTAAATAAATCCATGTTCATTTATCGAATTATTTAGATTGATTGAACAAGTACCAAATACAATGCGTGCCAACGTTGCTAAATGGGGAATACTGGTTTATCCAGTAATGCTTAATTCAGCTGTGAAAGTCGCAGAAAGAGCACTTGTTGTCATGGAGTCAGCATTACCATTGCTGCTATCATCACAGGAAGAGTTAATCCGCGTTCTTATTCCAGATCTTAAGGCCGTAAGTTTAAGTGATGGTATTTCATCGTCTCTGGAAGTAATTGTTTTATATTCTTAATTTTCTATACCTGGATTGCTATGTTAAAGAATTTAATAGATGAGATGGGCAAAATGATGGCTGAAAGACGAGAAATTAGTGCTCTACGAGCATGGCGCTACTACATTATTCTATTGGGAAAGGTAGACGTGATCAATCGGTGTTATAGCATTTCTAAATTGTTAATTAACATATTTTTTTATTACTTTGTTAAAAGGTTTTACATCGAAGTGGATCTCTTCTGAATGATATGTTAAAAATAATGGAAATGGTGAATTTAAGTGAAATTAATGTTCCTTTAATTTAATTTCGTTTTTTAATCCATTGGATACTTTATTGTTGTGACCAGGGTTTTAAAAATAAATCGATTGACATTTTACTGGAAGCTTACGCTAACTGGCGACACTTTATTGATAGTTTTGTATCTTATACCGGTATGTTGCAAAGTTAATCTTTACGCTTAAAATTTAAAGCAATTTAACGTTGAAGTAAATTCTGAATTTAGATTTAACAACCAGCCCCAAAAAGAGAAAACTCTTGAGTACACCAATTATGGTAAGTGAAATACAATTTTAGCATCTGCGCCGGTGTAATACCTCAGAATCTTATGCAAGATGCTAGATTAATGTCTATAACAAGAAAGATTTAAAATAATAATAATGATAGAATGCTGTTAATTTGTAGCCTTGATATGTAATGATCATGTCAGTATCTTCTGTACAAGAGTTTCTTAAGTACGCAATTTCTACATCATCGCTATAGATTAAATCCTCAGAAGATACACCTCCTGTTCTAAATGAAAGTCGTATCTTGACTTGGTGGCATCTGATTAAGTCTATGAATAAGCATTCACCGGCTTTATTCAAAGAAGTGCGGTCATGTGCCATTATCTAGCACTGTTTTCTTTTAATATTGTATCAACTCTTACCTTGATTATTCACTATCAAAATCTTTTAATGTCGTCTTCTATTGATTTCTTTATGCTTAGATTTGCCTTCCATTATTAATATATTGCTTTGGAAGTCAGGTGACAAATCGAGACTACATTAAATCGCTTGAAAGCGCGAATGGAGATTGTCTTCCTTCTGATCTAACTTCTACTCCTACGAATAAGTCCATGCCTGGCACCCAAAGTTTCGTCCTGTCATCGACAAGTCCACAAACGCCCCAATTAAATTTTAAAACTGGCCCAGGATATGAAAATGTAGTTTCTTTAGGATGTGAAGCTCTTTATCATTACCTAAATGATTCTAAGAGAAAGAGCCCCTTACGCTTCCGATTAGGTTTGTCCAGCAGAACTATATTACTTCTTGCTGCGGTAGTCATAATTTAATCATTCACAAAAGCAGCTTTGGCCCAAGTCATTAACTTTAATTTTATAAATTTATTGACTACTTTCAGATCCACTACCTTGCAACATCTATGAAACTAGTGGTGAAATATTTTTGGAATATTACAATTTATTTTTTAACTGTATTGTAACTGCATCTAGAACGTTACAAAACAAGCTAGAAGGTGAGATTGCGACTTTTATTTGTTCGTTAAACCAAGATCTCGTTTGAACTAATAGTATTTTCCTATTACGTAGAAAATCTTCTTTCGAAATTATGGATATCCTTGATTGACAGATTATCACAAGCAATTCAAGAAAGTAAGTCGAAAATAACTAATTGATCCATTTTGATCTCTGCAAAATAAAGGACAAAAACTTATAATCTTACAAATAGATTTATTCACGTTAAATTTCTAAGTTAGGTGGTTTTTTAAGTGTTACATTTGAAACTTTTACGATAGATAAGTTTAAGAATCATCAAATCCCTACTGATTTGGTTATGGGTGCATTACAATATCTTTTAATGGTTTTTGCACAATCTCCAGAAACTAATTTAGTACGCTAAATCAATATTTCTGAATGAGTTCTGGTTTATTCTGTTATCGTAATTTATAACTTGCAATTTTATGTATGCCAGACTATTATAGATGCTTTTCTCACGTTGCCAAATATCATATTGACTGGTCTAAGTGATCGGGTATCAAAGACAGAAGATACCAACAAGGTAGTACATTAATTATAGATTTTGCTCGGTTGGTTGTTCTTGTCAGTTCTAATATATTCAAATCTGATTCTTTTAATTAGAAGGAATGTGTAGTGATCCTTGTTGAGAAGATACTGTCTGAACTGATACAAATAACAAATAGCAACAATTATTCAGAAAGGTTAGATTTTAAAAATTGTATCTGATAGTTGTATATCGGTGTTGTTTGATTTTTTGAAGTAACAGAGATACCAAAACACCTTGGTAGGTTCATATCGCTTTATAGTAAGATCATAGGGTTAGTTTCGGAGGGATCTTCTAGGAACCTTGATACTTTCGATCGCATTTTATCCGTGTTAAAGGAAAGGTAAAATGAAATAATTGCGAAGTAATTTTTTATCACTTTGTTTTGCTATATTGATAGTATATTTTACATAAATTTTATAATATCGCTTCTGAAATTAGTGAGTAATGACGCTAATTCATGTAAATGTCGAATTGTTTTTAATTGATTTCTAAAAACCTTCTATAATTTGATAGTCAATTACATAAATTACATCTTGATCAACTATGGACTGTCTTGGCAAAAGGACTTTTGGAATCAGTTAGACTTGTAAGAAAAAATACTTGTAAAAATATTATGTATTACCAAGTGCTAATGAATCACTGTTTTTAGACCAATGAAGTTAATCAGGGTGGCTTGGAACCAGTCTTCGATTGTATATATAATGTATTAGAATTTCCGTTTACTTATATATTAAATTATGAATTGAATCAGGTTAGTTATTCTGACGTATTTAACTGTTGGTGTCAAAAATAAAGCAAAATATGTCACTGTAATGTTGCCAGGTAAAGAGTAATTACCTATGACTTCTGTCGGATTCTTTAGGATGCAAGTAAACAAATACTGAAGGTTTGGGAGGAATTATTTCGAACATTCATGCGTTGCTCGTCACTGATACCATCCGTTGGTATGTTTATCATTTGTAATTGCCTAAATACACTATTTTGACTATTTCTGTAATACGTTCGTTTCGAGATCACGTACTGTAAGATTTCAGTTAATACTTTGAAATATTAACGAAGATTGTAACTTAAAAATTATTAGATTTAAGTGAAGTCGTACATACACTATGTAAGCGCCTGTTAAAAGTGGTGACAAAGGAAAATCTATTGGTTAGTAAAAATTTTGTTTGTACTTACATATTTACGAGTTAATGGTATAAATTTTTTAAGACATGTCTTGATTTAATTCCACTAAATATTGAATATATAGGAGAATACCTTCTTTGATGCGACTATGGAAACTACATCTGTTATTGTTGATTGTATGGAATTATCGACGGTATCGACCATTGTTGATGATGGTCGATCCAAGACGAATCCTAGAAATCAAAAACATCATAAGCTATCGGCGCTAATTGAGATGTTAAGACTTCTTACGGAAACCGTAACTTCAGCCGGATACCGTGAGAATAGAGTAAGTTTGAAATGATTCGTTTTGTATTTTCAGGAAAGTATGACAATAATTTGACAAAAAGCGTTTGTTACAATTACTTGTAGAGCCGGCAGAATGAAAATTCTTCACTTATTGTACTGGTCAATATGCTAGCGCTTGTTTTTGGCCACATCTCTGGCTCGATTGCTATTCGATCGACATTAGAAAAACTTTCACTTGGTCTAGGGCTTTTGTTAAAAGATACGGACAAGCGGTATGTGGCAAAACAAATCCTTATTATTAATCAGTTTATCCAAGATGATTCTATTTGGCTTGTAATTAATTTCTAAATTCTAATCTGTACTCTATCGAAAGGAAAAAGACGCGACAGCATTTTCCGGTATCTATATCCAACAAGGTAAGACAGAAAGATTTGATTAAATTACGGAAGATGTTCATAGAGCAAAATTACTAAAGTTATTGATCTGTTTTTAGATTGAGAGGCTTTTGGATATAATTTTAACTTGCTTACAAAGTCGATACATGTTGCCATATGATTCTGACTTGCTTAAGATCATTGCTCCAATTTTGGTATTTAAATTTATGATGATAATTTTATTCATATGAGAATATCTGTGAAGTTTTAAGCAAGTTCTCTCTGATATCTACAGGAAGGAACACTATGTAATTCGAAACGACAGATACAGAATCGTATGCTAGTTTTCTGGAATGCAACTTTCGCTACCTCATCACCTCTTACCTATCCAATTTCATTGCGGTAAAGACTGATTTGGAGTAGCTGTTTAGTGGATAGTGATTAACATTAAATTTGGCATTGCAATAAGGGATAAACTTTCTAATTAGGTCCAAGTTTACAACACTTAGGAAAACAACACCAATCGCATTGCCAGGATGGGAAGATGTAAGTTTCAAGTCGGCGATTTGCATTAAATTTTATCTGGATATCGTCTTTAGGCTATACTGATATTGCTGAAACTTACACAATTGCTTTACTGTTAATCATAGAATCATGACGAAGAGGATGACGAATGTCAAATTGAACAGGTGGAATACATAATCATTATCTATTATTATATATAACTCGAGAAGGCTGATTTAATTTTTGTAAGTCTAATGCTCATTACGCCGATACATTCTATTTAGTTCGAAGAACCATCTCTAGCTAATGAAGAAGTACCTAGTACCACGATGTCAACGCCGACTCACGTTACAGGCAGCTTCTTACGCAAAGCTGCTAAAGTTGAAAGCACGATACAACGAATGTCACCGTTTAAGGTAGAACAAAATACTAACTGTGCAATCTCCAGTCAAGATTTTATTACCATAACAGTTTTATGTGATTGCATCTATAACTGAAGATTACCATTTTCTAAATACTTTTTCTGATCTATGTCATAGCAGGCTACGCCAGCCTCTTCTTCCAGTCGAGGCCAGAAAGATGGACGATTTTCTCCACATGCTTCTTCAGCTCGAAGAAAATTACCTTTATCAGTGGACGATGAAATGGAGGTAATAGTTAAAGGTCTAACCATTTTTATTCCTCGATTAATTATAATTAATATTGCAATCGTAGGGATTTGTAGCAATTCCTCCTTCACCTAAGAAGCCCAGACTTTTAACGGAGCATCAGAAAGATGTATTAGAAACTAGAAAGTAATTATCTCCAGGATATTTATGTCTTTAGTCTTCATCAGTTTATACCTTAATTTAACAGCTTACAGTATTTGATAGGTAATTTATTATTATATATTTTTTATATTTTTCTTATACATTAAAAATCTTTGCGTGTATAGAGAGCACCCAGCAATGTACAACGGATTAGATCAGTCTCAAGATGGTACAAGTATGACCGAAATGATGGATTCGGAGGGTATATACTATAAGTCTGAGTTAGAAGTAGCTAATATTTGGGGCATTTAGTCTAATTTCTCTTTTATTGTCTAATTAATGTAGAAATTGTAAGCATCAATGAAGTCACTCGAGCGTTACAGCCTCAAACATTGAAGAATGATGCTGATGGGAAATTAGGTGTAAACGATTCACTCGTAGTCATTCTGAAAGAATGCGACACTCATTCAGTTGGGGTAAAACAACAAGAAAAGGATGGATCGACTACAACGATAAAAGATAACTCAGTGAAAGTTGTACCAGAGTCGCCTGTTAAATCGAAGGAGGGTATTGTTGAATCAGCAAAAAATGAAAAGAACTCGGAAATACAACGTGGTAACTGCAGCAGTTATCCTACAAGTGAAACGCTATTATCATCCGATGTAACAGATCATGAAGACGGTAAAGCTGCACTTAGTGGCGGCAACAATCTACGAATGGAAATCGATGCAAGTACAGATATTACGCCGAAAGAAAATAATATCCAGTTTACTTTTCCAAGTGCAAACCTTAATTCTCCTGTACAAAAACGCCCTCCAATACCTTTTTCTCCCAAAACCTCGCCAACTGGTATACTAAAGCGATGGAGTAGCTTAGATTCTCCTTCGCCTTCTGGAAAAGTAATTATTATACTAACTATATTTTCAGTTACTTTATTACGCAAGAATGAAGCCTACGTGATATCACATAATTTGTGCTCTTATGTTGATGTCCTCTTTTTTATAGGCACGTCGCGTTACTTTTGCTATTCCTTCTGAGACTAAAACTAGCCATGACGATATCAGCGTTAACGGTAAGAAATAAATCAACAATACTCTTAGAATGTAGTGTGTAATTATTTATGGAGGTTCTATGGAAAGTATTTATATATAATAGATTCCATTAAAATCCCATTTGTTAATATTGTAGGATATACGACTACTTCCGATATCCAAGATAAGAAAAATATTGTTATATCTCCAGTAGCACCAATTAACATCAAAGATAATGCTGTTAACGCCAGCCCTTCGACACCGATATCGAAATATCAAGATAAAATTTTAAGTAATAACTGTATATTTCCTGACCTAGTAGAATGCCAAGAGCCAATAAATCAAGTTTTACCATCCTTGATGTCGTCATTATCTTGTTCAAGAGGACTAGAACAACTTGTACGTGCTATGAATATTTGTACAGTAGGCGATTTATGTTCGTTATCCGAAAATCAAGTCCAGTCTTTACCTATTCGATCCCCCAAAATTCCTAATATTAAAAACGCTTTAAGGAAATTTCAAAATTTACAGGTTATTCATCGTACTACGTAATTTAATTTTTAATTAATCGCTTTAGAAATCTTCTATATTGACTAAATATTATCGTTAATGGGTTACGTTTTTATTAATTAGGATACTAAGACAATAGTTAAATCTAATGGAAAAATCGTCTTAACTGAAACTGATGAAGGTAATCAAGAGACTGATCAATCTGTTGTTCCTGCTGCATTTCGAAGCATTAGTCATGAATCGGACGATTTATCAGTCTCTTTAAATGAAAGTGAACTAAGTGGTGATACTAATGAAATTATCAAAGGCAAAGAAATCCAGAATGACAGCATCACGAAAGATCACATGAATCAAGATAATAACTGTAACGATAGTAATGATGTAGTAAAAAATGATGATAACGATGCTTGCAAAAATAATTCGGACACTGAGGTAAACCTAGGCCGCGAGCAATATGAAGCTAGGCGTGAAAGCGAAGATCAATATCGAAGTATAGAAAATGACAATTTGCAAGAGCGTACGGTTGTAGATTTAACACAATTATTGCGAGATCATTTTGATCGTGGCGAATTGAATACGTTAACACCTGAACAATTATTAAAAGTTTATGGAGATCTAAATGTTTTAATTAGTCAAATTCAATATTCTCTTAAAGTTAAAATGTCTTAACTGTATTAATCTCGATTACCTAGTAGATCAAGACTCGTGGTATTTGAATCGGCTTGTAAATTTGAATTTCAAAAATTTTGTATTGACAGGAAATAACTATTTTATATTTTAATATGCATTAAAAATAATATCTGTTGATGTAAAAATGTATGGATAAAATAACTTCCGAAATAATTATAATGTTCAATGGTCATTTATTCACCTTTGCCTTAACGTAATTTAAAGTAACATTAAAGAAAGTAATCATACTAATCTGCCTTATTTATCATTTTATTGATTGAATTATTACTGCAAGTTATAGACAGCTCTATGCTCTTGTTTTGAATGATATACCGATGGATTGCATATTTATGAATTGGCGATAATTAGTGAAAGAAGTGAATTTATGAGGCCACAAGTTTAGATAATATGTTGATTCTATAGTTCCGAGCTCTAGTGCCGGATACAGGCACACTATCACATACTCTAATCTACAGAAATAGCCAGTTGGTTAAACGGTATAACACTTTATCAACGATGGGTAACGTAGAGTATAAAAACCAAAGTAGTATTCATCTCGTTATTCCCGAAGTGATGCTGTTTTACAAGTTTAAAGTTAAAGTTAATTTAAAATTTATATAACACAAATTTTCGTCACTTGCTTGCTTACTTCGCAGTGGCGTATTCTATACCTTACATAGTATTAAATATTCGATCTTTATAGCTCGCTGCCTCTATTTTGTCCGTATTGTTGTGCACGATGATGTAAACATTTTGTTGACTTTTATACCTGTCGCTCGCTTGCATAGTCGTATAGTTACGAATCTTCTAGTTGCCCCTGTCAGTAACATTTACAATACACATATATATCTATTTATAGTAGCAGCGTACGTGAATTCTATCTTTTGGATATGACAGTCATGCACGTAAAAGTCTAGATACACAGACAACTGTTTCTATAGGAGCAGTTGAGCAGTAATATCGCATTGTGATTAACATATCTTGTAGATGAGAGACGGAAGACACAAACTTCAACGTAAAGGATTTCTATTCAGTAATAGCATTAGCTTTATTTTGCTTGATTTTAATCAAGGATATGGCATTGTACGTATTTTAAAAAGTCGTATAGAAATATTCTTAATGAGAGTAGAAATTTAAAGATGCATGACATTGTTCGATATATAGATATATTGGTTTATATTCATTACACTCATAGAAGAAATTTAACTGTTTTATAACAGACAGCGCTATAGATACAGAATAACATATAGATATCAGAAAAAAGTCCAACTTCTAATGTTCATATGTAGTCACCAATGCTCAAAAAGGTAGTTCTATTAATATTTAATGATTAAAAATAAAATTAAATCATCATAATTTGAATTCAAGGTGCCAAAATGAGTTTTAGACTCATCGTGGAGAATCAGTCTTTACATTGCCAACCAAGATACAACATCCGGTATACATTATACAAGCAAGGTGCTGACGAGTTGTACGAATACAACATTGATAAAAGCAAGTAATCAATAGTAGTATCTTATACTTGTACTAGTTTTTTACAAGCTATGGAACATACTTATTAATTATTAGACCTTGGTGTATAAGTGCATGTTACAGCAGCAGCAACCAAATTTAGTTATGCATCCAGGATAGTATTGGATATCGATTATTATTTTTTATGATCTGCTAATGGTTTATTTTATATTAAGATCGCTATATCTAGTATTTTACTAACTACAGTAATATACTACGTATAGACGTATACTTGAGTTTTATTGGCCAAGTTAAAAAGCGAGTTGGTACTAATACGTTTCTACATGATTGATTCATGTATGATAAGATAAACAATATTTGCTATTAATATTGGCTTCGTACTATAGTACAAAAACCCTATTATTCAAAACATGACGCAATGGAGCCAAAACGAAAAGCCATCGGCGGACAATAGGATTTTGTACAATATAAATTTCTATTGCTGCCGCTTGGCTTTTTTAATGGGTAATTCTTGGGGATGTTTGAAATATGTCATATTCATAACTGCTGTATTTATAGCAGCTGTATCTTCATAAACAGGATTTATCTGTAAAAAGATAATTAGGAGTATAGATAAGTTTTTGATTATTAATTATACAAATTAGTACGTATGTACTGTACTGTACAGTACCGTATACTGCAAAGGTACACTAATTGATCAAAAACAATATTATGTAAGAAAATTTGCTACTTGCTACATTACTGCGAGGATAAATACTAACAACGCTCTCCTTGACATGTACTTCTCCTTCAGCACGCGCGTGCCCATTGCTACGATGATGTCGTTTCTGATGACCAGAATGGCGATTATTACGGTTATCGTCACGCGATGAGCGATGCTCATGGTTGGAGGAACGATTTCCGTTATGAGAAGAGCGATTCCCATTATTGGAAGAGCGATGCGCATTATTAGAGTGATGATGTCCATTATGATGATGATTATTATTGGACGACCTAAGTTTTGGTTCTTTTGGAGTATGTTGATATTTTTTAGGTTTATATGTTGAGCTTTTTCTATTAATCCTGACATGAACTGTAAAAAAAGTTAAAGAATACATACGAGTATGTTAATATTGTACACAAATAAAGCCCTTCAAAAATAATAATAATATTAATGATGTATATGTCTAAGCACGAACAGAAATGTATTACAACTACATTAAGCTTTCAGTGCAATGATAATTTCAAGACACAATTTAATATTTTTATTAAAATGGTAGCCGACCTCCGCTAATGTCATGTTCAAAGTCGCGCCCAGTGCATAGAAGTTGAATAACGCTTCCAAGAATGAGGAATGCAGGTAGCAAGCCTAATGTTGCCCACGAATACCAACACAGCGGTATGACCCTTCCAAAGGCAATCCTTTCCCAAGCGTTAATGATAAGTGTAAAGTTATCAACAAAGTAATCCGCTCCAGCGGTAGCAGCTGCTCCAGCTACTGCTGCTGACGCCAAAATCATGCAAACTTTTTGCCATTTAAGGCTGAGACCAGCACCAATTAAACCAGTGACTGACACGGTTCCAATTGGAATCCAAAATGAATATGATGGTAGTAACTGAATATGCGCATACAGTAAATGGAAGAATGTTAGGGATAAGTTAATGGCTATCGCAAGAAGAAATTAGAATTAAGAGGCAATTTTAATCGTTTAAAAAATATTTAAACAATCATTGCAAAGTGTATGTAATGTACGTATAATACTACTATAAGGTATTGACTAATCAATTAGTCTTGATGACGTTATCCGAAATAGTACGATTATTTATTTCATTATGATCGTAGAGTAAGTAATGTTTTGAATTAGTAATCTTTTCTTTAAACTTTTTGTTACCTCTGTGACTCCTATTAATGCACAACCACCAATAATGGCTCCTAAAACGAAACCGTTAACAAAAAGGCCTAGCTGAGGTAAGAACGCAATTAATAAGCCTATGACAATGCCAGAACCAAATGCAATCATGGCACAGTATTCAATTCGTAATGTTGAAACACTCAAAGAAATCGCAAAAGCTGCGATGGAAGCAGGCGTAAAAGCAATTAGAAACATTCCTGCTTTATAATAACGATAACCTAGAATAGTTCACAAAAATAAAATTTAAGTGGTGCCCAACTTGTAAGAGACATTTTGATTAATTTACTACGCGAATATTAATTAAACACGTACTGTACAAACTGATAGAGATTTTAAAATAAGAATTACTTCTAACATCTATCGTTCAAGATGGGTTTGTAGCCTTCGATTTACTAGGTTAAAATGCTACATCAATGTAAGAAATCTTACCAAATATGGCCAATAAGAATGCCAGCGCTATAGCTGTACCACATACAGCACAAGGTACAGCTTCAAATCTAATATATTTAGCCTGCATAACCGCGATATCGCAGGTATGATTTCTTGGTGCTAAATCGCGAATATCGCGTAATGATTCGACTTGGTATAGGTAACATAACAATATGCATACGACGATCCATTTAACTTTGGCTACGAAGGGTTTCTTCATCTTTACTACGATGTATTTTTCGTTAGTCCGGTATTGAAGTGAAATAAGGTAGCGGATTTAATTCAATCTTTAATGTAGGTAATTTTGTTCTTTCAACGTTTTGAGAAAAAATACTGCTTTAGAGTACGTGTAGTCCGGTGGCTAGAAGAAGACGTTGACAATGACCAGTGGATTTAATGGTTGTTGAGTTTTCGTTGCCAATGGTTAAAAATCTGTCTAGTGAACAATAAGCAATAGAGGATACGTAATAAGTTCTAAACTGTAAATAATTTTACACAGTATATACTGTATTTTCTATTATTTCTATGTTACGTTGACTCAGGATTGAAATTGATTAATCATGTTATTATTATTGAAGGTGACGTATTTAGTAAAGAAGTAAAAGGCTACTGTTTAGTTCGTATAGTGTCGAGAGCTTTTCTGCACAGGTTTCGGAAGACCGATAATAGAAATACATTGATAGTAATATCGCCATGTATAGCAGTTGCATTGTTAATAAGCTTAGATAAATAATTGTTTATCATGGACAATAATGCATAGTTAACAGGAAATGAAAAGTCAAACAGTACAGTATTCTAACATTCGTATACGTTCAACAGGATGACTAATATAGGCCTGATGAAATACCCAGACAAAGTGATCGTATTCTAAAGATGATAGTTGCAGTAGAACGTTTATAAGCTTACACTGCCTGTACGGTAGTCAACCATCGATTTGATTGCTTTATATTGATAAAAGGCTGTCCGTGTTATCGTTGAAGTCAACTATAGACGTTTACAGCAAATTTTAGCAATACGTTTACATTTATTTATTTAATTACCGATCGGGTGTGGATATTATTACTAAATCATATCTACAGTAATGTATCCATCAATGAACAGCTGGCTAGTGACTCAATCGAATAGATATGAAGAGAAGGATGTCAGGCAGGAGGATCCAGTGCAATTTTCTTCATGAAGTACTACCCCGACTAGTTGTTGCACTTTCTATAGCACACGCGTGTACTGCACTGCACTATGATGTAATGTTCTGACGAGATTTGTTTCAGATTTTCTACAGTATGGTACCGTCCTGTACTTGGAAGTCTATCACCATTATTTATTTTTACTTCGGTCACTGTGTTGGTACAGTAAACATTGTGCAACATGGAACACAGCCCAAAAAAATGTTTCTCCTCTCTAATTATATAATTATATACTGTATAGAAGTAAGTTTATTCTTAAGGGAAAATGTTTTTTCCAGTAGCCCGTGCAATATTTTCCTATAACCATAATTTCTCTTTGCGCTTCACTGTTGTTACGCCTGTATCTAGCAAACAATTTCCAGACACTGGCATTAAAAGTAGTTTATATGCTTTAGATGGATTATGCTCGTTTAAATTATTTTTCATTAACAGCAACTCAATTTACTCAAGCATTGATACCAGTGCAAAAACTGCTGTGTGAATTATTAATAATATTATTGATGTAGAGTGCATTACACGCTCAATTATGGTCATGGATCTTTCTTTCAATCCTCTAAAACGATTCCTCTAAGACAGAAAGACTATTGCAGGTAATAGAAACCGTGAAGTTTTTTTTACAAATCTTCTTTCTTGATACCTAACTATAGGTAGTCATTCATACTTTTTCTCAGCGGGTGAGCAGGCCAACCACGTAATACGCTTATATAAAGCTATTTTAACATTGTATGACGTAAAACTTATATGGAGTCACACTGTGTTTCAAGACTCGATATAGGGCTTGGGTAGGCAGATTTGCTAATGTGGAGTACATAGTAAGTGGTAGCGTAGCGCATTAAATGACCTTTCCTTACGTTAGTCATAATCATTTATAAAATAATTAATAATAAAGTACTGCTGTATACAGTAAGCTCAAATCCACTGCACCTAGCCAAGCCAATCAATGTACTGTACAGTCAGTACACTTTTATAACTGGAAGTCCTTACACAAGGCGCAAAAACAATATTAACCTTGCACAAATAAGTAAAGCTGGCAGAATCTCTTTCATCCATATCAATTACGCTATATTATAGTTAATAGGGAGCATTAATATTATTTAAATAAAAAGACAACCTCTAGAGGGAGAATGGATCGCTACCAATGTGGACTGTAATTGAAATTTAATTTCAATCCCCCCAAAAACAAAGCTTACCATCATATAGTGTACACAGTAAATGAAGAGCAAGTCATATTTTCCTTGCGGTGTTTCATCATGAAAAAGAATCAATAATACACTCATAATTGGAAATTATCAATCAGCACAGGTGCATCGTCAATGAGATAAGGCCTCACAACAGATGGTCTTGTTATTGTACAGTAGCATTGAAACAGAATACTCGGCATACAATTAAGCTGGATATGCTTTTAGCTATAGAATACTTCCTCAACCGTGAATCGATTGTAAGTCGACCGTGGATACTAGACGTTCAATGAGTATATCAATCCCACAAGGGATAAATTAATCAATAGTCGAACCGTCCGATGGACTAGAAAATGTTCAATACAGTAATCACGTTTTGATTTTACTAGTAGAATAGTCAATAAACAACTGTCATAATGACTTTCCATGAACGATTGGTAAAAGCGATGAACTGTCAAAAAGTAATAAAGCATTTACTCCATTGACCATTACATCATCGTAGTCAGTTTACGAAAAAGTATAGGGCTTCTACTTGTGACATCCTTCTATAATTTATCACCGTCTATGCAAGACGTACTAAAAAAACAATTCAAAGGTCAAGGTAGATCACTCAGGTATAAACTTGTTGCACGATATTGTCCAAGATGAATGTCCCAACAAAACTGAGAGTTTAATGCACGTATGTATGCAGGTGAAACGCCATCGTGCAACTTACTGCTAGTGATAGGAACACATGCAATCTGCTCAAGCATGAATCTAAACTGTAATGTCAACGGTATGCCACATTAAATGTATGCCAGTGTATGAAATAAATAGGTATTTTGTCGGTATATACAGTATATACAGTACGTACATAAGCGTACTCTATTTTAACAACTGCCAGGTGGAAAATTCAAAAATAAGATCCCATAGAGCAGATTGGTGTAAAGCTCATCCGTATTACTGTCTTATATTTGTTACATTATTTATTTTATTTTAATTAATCAAACAGCCATCAGGGTCAATTTTCATTACAATTATCTATCTTGAAGTTGCCAAAATACAGACTATTTCGGCGCAATATTTCTCCCATACACATTAGAACTTTGCCTATTGAGCAAGAGTCAAGTACGCTCTATCTGTATTGTGATACACTGTAATCCAGTAAATTATACGACTGGAATATGTATCAACGTACGGTTAAAGGTATGTAAATGTTGACTTTGCTATCGTTCCTAATACCTTTAGCAATAAAAAAATTTGCAACAGCATGAATGACGAAATGAAATATCAATGCTGATGTTACTATAGGTAGTTTTCTAATAAAGCATATTTGTCATCATACACAATTTACTACGAAACAGTACCATTTCATTTTTGGCGAACTTTGAAGGAGTGCATCGCCATGCGAATATATCATAAGCATGATGAAGGCTATGATTTAATTAATTAATTAAAAAGTACTAAAAAGTAAAACGTCCATCACCCGATAAAAATCGATAGTACTCCTAAAGGCCAATGCAAGTAATGCTGTACAGCACAGTACAGTACAACATCATTTAATGTCGCCGCTATGATTGTAATAAAATCGTAAGGCGACTTTATACTGTACTTCTATGGTGTTGATAAGAGACATGGTGGCGTGTACACTGTAGAGTACGGTAGAAATGGGAATGACAGACAAAAATGCAGTAAATTGATCCGTTAATTAATGGAAAGTAATTCAGTGATGCAAGATATTTTAACGGTGAACTTCTGATAAGAGAGATGCCTTTATACTGTACAGTACTATACAGTCTCGATTGACCGAGTGGTCTGTGATACAGTCGAACTGGGAATGAAGGATAAAAACGCAGTAAATTGATCTGTTAATAGAATTATTTCACGTTAACAACGTTAACAACTACTACAAACAGTCGGATCAAGTCGATTGTATAGTAAATTGGCTTAGTGATAGCATGAAAGAAAGACCTATCAATTATTGCATCGAGGTAAAAGTTATTGCCATCCAATTTTCATGTGCTTCAGTACCGCACGACAGAACTAACTGTATCGTCTTTTTTCAATCCTATATGACAAGGATAGCATAATTTGCAATGGAAGGCGGTATCCGTTGCGCTACAGGCGATCCTGTGCAATCCATTTAGGAATTGCTAAGCATGACTGATGAGAAATAAATTTGCTATGTTGACCTAGAATTCAAAACATCATTGATGGTAGCCTAATCCAATCAATAGGATAATGGACTGACGCAAGTACAGTACAGTACTAATGAATACGTATGGGCACTTGTTACTTGAATACTGTACATAAAGAAGAATTGTAGTTTCAAGTCAATTATATAGTATGTAGTCATTGGCCCCAAAATGAGACAATTCCAACACCACCGATCTACTTGACTCAGTCAGTGAAATGGACTTCAATCTATCATCTCATACTTTTCTTCCGCTGTGCTGTCAATGACTGATACACAGTATATTGTAGAAGGATGGTCAAATCGCTCCATCCATGATGTATAATTCAATGTTTGTAAAAATATTTTGATCGTTACGGTCGTTGTGGACGTACTGTACAATATTGATCAATTCTCGTTTCCAACGTTGAAACTTCAGAAGAAAATAGACGCGCATAAGAAATGGTACAAGAAAAACAACATAAAATTGGTACAGAAGGACAAATAGGCCTTCAAGATGGTCGATATCGCCATGCTGGCAAGCTATGATTAACCCCCTTGACTACTGTCATTGGATGATAAGGAATGGAAAATAGGATTTCCAACTTTTCCATGGCATGGACAACAATGATACAGTCATCAACAAGAATCAATCCATTGATTAAAGCATCCTTAGAAAAAATAGTTTTACTTTTTCTCTCTCTCTTTTAAACTACTTCTATACCTGTAAATAGTAAGAATCCACTGGGAGATTGAATGGAAAGGATCCAATTTTGGGAGCAAGACTGCCAGTGAAATTGAATTCATGCAGTGGAATGTTGCAAAACACCAAGGCAAGCAACGATAAATAACTGTGTAGAGAGAGAGATACTGTATATATATATATACTGTATAAACGCGCGCATGTATGTAAATACCGTATACAGAATACAGTACAGTTCGTGCAGTCGCTAGACTTGACCGGTACAGTACAACAATAGACGCCCTCATTATATTATTTTTCGGTGTCACTCTACTCCATTCTATCGTTGGAACCGTACCGAACTCAACCTGGCACTCCACCTAGATAGTATAGTGTAGGGTTGCAGACACACGGTACAGTAAAATACCCAGCCAGGACATTTTTTACTGTACAGTACTGAAAGACCGACCATTTCCGGGTTTCACTCTCTTTCTTTTTACGTACGATTACGTCAATTTGGATTATTACGTGTTGACAAAAGTGACGGCCCCTGACGGTTCACTTTAAAATTACAGTACAGAACTGTATGCACGTACTGTACTGTACTGTACAGTACATTGACTGGGATCACTCAACGATTTTTTTTTTCTCCCTGAATACTGTAACTTATTTTGTAAGTGTTGTTAATCATAACGGGGAGAAAGAAAAATCGTTGAGTAGTCCCTGATATTGATATGCCCATGGACTACAGTACAAGTACTAATGGTAAATCATCGTCTGTGGGCACGTGACGTCATTTTGGCTAGTGATTTGACTTGCTCAATATTGCTCATTACGGTCGGCACCTATGTCGGGACTTTTCGCTCAATACAAATGTCAGCACTTGCGCCATACTCAATTCAATTTCACCGATATACACACTGAATGCATATCATGCTGTGCGAATGAGATTACTGTCGATCGACGCTGGGCGAACGTGATTACTGATAATTAAATGCTGATAGTATTATCTGTCTGTATCTGAATTATTGCGTCACTAGTGACACACTGCGGGTCGGCTCAGCAATAACAGTCACATGCTTCAGCTATGCTACAACTGCACTTGTTTATGATCACGATTGGCTGATTGAGGTTGGAAACCTTTCACGATTTTTAATAGCCAAACTAAACCAGAAAATGCCATTTTAGTTCCATCACTTTTGATGGTTCAATGAACTACTTGTAGAAAGAATCAAATAAAGCAAGTTGAAATAGTACTGTTCTACCGGCCTACCGTACACACACACATACTGTAGTTTTCAATACCAAGGCCTAGTTTTAAGCAAAATTTGAATGTAGGCCAACACTGTTTCCAATGACATTAAATTTTGCATCCGTTCACAATCACTTTACTAAATACAGATAGCACTTTGCAGCTTTACACCCTCAAAGTGATCGCATAGTCGTTGATAATGCAATATCCTGCACATAATACCTGCATTATATATATACTGTATATGTTATCTATATCTATCTATATATACATATATGTATCTACTGTATATATATATTCGTACACTCGATTTAGATCAGGAAAATATAAATCAGAATACTTTTTATATAAAAATGTAATTTTTACCAACTATGTATATAGTAACCTATGTTATATATATACAGTATATATAGTTACAATTTACCCTATCGAACTCTACAGAATTTATTATTCTAGAAAATTGAGAGTAAGCTAGATATAGGTAACCATTCATTACTTTGAAAGTATAAACAGTTCAAGATAATTCAAAATTGCGAGGTAATAATATTTCATGAAGTAAGCCAAGTATGATTCACTGTGTAAATTACAGTTCGCTCAAGAAGGAAGGAAAATTTAGGTCGTGCATAATTGAGAAGAAGGTACCCAGTCAAGAGAGAAAAGTGAGAGTAGACTTTCTTCAGTAACGGACTCATGTATAGCCTTCGGAAACACCCTTAAAGTAAGCGTGCTGAAGGGCTTGTTCCGCTGTGCAACGTTTCGATGGATCTAAAACCATCATCAGCTAAGTAGGATAAACAATATCTAATTAATTTCCAAATTAAATTGTAGTCAAGACGTAGTATGCTACAGTCGCTGATATCATAAATGTTACGCGACAAAATACGCTATGTGGCGTCAGCGTCTTCTCTATCTACCTGGAAAAGATCGCATCCTAACTGATTTAGATTTGGCACTACATGTAAAATGGACATTGCATTGTATGAAGGATAATCCTAGTTTAAATTTAAAGAACAATTAATGCAAGTTTACAATGGAAAACTAATAAACTATCCAATAAAACGATGTTACTTTATCCTTCATTAATTGAGAAACACCGGGCCAAATTTGCTCATTTGGGGTTCCAAAGATTCTTAAAAATAGAAATCATTTTATAGTATATCGATTGCAAGAAGTAATATTCCATGATTTCAAATGAGACTATTTCTTACTTGAATATAATTTTTAACTGATCAGCAACGTCTTTACCAGGGAGCAACGGCTGTCCGCCATTGGAAAGTTCTAAATCAAGAGATAATATAACCGAATTATACTATTCTACAATACTCCTTAACAACTCTACATAATCCATTTTATCCTAAACCTACCAGCAAAAATACAGCCAGTAGACCAAATATCAATGGATGTATCATACAGGGTGGCGCCCAGTAGTACATCAGGCGATCGGTACCATAATGTAACTACCTAATAGGGTAGCCAATCAATCACTAATTAAAAATCAATTAATAAAGCATGTGCAATGTTGCAATTTTATGCTACCTCAGCCGAAAACGACTTGACAGGAATTCCGAAATTTCTCGCCAGGCCGAAATCTGCCAATTTAATATCTCCATTCTATTTAGCGAGAATTAGTTAGGTAACTAATTAATAGCATGTTTTTGAGCTTAGTAATAGGGACAGAGCTGATAATGGTTGATTATTTGGATAAATTCTACATCAATACAACTTTTATTACGAAAGAATAAAATTATGTAACTACTACCAAAGTAGCTAGTATGAGTGACTTTTGATATATGCAACTTACCCCTGTAACTAAAATGTTTTGAGGTGTGATATCACGATGTAATATATGATGACTATGACAATACGCCAATCCTTGCAATAACTGATTCGTAAAGGACTACGGATAGGAAAGCAATTTATTTAATTCAATGTTATCATTTAATCTTACGAATCAACAGTACTAACTTGTACTATACTAGGATCAATCTTGCCCTGGCAAGCATCACAATATCGCTTAAGGTCCTATGATAGACAAGAAAAAACATGAATGTAATTTGATCTTATAAGAAACTAAAAGGTTAGCCCAAGGAATGATTGATAGGAGCATGGCTCCTCTTATTAATAATAATCAATATCTTCTCTACTGCCTTACTGACATACCGTATAGGATACAGTAGGGCTATTTATTGTAATTATTGCACAGAATTGTAGAATCACAATCACATATAGAATCATGATCTGGTAATAAGTTCATAAGATAAAGCCATAGCTATCCTAACCTGATCGCAGTATTCAAATACTATCATCAATTCTTTATTTCCATGGATAACGTCATAGAGCCTAAGCAGGAGCGATTATGAATGTCAAATTGAGTTACATAAAGGTAAATTCGCTTAATAGATATCGATAGTTATAATTTACTCAAATTTTACTACCTAAAATTTCTACATGAATACGCTAGACGTTACTGTAGTCGTTTAATTGAAAGTTTTACAGTCAGTCGCAACACAGTTTACTCAGCGTCTCGAACAATATGCTACTTTTCATAGCAAATAATATCTTTAAACAGTAGTCTTTACTCTATCATAATGAATTAATTGTTATAATTATAAAACTACCTAGTTGTAAACTCATCTATTGAACATGTAAATGGCATAAAGTAGTAAGGTTACAAAATGCAAAGCAATGATGATAATATCATTTCCTTACTATCGTACAATAATAATTATTATTATTACTGTTCACGGTTACTTCCATGATACTCACATGACAATGTTTTTATGTTTTAATTCTTTTAGCAAACAGATCTCACGTAATGCAAAACTTGGAATTCCCTAACGACACAAAAATCAATATGACAGCAGTGAATACGTGTATTCCATCAACGATTTAAACGAATGATGTCTGGCTCGTACGTTAAAGAAGCCATAGTAAAATTTGTGGACGATTCAGCAAAACAACACAATGATATCGTTTCACAAAATACTGGTTGCGATACGTAACGAATCATTTGCCGAACTCTATCGATACACAAATCTCTAAACTTCATCGCCGATGTTGTGTATACTTGATCAGTTATTTATGTCGACATTTTGCGTATTGTGTATACATATCATTTGATTTACCTCATTTTCATCATCTATACGAACTTTTTTTAACGCGACAATTTCACCAGTGTCATGATTGACAGCTTTATAGACAGTTCCATATGTTCCTATACAAGAATTAACGAACGAGAATCATATTAGTTAGGTTATTAAGGATATTGACTAGTAATTGACATAATTTTATTCAGTTGAAACGCTATCTTGCCCAATTGCCAATACCTTCTCCAATCTTAACTAATTTCTCATAGCTCTCCATGTTTACATCAGGGCACTTGTGGACAGACACGGACAGACTGATCTTTATGAACCTGCGTCATTGTCAATGTTCTGCGTCTGTCAGTAGTCTCGTTCTGTATAGTACCGTATTAAGAGATCCTCGCGAGATTCTTAAAAACGAAGATCGATTACGTAAATGTCGAAATTTATTTCCATTTCGTGCGATCATTTATTTTTGGTGTTTTACCTCTTATTTCTATGTGTTTGTGCTTATGTTTGCACAAAAATTACAGTATATTAGAACGTTATTATTCTGTAGTCAATCTTTCTTGAATAATATAAAATCATCTATTGCACAATGGTTGCTTCAAACTTTTACTTTACTGTCGGTTATATATATGTTCCCTTACTCTCTTTCTCGCTTACTGTAAACTCTTTCTACTTGATTTTTTAATTACATTCACGATGTTCTTGTGCCAGTATATAGACTGCTTCGGTTAGGGCCGAAAATAGTGGAGCACTATAATGCAATGTATTATAAGATGGAGATAGATACACTAGTCCACAACAGTAATAATAAGAACAGAAAATTGCAAAAATTGTTGTCTCTTATAACTATTAACTCCACCAGCATCACTCTGTGCTCAATAAATCTATAGTAATGTGTAATACCACTATACGTACATCTACAAAAACATTCAAAAGAGCCTACGAATATGGTCCAAGTACAGTATAGAGTCTGTGATCGTAAACCACTGCATACAACCAAAGTCTTACATGCTTATAATACGTACAATGTCGCACATGCACGTACAAAAATAAAAATACTGAAGAAAGCATAAATGAAGTACATGCTGTATCGCTATTTTAATTCTGAAGATAGAATTGTAGCTAAGCATATTAATATAATTTATATTCTAATATTAAATTATCAAAAAACTAAAATTTAAATCTTGATATCTATTATATGATATACACTCATTGTACATGTAGTACAGTATGTTAAACAATATTTTATGCGTCGTAATAAGCAGCTGGCCCTTACTAAAGGTAACACCGCAGCGACTCTTCATTTGGCTTTGAGAACCGCACGAATAAACGTAATAGGATAAACCCTATAGCAATACCAATGGCTTGAAAATTTGATAATGCATACGAAACAAGTGATAAATAAAACAATCGTAGTTCCGCAGTCAATTGTTACGAAGATAATCTCAACTTTTATAACATTTTGATATACTATGAATCAGATATACAATTTATAAATTTATAAATCTATTCTGCAATTGATAGTCTCTTCCTTATATAAATTCGCAGTCGTACGAAACCAGAGCATAAAAATTTGACTTAGCCCACTGCATGAGCCATTAAAGATCGCAAGCGTAAGTAACAAAAATTTATAATGCGAGTAAATTCAATACTTATACGAGTATAACTGGCATCACAAACCTAGACAAATAGGGTATACATACAGACAATTATATAATAGCATAGTACATTATTTGTTTATTAATATCTATCACAGCATTTCTGTACTATAGATATTTTACAAAAGAGCCAGAAAGAATACACAAACGGTATACGCAATGCTAATCTTTATCCATTATTCTTATCATAATAGAGCCTTTATACACTCGAGTTTCCTATTAGTAAGGTTTAAATGTTCACTTATATAAGATATAGCCAATGAACTATCCCTTTATTTCCCAATATGGCCATGTCACATATTCTTAGGACCTCTTTTTCGTTTTTCTCCGTACATCTTCATACTATTCACACGTATAATATACTTGGACTATCGACCTAGTTAGTCCGTACTCTGGTTTTATATAAAAGAATTCTTTACTTCTTTGCTTAAATCAGACTCGAACTCCATAAGCCCTGATACTTGCAATGGTGACTTCATTGACTATCGAATATATAGGGATAACTTTTAAAATTCGAAATAAAAGTGCGAAAAGAATATGTAGACCAACGCAACAGTTCCATCCCTTCTTCGTTATCTACACTTTCTACTGGAGATTTTGATATACTCTACTTTCAGGATCTTGCTCATTCCCTTCAGAGAAAGCGTCCAATAGCTCTTGGCTCGCTCTATCATACGACGATTCCATAGCATTTATGTCTACATCTTCATCGGAATGGGTGCAAGTTGTGGTTATTTCTTTTTCTATTTCATCCGGTAGAGATTGCGCTGGAGTCTCAAAGTCTCTTACATTCAAATCCGCAACTAATTCTAAGCATAAATCAGAACTAATATCCAATGATGTATGATCTTCATACGAGTTTTCTTCACTGCATGCAGCCTTTACTGGTGGCTGGATCGTCATGGAACTATTACTTAACTCTTCAGAAAAAAATTGTTTATTCTCCGTCGAACTTTCTTCGCTATTCTTTGTTATTTGAAGCTTCATAGCAGCATCCGAGATATTCATTTCTAGCTTGTTTTTTACAGCTGTCGATACAGAAGCACTATTAATTGGATCTTTTGCCTCATTCATAGAATCAGGGCTCACCATATTTGGTCGATACGTCGTAACCGCTAATTCCGGATTACTTGAAGTTTTCATCTTCACTGTACTTGCACTTATACCACCATTAGAATGATTTATAATGGTTGAAGAAATTTTAACTGAATCAGATGGGAATAGCGGATAGCGCGATAGCAAACATTTACTAGGGCTTAATCTTGACAGTGCTACATTTCTGGGAATTCTTGAAACTTGTCCCTGTCGCTGATTGTCAACGTTGCCTATATAATTTATAGTTTGCTTGTTTCTAATAGGAATTCTTGAAGTTCCATTAGCTGATTTAGAAGCATTTTTATTCAATTTACTATCAAGGTGCCCTACATCTAAGTTCTGTAATTTAGATGAATCCAACGATGCTTGTTTTAATTTTATCGATCCAGACCTAGTCTGTAAGGTTGGATTAAATTTGGATGCATTCCGTTTCGGTAAGCAGCTTGCATCGCATGTTACTGTTACAGTAGCTGTCGCTTTAGTCCTAGAAGAATAATGATCTCTTTTCGCATCGACGGTACTTCGCGTAGAACGACTATTCCACCCACAAGGATTTGAGACTCTTCGAGATTGAGACATGGTATTGTTTGATCTTCCTGCTATCGAATTTACAGCTGTAGATGTAGTAGCTGTTACTGGTAATCTGCTGCTACCTTGATTCGAGTGATTAGTACCACGTTGAGGACGCATCAAATTTAAATTGTTCCCTCTTTGCCCGAGTCTGTGATTCTGTTGAGTAACTGCGATGTTTTTCGAACGAATGCTACTTTTATTGCCACTACGATTACCGGCCAAATTATTTTTACCGATAGCGATCTATTATGATTTTTGATTTTAGTTAATTTACAGTTATAATTTTTAAGGTGTATCACTATAATCAGAGATAAAATCAGATAAGAAAAATTGTCGAACCTTCGAAGTTCTGCTTCCGCCATTTTCAAAAATTACTAACCCTAATCAATCAATCAGTTTAATCAATAATTGATACTAAAAGGTAGATAGTGATCCTAATATAATCTTTATAGAGATGTATACCTTGCTTTAATTCTTCCTGTTGCTTTTGTGATAAACTATTCCAGCCAGGACTTGTTCTAACCCTTCCAGCGTTGCTGTTAATGAACCTTTTCAAGTTAGCATGAAAATCCTCAATCAGGGTAATACTATCCTAAATAATTTCACAAATAGAAGATTGTAAGATAACTGGGAAGCATTTGCATACGCCTACGAATATACGAGACTCCTATGAATGAAGGACTTCGCCATACATCCATCACATACCATTTCTTCCCATTCCTCAAGTTTTGTTTGATGCCTTAATTCCTCAATGGCTTTAAAATGCGAGCAGACGTTGTCCGGAGTCAATTGCATAGCCAAGTTATCGAATATATTCTTTACTATTTTATCAGATTTTCCCATACCCTAAAGAATGATTAAAGTTTACTGTAGATCAAATCAACATAATACAAAGTATGTAGTACCCGAAATAAAGAAAGGAAGTTCAGTTGGTGAATAAGATTCCTGAATCGTGCTGAGATAAAATCTAAACAACTCTGCTGTAAAGTTGTAGTAATCTCGCGTATATTTTCGGTCCATTTAATTCCATCTGCCATGTTAACTAGTAAATAGTCACAACCTCTTAAGATATCAGTGACAGAATCCAATGCCTAGATTGAAAATATTATATAAAATAAGTACTTTTATTAATAGCAGTCATGGCCGCTATTAATACTATCTATTAATTATAATTATCGACATCAATCACGTAATAACCTATGACCGAAATTTATTGAATAAAAATATCTCACTAATAATTCTTGCATGTGTTTTAGGGCATCCTGCTGAATTTCTGTTGGCAGTTTTGCAAAGCTCTTGCTACACCATACCCGGTTAAAATTCTTAATGATCCATCTACAGTAGATATTTATCTGTAAGATACGAAAATCAGATAGCTTATGTAAAAACTGTTATGCTGGTTATACCAACCCCATGCAAGATTCGCGAAGGTATTCAAATCCAAAGGTATCCGCAATTTCCAAACATCGAGAAATATTGTCGGTTAATTCATTATTTACCTCAAGATAAAATAAGGAGAATATGTAAATATTAAGAAGTACTGTATTAATGATATCGTATCTCAAGTTAGTCATTACGTAGGAATGTAAGTTTCATCATAAGTAAAAAATAAATAAAAATGCAATATGTCATGTTCTAAAGAGTAATAGCATAATATAACAACTGACAAAAAAATTGATGTATTTGCCAATACTAGAAACAGATTATAGTTTCGCTGTTACTGATAATGTATTTACTAAACTAATTCAGGTTTGCGTACGTATGTAGACCATTAAGTGAGGCTACCTTATCGAAAAATTTGCACCAATCTCTCATAAACGTGTACGAAACGACATCTTTCAAGCCATCAAGATTGTACATATCAGCTATAGGAGCTAAGAAACTGTAAATAATTACATATTAAATTTATGCGATAATCTTTGTTGAAAATTTTATTATAAAGCTACGACATTACTTTGTGTAACAAGTTATGATTCATTTTTTAATTGACATTATAGTGAATTAATTAAATTAAGTTTAAAAACCGCAGTTAGTAACGTATCCTGTCTTGACTAACGTTAAGTCAGTGGCTGATGGTAATTCAACGATGCCACCGTATATATAATACAGCAAAGCTGTAATAGCTGACGGATGAACCCTGCAATAAGTAGAACGAAATAAGGGAATGTCGTTACCACTTATTAATATCGAATAATTGTCCTTCAAGTCCGCTTGAATCTATATTTTACCTAATCGCATTATATAGATATATATCTCACCTATGTAATTCGATAGTATTGTTATTACTCTCAGTCCAACTACCAGATAGCATCGCATTAAAGTATTCAGATCGGGCACATAATATGCATCTGGTAAGACAACAACAAATAGCAAGGTCTGTGTCAACTGACATAGAAAGAATTGAAAGTGTTCTTGACAATCTTCAGCGTTGTTACTTGAAATTATTGCAATATACAGTAGTCGCAATATTACTTATGACACTTTAGCTCCACGTCATCAATAATCAGTGTGACATCGGAAAGATTGTCTTGAAATAGGTTAAGTAAGTCTTTGCCAAGCCTAGAAGTTGCAGCATCGGTTATATTGTAACCGTCTATTATCAAATTCGAACAGTTATCGTTATTGGATACGAGGTTTTCGTGGTCTGACTTGTCAGTTAAAACTTTGCCTATAAACATAACAGTACCGTATTTTAAATTTTAAAATAAGGTCAAGCCTTATATTACATCTATCGCTCTTAGTTGTTTACGACTCAAATGATGAAAACAAAGGCTGGAAATTTAATTAAATAATTTATCTGTTTTCCTTGAAGTGTACCTGTAAGCCATTCACCTTCAAGCTGATCAATGTCACAAGCTTCATCATTCAAATACACCTGTCTGTATGAGTAATTGCATAACTCATTAATCATAAAATATCACATTCCCGTATTAGGTGGCTTGAGTTATTAAATAGCGGGTTTAATCTAAGCTATTACTCTCTCGTTAAAGACATATTGCTAGATAAAAGGTAAAATTTAATACTTCAAGACGCTACACTTTCGAATTTACCGTATATCTCATTCACAATATCATTCCTTCTAACATTGCATTACTAAGCAAAAAAACAGACGACAACGTAGGTTGAATCAATAAAAGCAAGCATTAATTTATTTGAAATCAAACCTAAGAAAATGGTTGAATTGCTCAACAGTGATATTATCGATAGGTATAGGATAATCTTTATCAGTCGCTGCCTTGACATAGCAATCATAAAATAGTGGAGTTCTAGCTTTTAGAATTGGAGTATGGGCACGTATGCTATTTCCGGCAATCTGAAATATTACATCGCTGCAGTTGTTAGATGACCATAAGCTACAAGAATTAAGAGAAAATTTTTATTGCTTACGGAAGATTTATATCTCCTGTAAGTTTATTGACTTTAATGATATAATCGTTACTTTAAAATGGCAGCGATTGTACAATATACTCACAAACGCGTTGGACAAAAGAGCATAAACTCAACGGAATATAAGTGTATAAGTGCTGTATACGTGTATTACCCATTCTATAAACTTTTTAGGTACTAAGTAGCAGTGAATGACTTTAACCATGATCGATATGATTTTACGTACTAATAGTTATACATATATTATAATCGATTATGTAGCAGGACTGACTTTAACCATGATCGATATGCTTTTGCCTACAAATAGCTATACGTATATTACAATCGACTATGTAGCAGGACTGACTTTAACCATGATCGATATACTTTTGCGTACTAATAGCTATACGTATATCATAATCGACAATGTAGCAGGACTGACTTTAACCATGATCGATATGATTTTGCATACTAATAGTTATACGTATATTATAATCGACTATGGGCTATTTTGTAGCATTCTCGTATTTCGGTATCTGGCCAGATAGGCCGAGATCTACTGTCATCACAAGATCCGGTAAAGCAGCTTTCAGATGTTTGGAGGCATTCAGTCAAATGCAATTACAGTATCGATAGAAATCATTTTAGTCGGAATTGATATCCTCATCGCGACACATGTACAGTATGGAATACTCGTATAGCATTCCATTGCAGCAGGTTACGTAATTTCATTTAGTAAAGCACTCGTTTGAACATGTATCTGCAAAGAGTGTACAGTATATATGTATATACAGTACAGTACAATGTTATTTTTTTTGGCGAGTTAGCTAACAATGCATAAGGGCAGTAACGTTAAAGCTATTTAATATTGAACAAGAACAGTGAACGTTGATTGTTCGTCTTCACTCCACTAGTCGTCGACTAGTAATTCATGATGTCGATATTTATTTATAACGCATCCAGCCCCTACCTAGCGATATCCTTGGCTAATTGCTGCCGGCATCTAACCCGGAAATTCTGTATCCATTTCGTGAATTTTTTATTACGCTTTTGTAAAACCATCGTCCAAGACTTACTATTACAACGATGTCTTATTACAGTTGGTGAAGAATATTACCATCTTGATTAAAACAGCTTTCTATGATCAAACTGGAGAAAAAATGAATTTGTAAATAAATCAATCAGCTTCCATAAAAGCCAATTGCCTGCAATCTCCAAATCACCAGGACTCCTCCACCACGGTATGTAATACTGTACTGTACAGTGTACAGTACTGTGTAGTAGAGTACAGTACTGTATATGCAACAGTATCGTACCGTACCGTATCCAAATTATTTTAGAAGTCCCCGGTCAGAGCTAATAAAAAGCAACCCCCCCCCCCCCTGGGCCCCAGGCCAGGCCTGTGATCAAAACCCAGTCGCACTCGCTTTCAATTGACGACGTGATCGGGATACATTGGATATACCAATTTTGACATCAATTTGTATCAAATTGATCGCAAATGCATGGTTTTAACATGTACGGATCGCTCTTGACTATAATAGCAGACCTATCTGTATAGGAAGGTTCATGGCGATTGGTCATTTTTAAGCGTTTAGCTTATAGTTTTTACTATTCAAGCCTATCGAAGAAAACGGATCACCTGTATAAGTGTGATAGTTAGAGTAGCTCCCAGTGTACTGCATTGATCGCAAATGCATGGTTTTAATATGTACGGATCGCTCTTGACTATAATAACAGACCTATCTGTATAGGAAGGTTCATGACGATTGGTCATTTTTAAGCGTTTAGTTTATAGTTTTTACTATTCAAGCCTATCGAAGAAAACGGATCACCTGTATAAGTGATACGTTAGAGTAGCTCCCAGTGTACTGCATTGACTTATAAACAGAAATACTCTTGGAAGTCGCTGCTGCCACTACCTAGTGTAAATCAATTTGTTTACCGGTAAATCTAGTATCCTATAAAATTTGCAAGCAATATTCCTTCAAATAAGAGGTTGCTGCATTAAACAGGATCGCAGTCATGCAATGCTAACGTAGAGTACAGTGCATGTTTTTGCATTTTATTGATTGTTTTATTAGTACTGTACAATGATGGACTACTATGGGGAAGAAGACGTTGGTCTTCTAGTTACAACACAACAATAAACTTGCCCATGGCTGTCATACTAAAATCGTTAGCAAGGTGGGCAAAATTCCCTGGTGTACCCTACAGTACAGTACTGTATAGAGACTGTAGAGTGTACACTGTACAGGGGTGGTTGGCAAGTCTGGTGCCATACCAGTGTTGTGCCAAATAACCAAACAGCAGATGATTCAGGAAGTTTCTCATCCCCACAAGGCAGTGCGGCATGAGCTATCCTATGTAGTCAAAAGCATAGACATTGTTGAAAACTCGTTGACTTCGTGGTGCACCACAGACCAAGGCACCAAGCAATTTTTTTTCTTTGAGACATTTTTTCCAAATTATTGGCGCTCTACTCGACTGTAGAATTGGCTCTAGTCATACTAAAAAGCTGATCAAGGACTTGAAAGGGGGATAAAAACAAGGACATTACTATTAAACGACGATATTCTTCAGCGTTCATCGACAACAACTTGGTTATCGTTATTTTCAACACCTTTTTTTATAAATTGTTAACATCTACCATCGTTTGCTAGAGAATTTTCTTCACTGCTATTATTATAAGAACCGTGGTAAATTGATCTTGTCGCCCTTTGAAAGACTCACTGGATAAATTTAATGATTTTCTCAATAAAACTGGGTTGAAGAGTTTGTAAAAGTAAGAATTTCTTCTTTGACCTCGTTTTTCAACTCATATTCTTGATTAAGCATAAAATAAAATATTCTGTAAACTGCATTATATTGACCATATACTTGAAAGTAGAATCATTTTTGAAGAACTGTACTGTAAATGTAACGTTTGTATAAATTGAATTGTTATAACTACTGTTGGTGGTGGTGATACGAGAGCATCGTATCGTTCACCCAACTAACTTGCTACATGTAGAGAAAAGCCAATGATGTCTTGTCAGTAGAACTGCTTGAAGTTTACAGGCATGTGGAGATTTTCCTTCCTTGCCGTTCTAATTGAACGTGTAACAACAATGCTGCCCCGTTGATCGAAGTATTCAAATCAATTACTTTTCTTACCAACCGATAGAATTTCCAAAATCATGATGTCGTATTATCAAATCTATGCACCACTTTCCATTGACATGATGCCATTAAAAAATTTCTCCTTTACTGAAATAGTTTCAATTTGAAAATAGCGTTCTATAATAACGCTGAATGAATTACCATACTTTATATATTTTCAACAAGAACGATTTACTGTACATGGAAATAAGAACAACTTGTAGTTGTTCCAATAGAAAAAAATCCTTTTTTATTATACAAAGTCCTTTGAAATCTCTACTGTCTATGTAGGCCAATAGTTCAAAGTACACACTATAACGTTTGTGTATAGTATATTGTGGTAGTATTATATCTATATCCAATGGATGATATTTTTCGTATAATATTCAGTAACCAACTTTTAAAAAAAAAAACTACCAAGCCTAAAATGGTGATCAATTCCCTTGGATGTATTGTTGTATCCTGTACTCTCGCTGTACTCGTCTTGACTGCCATTTCCTGTTAACTTTATGAACAAACCAATCAATCTATTGTACCTTGAACTACAGCCAATTTTTATAGTTATATTATATTTTATATTGACGTGCGTATGCTTATTTTACAATGGCAATGAAGTACGTCATAGGCAAAGCTGTTTTCAATCTTCAAATTGTTGATAGCTTCGTTTGCCGGCAATGATTAGTATCAACAATACTATACTGAGGCGCAGTGAGTAATCAGCTATCTTTCAACAAATACAACTATCAGGTTGGCACTATAAATTATTTAAAATATTGCCAACAGTACAGATGCTAAAGATTGTATGTAACTTTAGCGGGTACTGGCGATAGAATATAACGTATTTAATTGTCGTAAATTATACATAAACTTATAATGCTACATCTATCATATTGCTCATGTCTCAGCATTAGAGACATACGCCGATCTGTACTATATAAGACATCAATATTGATTTTTTGGATTCCGTTTGTATATCTATGTATATATATATACTGTATAATATATATATCTAGAGAATCAGTGAAAGTATATCAGAGATGACATGAGTGCACACTTTTCAGTATCATACTGTACGACTCGTTTACTGTATCAAATTGTTAAGATCGACCAAAATAATTTCAAACTACCGACTAAATGATAATTCTAATCTGTGATTAATGATAATAATAGTAGAGACATGTTTTGACGCTATGATTATGACTAAAGTTGTAATCTGCTAATTAGGATGGACATTAGTATTGATTTGCCTTTACCGATGTAATTTGGGTAATATTAGATATAATCTATCTTTTATAATGATGGTTGTATCTGCTATACTTAAAACAACAGGTTTGATAAACCCTGTGAAAATATTCTAACACCTTGAATATTAATAACTGCCTCAAAGTGTTTTAATTTAATGTATGTATCCAATTAAGATTTTACTGTAGATATTTAATAGTCTTTCTAATCTTTATCATAGGACGTGTCTTGTAAACGAATTTAGCAGTTTGTAATCGTGTAATACATAGCATAGCAAATCAATTACACTGTTACTATTACATGATTTACGCGTATGTAAATTTTGTATTGTTTTAAATTATAGATTTAAGTGCGACATATTTGTAGTTCTTCCTATATCTTTTAGTTTATTAATTAACATAGCGATTAGCAGATATGATATAGTCGTAATTCGTAAAGATGACTTTTCTAGTTATATCTTATTGTATAGTCCATAAATGGACTACGCCTGGCACCAAGTTAGTGTTTGCGACTAACTTATTATAATTTATCGACTTGATGAAATCTTGTAGTATAGTTAATCCTATATGGTATGATATGCCAAAGCAGAATGAAAACTATTCTGCTATGCTCTATATACTAGTGATAAGAACTAGCAAATTGATCTATCTTGACATTATGAGTCGTCTCAAGATTTTATAATGTATTATTAGTACTTGAATTGCTGTAATATTTTAAATATTTTAATTGATGTCAGGTCATTTTTTTTCATTATTTGCTACTTGATGAATACCTGCATAGAAAAAAGATGCACTAGTATTGTGTATACGTATGACAATGATCACACATATGAGATCTCAGTCAATGAGAACCGTGTTATATCCCGCTATTATTTGAAATGACCTTGAATGGGACAGCCATTTCTCGTTGTTACAAAAATTGTTAATATTACGCCATAAACTGGAAATACTTTAATGGAGATAGCTAAATGATATAAACAAGGATGAAGCTTTACAAATTGAAATGTATATTAGCATAGCTTCAATGCCTTGTATTACATACAGTTTTATCCACCTCTCTAGAAAAATTGTTCGTAATTGTATAAGCTATTTCCAGCTGAAAATGCTAAGCCAGTGTTTATGAACTTATTAATTGACGTCGAATAGTACACTAAACCTACCGAGGAAATGACTACAATTTAAAGATCTTGATCTTGATATGCGTATAACAGTTATAATTTAAAAGGAGACTTCAAAGAATTACCCTACTCACCTATTATATCTCAAAAGCAGCATAGTAATACGATCTGTAGATTTATTACTTCTATCTGCTTCATACATATGTTGCGTTTGTAAAAATTCATTAACAATCTGTATGCCAATTATAGAAAATTGACGTCTGAACAGCACCATAAACTATAATATATGACTTACTCTCTTTGTAAAGTGATGATACTCTAGTTAGTCCCAACATCAACTATCAAACTGATTAATTTAGAGAATGATGTCATTTTAAATTGGTAGTAAATGAACTTACATGTTTTTGATGTACGATTGATATTTGTAACAGCAACTGGAGTAATTAGTAGAATTGTTTTAAGATGATATCCTTTGCTCCGCTAATGATACTGATACAAATTAATAACAGGGAGTACTCCAAAGAAGAGTAGTCCCTGTTAGTAGCAAAGATATGTCGCTTAATGATATATATATATATATTATGGCAAATTATTACACAGTTCAACATCAAGTGTATTATCTACATTTTGTACTCTTTATAAAATATTACCTGTTTTTCTATCGTTCACATAGATTACTGTAGATACCACGTTGGATTATATATGTCTATAATACATATAAATATATCGGCAAACTCTACTTGCTCCATACTACTTCCTCAACAAAAACTCTAAAATAATACTATTGCAATTGTTGATAAACGTATAGATTTAAGATAACATTACGTGATCAAGATGATCTTGCAATTTTTATAAAGATATGTCAATATCGATCTATATTGGTTCCTATCAAATTATACCAATCACTACATACTATAATGATTCATCTTAAATATTTAAATGGTTGAACGGTACATAAACTGCCAAGCGAACTGTAGACGTTACCGATTATATTTTAGTTTGCTTTACACTTACTTGATATCTTTGTTAAATGTTTAATTTTCTTTTTGAAAAAAGCTGCCAAATTGGTTCGAATCGTGAAGTTATTCTATTGCTACAGTTGTTTCTCGTGCATTCATTTACTAAAGCACGAGACTTCGCCAACTATAGTTGTTGAGTGATCATTGTAATCGCCTTGTAATAGCGTCAATTGGTAAGCCTTCATTTTAAGTATGAGTACAAGGCAGGCAGCTAAGGGTCCTAGAAAAGCAAATAGGAAACGTCAACGAAGGCCATTGGTATAAATTTACCTAATGTTTATTACGTACTTCTTTAAGGGTAATAAATTTTAATTTGCAAATTTTTAACATTCTATTGTACTTTTATTTTTTGATAATGCAATCTTCACAGGTTAACGTAGTGATTGAAGCAAGTGCATCGGAATCTGCACAAGTAGATAGTACCAATGGCAACAGCGAAAGAGGGTTGGCTGAGGCTTTGCCTAATTCCAACGACCTCTTATCAAGGTAATGCGTCTATTGGATAATCTATTCTTAAAATAGGTTTTTATTAAGTACTTTTCGAAATACACGGTATTTAGGCACAAGTTGTATTCTTGTCTATTTTATTCGTGTATATTTCATAACTTACTACCGCTAACATTTTAGTAATGACGTAGATTTACTCTACTAATCGTTATATAATTAATTATATTCTAATAGAAGTGACAGTATTGAAATCAAAGAAACAGAGGTTAGTATATTTCTTATGCGTAAGATTGAGATCAGAGCTTTATGGCAATTTTAACAATGATTCTATACTTTTTAAGGCTGATCTTATGAAAGATCTAAGTGATGTTGAGTATGCGGACGAGGTAATTATACTGATGTCGATTTCTGTTAACATATTTATTTGTAATTCAATCCTTCAATTTATTTCTAGGATAAACTGTTACGTTCCAGTGATGAAGAGAAAAATGAACAGTAAGTAATATTATCATTTGTCAGTGATTGGTATCAATCACGCTGAATTATTCAAAACTGCCATTTCTTACTGTGTACAGAATCCAAGAAGAAACCGCACAAAATATAACTTCAGCTAGTATTGATGATCTACCAGACGATATCCCAGGTGATCGCATACAGATTAACGTATAGGGACTAGTCTCTGGTACAAATGTATAACCAATAGTCTGATTAACTTCATAGAAGAGCGAAAACATGATGAAGAATTTCTTGATTTCGACAGCGAAGAGAGTGATAACTCTGAAAGAGTGGAAAAATTTGCTTCTGAGCGTTCATCTACGACCGTTGTTGTTCCAAGAAGTGATCAATCCAGACATGCAAGTACGTATGTTCTACAGTAATAAATATTCTATAGCGACGAAATACAATAGCTTTCAGTGATTCATTAACAATAACTTTAACTTCTAGATATTAAGGATGTTTCCTTAGATGAACATATAAAGTCTGGATCAATAAAAATGCCTCAGAACGTAAACGTAAAAGATAATAAGAAAAAGAAATTGAACAAAAACTGGCATAATACCCCTAAACAGTTCGGCCATCGTCAACAAGGACAAAAGAGGTTAGGCTTATTTTCGTGTCGATCGTGTAGAAACATTCTATTTATTATGAATTTTAAATTATATTAAAGCCTAGAAAAATACTACATTAAAACAATACGATAAGTTGTACTTTGTATTACGTAGATTTCCAGCTCCATTTCAAATGCCACGAAGTAATCCGGTTAATAATCAGAGAAATTTTGATATGCGACCTTTTGCACCTCGTCCGTTATTTCAACCGAGACCGCAGCAAGGTCAGATCGGTAATATCACCAGTAACAACGTTATTAAAAATACAGATTATTTATTTAGAGTTGTTGAGCGTTTCAAAAAAGATGATTTAAATATCCTTGCCATAGGCCCGCCACATCAGCCAAGGAATATCCACGTTAACCCTCAATTCTTAGCAAATAGAGGTAAGGACTAGAATTTATTTGCATTGTAACTTGTCCCGCATTTTTTTCGTATAACTATCAATGTATTGAGGAGAATCAAAATATACTATGTATGGTTGTCATTCAGGAGCTATTGGAAATGGACCACAAAATTTTCAACCACCATCTCGTCCTCCAAATGCACCAAACTTTCCTCCTTCTGTCCATTCGAGATTAGGTATCAATAATCGTTTGGGAAATCCTCAGGTAAGATAACTTCGTAGCATTTCAAATATTTACGGATGTTGATGCTACTTTTATAAACATTTAAAGTTATGCATAAAATTCTTACTATGCCTTCTTTTAAATCATATTCACTACTATTTTTAGAGGATGAATACACCAGTTCCTCCACAACCAGTGCCTCAACCTCCTCATCAAATGCCAATTGCGCCTCCCGTTGGGCCTCCTAGATTTCAAACTGGCGTTGCTCCTCCGCAGATGCCACCGGTTACCGTAAATACTCCACCAGTACCTCCTACAAATATGCCATGGCTAAATAATCCACAAATGCAGTTTCAGGTGAACCAAACACCGGCACCAACGAAGCCTCAAGATATGTCTCAAACGCAGCCTAAAATACTTAGTAAACAAATGGCTGAAAATAATCAGTTATACGAAACGATGCAAAAGCAGGTAATAAATATTGATAGGCACGATAGTACTATAGTTACACCATGTATCATCTAATTAGATATTATTGTGATTAATATCGTGTTGTAGTTGCAAAGATCTGAAGAAAGGCGAAAACAGAGAGTGCTTCGAGGTAATCGCAGTCCATCTCGATCGCGTTCACGTTCACTATCGCAATCACTATCACGATCGCGGTCTCGATCGCGTAGTAGTAGTTCGTATGATCGTCGGAGAAGTTCTAGGAAAGACTCTAGCAGACGTCGATATCGACCGTATAAATCGGCACGTTCTATTTCGAAGAGCCCTAAACGCGATTGGAGCTCATCCAGTAGGAGTCGAAGTTTTACTGGTAGCTCCACTAATGGCAGCGACAACTATGAATCAGATATATCTGATCGAAGCGACCAATCTAGTGAAGAAAACTACGAAAGGAGTGCAAGTAGAGAGAATAGTCACTCTATTGGAGGAGAAAGTATTAGTTTAGAGGAAGAAAGTGATTTCAGTGAGAAAAGCCGAAGTCCGCCTCCTCCAAAAAGACCTATAAAAGATAGCTATCCACCAAGGAGAGCGAAGCGTTATAGAATGGAAAGATTAGATGATTCTAAGCGACCTTCGCGCCCAAATCAAGATCGCTCGAGACCGAGTCACCATAGCTTCAGTAAAAGAGAACGTCATAATCGATACGATAAGAGTGTGAAGGATGTATCTCGCAGAGAGGAGCGGAACGTTCACCAGACAGTACATCATGGAACCCGCCAAAAGGCTTCCAAATCAACAAGGGTGAGACACGAATGTCGAAAATTTAATCTATTGTAGTGTGTTGTACTTTTAATTATCGTATAGCACACCTAAAGGATCATGGTAATCTAAAAATGATATCTAATTATCTCCTATTTAACTGCTATGTTTATTGACGTATCTATTAGATTGTCACAATTGCAAGAGAGCAATCACGCAAACAAAAATCACCACCTCGCTCATCAGTTGTGCTCACAACTAATAACAAAGTCAGCAATGAAGACAGACGGGAGCTGGTTATTGGTTTCCTTTCGCCGAACACGAATTACCGCAAACTTTATAAGATTTTATCAGATATCGGACCGGTAGAAGTAAGTTAAATGTGAAGATATTCTATTGGTTAGGTTACGGAGTTGAAAGTTTCAGATTCGCTTAAATGTCATAGACGTGCTGACATCATACGTTATACTGTTTTACTATTGTGATTGCTTTGTTTAAATATATATTATGTATATTTTAATAGAGTCTCCAAATGGATTCTAAGAGGCAAAAAGCTTATGTAGTTTTTGCAAAGTCCGATTACGCTGTTGCCTGTAGAAGAAGATTACATCGGTATTGCAACATTTTTAACGCATATATATGTTGATGACTTTGTAATAGCTATAGTTTTTGTCGCTATTTCCAACCTACGTACGGTTAATATTACATCACATACTATTCTCTATCTAATAAGTTGCGCGCATTTACGGTGATTTACGTACGTTGAAATACTCAATTTAATCAAAATACAGACACTTAACCTTCATGTAGTAAATTGCAGTTAATATCATAAAATTGATTCTTTGAGAGCTAACTTGCATGTTCTTCCATCTGCATTAAAAAAGTCCTGGTAACATCATGGCTATTTGTAATACTGTTAGTATAAGCAGTAGTCTTACGATTCTTAAGCTGTCTTCTAAAGTGTGTAACAAATTTAGCATGATATTTGAAGTTAGCTACGTGTTTTCAGTGTTTGTTTATTGATTTGTTGTATAAAAATGTGGTTTTAAAATTAGAGTTTTATCGCATATTAATAATTTTTGTCTTTGTTTCTCGTTAGGAGCCTACTTGATGAATCACACATATCGGTAACGTTTGTGTGATAAACGAAAGAATGAACTGTATCAATAGTGTAATTATCAGCTCCACAAGCTGAGTCAGTTTTTAATGCATAATTTTCATGACTGCTATTTAAGTTTTCATATTTTGTTCCAGTTTAGACTATCTTATCTGTAAATATATATTTATTTACGGCATACACATGGCATATATATGTACGCGTATATTATGAATCTCCCGAAAGAAATTTAATCTCAACACAGGAATTGTTAGGACTTATTAGATATAATGGCAATGCTCATAGTATTTGTGAAAGCGTCATTAGAAGATATGTTCGCCCTTTTACAATTGTTTTTCTGACCGTTTTTGTTGATTTATGGAGTACAAATCATAGAAAATCTGTAAAAATCGTCGTTACTAACACAGTAAAGTCATTCTCTTCTACGTATAGTAATTATAACCATTGCACCTCCGTTCTATTATTTGAAAACATCATATGTAAGATAACGCACTATTGTTTGCACTTTTCATATACTTAATTTAGTCATTCTTATCACTATATGGCTATACTATAGCTACTAACACTATTCGTTACATTGATTTTCAAATGATGTTGCCTTTTATCGATTCGTAAATGAGAGGAAAATACGGATTTCAGTGGGCGAATTTTTAAAAAATCTTACAAAAAATTATACTGTTTAATACGCAGCTTAAAATTATAGCTACTATGCTAGTACTAAACTAACAAATTAAAACGTTAGATTCTTTTTTCGGTGAAAACCAAATTTCAATATTATTGTATTTGAAATATTTGCTGACAATTTCACTATGAATAACACGCGTATATTCGAACCTCTGGTTCACACTATATAAATAAAATAAATTATGACTGATTAGCTCGTATATCGGTGATAACTTGATGGATCTTCACTTTTAATTCTTCAATTCCTTCTAAATGTTTTGCTGATATCGGACAAAGATGCATACAATTTGGCCAGTTGTCGTTGCTATTGTTGTTACCATCTAAGTGAAAGATAAGATGTTGATATTACAAGCATGCATATATATATAAATACGCGTATATACGTAAGTTACGAGTAACTATTTGCAATAATGTATTGACAATAAAAGACAGTTCTATAACTGCAGTTGCGGTGATCTCAGCTGTAATTATATCATTGACATTCTATATAAACACGTTTCCTGTTAAAGAGTACCATTGTAACAAAAAACTTTCATGCAGTACATTGTAGATTCTACCGATACTTGTTAGCATGAAAGAACGCAGTAATTCCTTTTGCATGGATTTTACGTTTAAAGTGAAATTTTGGAATTGAATGTCCATACTCAAATCTGCATCCATCTTGGATATTAATTCGTCGAATTTCCGTTGTCCTTGCCGTCCCTCCACTTTATTGATAGCAATAATACTTGGACGTTTAAGCAGCTCGTGACTATAAGATTTTAGCTCCTATAAGCATGAACAAGCAAAGTCGATCTTTTAGCAATTGTAAAATCTTGGCTAGCTTTATAAACGCACCTGAGCAAGAAGACTGATTGTTTCTAAAGGTGTTCTAAACGAAAACTTTTCTGAAAGTTGAAATCCATTGATGTCAATCTGTAAAAGAATAAGTAAGTCATATAGGTGAAAAATCACGTTACGATAATATAATAATCAACATCAACAGCAACATGATTTAAGCGGAATTTAGTAGATACATAAGAATTCATGACATATTATACTGAGTTAGTTTTGTAAGCCAAAGCGATGATTGACCATTGCCAGTTAACTAACGGTATAGTTATCGTGCGTACATGCAAACTCGTATAATGATAATATTATTATTATGAGAACTAGAGGATATTTTATTGACGGTTTCACATTTATTATCACTATTTTAGTACTTACGAGTACCATATGCATAGATATGATTTTGTTGGACTTACTATGAACAACAATAGCTTAGTACGTTCGACATGTTTCAAAAATTTATGGCCCATGCCAACATTTTGACTCGCACCTTCAATTAACCCCGGCAAATCAGCAATTCTCACCTGAAAAGCATGGAATCATATTTTGACCGATAGTTGATTGACTGAATATAAATCAAATGGATTAGAAGATAAATCGATTCTGCCTGGGATATCACGATAAAATAATACGATGAGACCACAGTAAAGTACAGTACTTATTATTATTATTATATGTAATTACGCACCTTAACATAATCTGGATAGAAAACTGTTCCTAAGTGAGGCCGAATTGTTGTAACTAAAGAGAAATAAGGAAAGGTATTAGAATGTAAATAATAAAAAACTAGTTTAATTTGATCAATTTTAGATTATCAATTGATGTCATACATGAATAGTTGGCCACTTTAGGTTTAGCACCAGTTAAGGCACGTAATGTAGTCGATTTTCCTGCATTAGGAAAACTAGTGTGAATAACAGAAGTCATTAACCAATTTAATAACGATAGTAAATTATATTACGTCAATGATGCAATAATCCACATTTACATACGTTGCTAAAAACTGTACAGAGTATCATTTCGAATATTGTCATAAACTATATAAACTATCAGTAGCTAGTGATTGCATCATTGAAATGCTATTTGTAATGGATATAATAATTATTATTTGCGTTTATAGCCAGCTACCCTATCAGTCCAACATCTGCAATAAGTTTCAATTCTAGAGAAATCATCCGTTTTTGACCTTTCAAACCACACCATTTTGGCCCAGTTTGTGGGCATCCTCCCATTCCTCCTTTAGCAACTGTAAAAGTACTGTCTACTTTATCCAGCGATACCAAGACTTTCTTTGAGTCTAAACAAGTTATAAGCGTCCCTGTTGGAATTGCAATCCTACAATCTTTACCTTTATGACCATTGAACGCTTGGCGACTAAAAATTGAAGCACATCATCAATAAATAATAGGCGTTATTTTCAATTTAGTTTGCATGTCAGGAAGTAAGGCTTTCTCTACAAGGGAATATAATCCACCTAATGCAATTGAATATTCCGCGGCAGGATACTAACGTTGAGTAGAAAATTCTCTCAACTATAAACTATTGTTACGCATCCACTTGCTAGTGACTGTAATAACACGATCTATGCAAGCACTCCAATGTATCCCATACCTGCAATTTTCACCATTGCCAGCAATAAACCGCCTATCTTTCCGCTGAGCAATATCGAACAATGCTGCACCGTCCTTGGCTACAACATATACTTCGCCTCCATCTCCACCCATTGCACCTGAACGTGGTTTACCCTGTCCACCGCCTCCACCTCTGCAAAATATTCGTACCCTATCTACAAACTGGCGTTTCCATTTAGTTACAGCCATATCAATAATAGTAGATGCGAAAGTTAGACAGAAGAGCATTACTATGATCGTTTCTGTACTTGATTGCATAGGCAGACACTGATTTCCAAAATAGTTTATGTTATAAAATACTAGTTTGCAATCATAAATTATCCATTTTATGCTGCGATTAAAATAGATTACAGACACAATACACCTACTGATAATTATAATGCCAATGATTTGCTTTTGACTAAAATTTAGATAATGAATGAACTATAATATCAGTTATTAGGAAGCCCTAAAGGTATGCAAACGACATAGGAGTATAAGAAACTGCTCGACCCAATACGAATCGTGTATTTAGATACGGATATCGATTTTTAATAGTCTATAATTTAGATCGCGAATTTACCATCATTAATTGTAGCATTTGTGCTGCAACTGCACTGCGATGACAACGTAAACAGATTGTACATGAATAATTTGCGATTGTAATTGACTAAAATTTCGATATTGGATCAGCCTTAATATCATTCATTAAAGGACTACGTGAAACGACATAAGAAAATACAAAACTGTTTGGTCCTGCTACGAACCATATCTACTGCACATACAAGCATGGATTCCCAATAGCCCATAGTGGAGAGCACTCATCATCAACACGATTAGACACATAATAACAGATTGCAAGCAGTATACTTTACCCGTGTACGTGTCTTTGATTGCTTACATCAACGATTGATGATGGCTAGCCAAGTATGTAAATTAACGTACAGTAAATTTAGATATTCATCAAGCACAAAAAGCAGCGATTACAAGGCATCAAAGGCTAGCATCGATCAGCAATTGAGCTACTTACTCTGCGCTGGGTTTGATTCATCTCGGAGGTAAATAATAATCGTTTCAATGGATGTTGGAAATCTCCATAGTTAGGCGTTAATGCTCGTATCTTTAAGGTGTAATTTAGCATGCTAATCCTCAATCAGCAAATATATTGAGAAAGAAACAAAATATTTTGAATGACAACCGTCTAGGCTAGCGTTGTATCAATAACTATCATGGACAACCCAATTTTTTATATGAGAAAATGACCAATAAGCTTGCTTATACAGTATCTTTGAGGTCGATTTTCAGCTTTTTCCACCTCGAATGAATTGAAATCAAGAAGTGAGCATAAATATCTGCCTGATTTCCATAGAGACCTGGCGAAAGACATCATTCCACCTACTGTATACTAATTTAATATCTAGTCCTATGCTGTAACTACTGTACCGGATAGGGGACGCTTTCATGCGGTTTGGCATTATACATTAGTATGAGCATACAGTCTATTGTAAATTAGCGCTCAAACTTCAATGAAGGATACAGTTGTATGCTGTTATAGTACATTTCTAGGTCATTTTGCATTATAGATTTGTATCACCATATCCATTCGTTGTGAAACTTGTATGAAAGAGATACAGTCTTACTAGGCTACTGTACTGCAGGCTGCCATCGAGCTGACGACCACATTTCCCTTTTCTTCACCCTTTTACCTACCCTGGCTGGAGCTCTGCCATCCCCTTCTATATTATTGTAGAGCTTGCTTTCATCGACAGAGACAAGAGTAAAACTCTCCTTCAAGTCTATACTCTCATCTATCACAATCTGGCTACCACTAGACACATTCATTGCTAGAAATCGCATAATCACCGATAGATTGGCTCAATCCATCCTGAACCAATGAATGCTTAAGCTGTATTGTATACTTGCAGGAGATCGTGTTGGAATTTGATTCTTTTGCATCAAATTACAATCCTTAAACTACCATCTAACCCTAGCAAATTCGTTCTACTTGCCGAATGAGCTCATACGAGTACTCACTGCAGCTGAATCATTAAATTAAGTAAATTGTCATTACTAAGAAACTACTGGAATTTTCAACATCTTAGACTATTCACATGAATCATGCAAAGTATATTCTGATCGGAGGTAGGTGTACTTTGCCCTATGGCTCTTATTTGAATCTATCATCAAATAATTATGATGGCTAATAAAATAAAATAGCCTCAATTTCTCTTATCATCATGATAGTCAATCAAGTAGCTTTAACCTTGTAATACTCATAGCAAGTATATTTAGGAAAATCACTAACTTGTAATAAATCTTAAATAGGCAGTGCAGGTGCGGTCTGTGGCCTAGGCTATAAGTATGGAGTTCGAAAGAATCCAAAAGAAGCCTATTTAATATTACAGTATGCTTCCATAGCAGGTAATATTACAACATAAAGACAAATAGCAGTGGCTTTAAGTAAACCTGTAGATATTGAACCCATTCTTTTAGTCGGATGCTTATTAGTTTAATGAAGATGATAGATCAAGATACCATAATTATCTATTCAATTGGTGAAATCTTATTCCTGTCCTTTAATTCTCTTGTTATAATCACGTAGTTATCGTAATATTCTAATAGAAGTTATGAATATGCAAATATCATGCAAAAGATGTAATATAACGTAAACATGTATGAAATTATCTAGACAGTGTTGTGAGTACAACAGCGCCAATTCACATACGTCTAAAAGGAAGCAACTTGTTGTCTGTCGTTAGATTAAGCAATGATATACTGTAAATTAGTTTAGGAGTATGTAGTTTACAATCATGTAATTTTAGCCGCTTCTATGATATTATTGCTATGCTGTAGTCACTGCATGAATACATTCAATCAGTTGATCATGTTTGATGTAAATAATGTCGTTCAATGTTGTAATGATCCACAAAACTATAAACTGTAGTGGTAATTTCAAAAGTATCAATGCACCTCAAACTAATCTAGAACATCTTGTTTGTTTATCCTCAGCTAAATAATACATACTAACTTATTCAACCATAATCATTCGTTCGCAGGTGCTTCTGGTGTTGTTGCTGGCTTTTCCTACGCAGCTTGGATCAAACGCCCTAAATTAGCCTATTCTGCTTCATTCGGCTTTAATGGCGCCATTTTGACTGGATTATTTTTTAGTAAGCTAGCTGATACTAAAATAATTAAATGTGTGGATAATAATAGCCAGCCTTTCACAAATCAATTATCTAAGTCATACAAAATTGAACTTAATTTTACCACGATTTGAATTTAAAGTTATAATGATATCGTAATGATTAAACCGTATAATTATTATATGGACATTGTTATTTCATAATTTCATCGTGCTTGGCACTAAATGTCTAGGACGATAGAAATACAATGGTAATGTACTTAACGGATGCACTAGTAACTATCTTGAAATTAACCAGTCTTTATTCCTTCAGCTTTTCGTAAAATTACCGACCATACGGACATTGCTGGCATCAATCAAGTTCACCCGTATATTAAAACTGCGGGTTGTGGTGGATTAACGTTAATGGCAATTACCGCTATTTCTGGTAAATAGACCGACCATTGTTATCAATTTAATAGCATAACAAAACTAGTGAAAACTATTTAATTTGATTTAAAAAATGTTTTACTTAGGCGGCACATTGCCTGTTCTATTCAATTCGGTCATTAGTGGGGCAGCACTTGCAATTTGTGGTATTTTATTCTAATTTAAATCTAAAGTTTTCCAAAGTTTTGTTTCACCATTTACAGTAAATAAAATTCTGAAATTTTTTTGCTCTATATTACAAATATAGCCCATACCGGTTTCGATACCATGTTATTACTACGTAGAAAAGCTGCAGTGGCCTATCATCTATCACAAGTGCAGGAATCTATCGAGCTTAACGTATGAAATGATCTTTGCTATAACGTTATTTATAGCTGTAGCTTATATTAAATTGATGTCTACCCATATTACTTATACAGGATGATCCCCAAAAGCAATCAGTATTTACTAAAGCATACAAGTATATTGCTGAGCCAACAGATCTTGGAAAATTAAATATGAGAATTAAGCAATTGTCTATGGAAATTCGTTTATTAGAAATAGAGCTTGGAGATATATCTGAAAATTCTCAAAATACTGATAGCGAAGAGTGAAACTTTTAGAGAACCTGTGTTACACGAACTTAGATAGCTATAGTTGCCAATATTTGTATTTACGGGTATATCTTGCAGTCTCTATTACATCTAATGCTGTTGGTTAAGATTGCTTAACGATGGCATCTTCAGTTGTAGATTTTTACTGGAGAACCCTAAAAGTAGCAAACTCATCATAGAGAGACATGACTATCTCATAATCGTCTTGTAATGATGCAAATTTTTTTATTTCCTTTATGCACAAGACTAGAGCTTATATAAAATTTATATAAGAATGAAATTGATCAGTATATAGAACAGATACTATATTTTAATGGTTGATGACTATAATATACTGAAATGGAATGAAATACAGTATTTAGACAGGATCAATTCAAATTATTTATTATCAACGTATATTTAGGTTTATGACAAAAGCTGTCGTATTATGACGGTAAAAAAGATTGGCATGTACTAACTATATTCTAATAGTACAATTGTCAAAGAAATATCCTTCAATATTTGGTTAGCGCTGTTTGACTAATATTATTACGTACGTTTTAAAGTAAAAACGCTTGTCAATAAAATACATGCTAGGTTACATTAAAATTTATAGCTGTATATGTAGTATAGGTGCTTTTATATACTCGTACTTCATCAGTCAATTATGTTGATCGATTGCAGCAAAAATAACAATGTCAGCATGGTAACTTTTACTATACTCTGTAATACATTTTAATCGTTATTACAGCTAACTAAATTAAAGTAAAGTAATCGCTATACTCAGTGACTAAATCACTACAGAAATATTTTGTTGATAACGATACTTAATAAATTGACGTTACGAATATTTAAAGCGGTACATCATGTTATAAACTAGGAACTTTAAAAGATGTGAAGACAGCCATCATTTTTTATGGAGAAATAAAATTTGCTATCAAGAGTTATTGAATACTGCAGACTTGGCTGTTATTCATTTCGGCTTTCTTTTGCATCATAACCAACTTTGCTGCACTCTTAAATAATTTTGAATCAGTCGTATTCAAAATTTTTTCCACTTTATCTATCTGTAATTATGAAAGCGTTATACCAAGATATTAGATGAGACAAGTAATAGCTTTTAGTTCGTACTACATCTATTCTGTCACTATAGCTTATGTTATAAAGCTGAAATTTTTTATATTGCTATAGATAAAAACATTACCTTGATGGCATCTAATTTTTGAGTCCTGGTTTCTCGGACTAATTTACTTAAACGTTTCTAAATGAATTAATAATTTATCAGATGACATTTGTACAGTTTTATAAATTAATTTATGAATCTTATTCATAAGATCAGTGATATAGTCAGGCACATGTAAACAGCCCTATCATGCCATTAACCATCGAATGATATATAACTAACCAGTTTTCCATCTTTTCTAGCTAATCGCCTTGCAGCCGCAGCTAAACTGCATTTTAACTTAAAAATTTCATCTTTATCCTAGTATTAACGGGAATATCAACTAATTTAGATATAATGATGATGTGTCTAATGAAGTGACAGTTCAGACTATTTTATTGTGCTTATTGGATAGATTTATTTGTAAGTATTTTAGTTTTAGAGATTGATCATCCTAGTACGCCTAACAATAGACAAAAAATACAACATAACCTACCATTACTGCGTTAGCATTTCCGCCATTGATGGCCAAATTGCCTTGTTTCAGTGAATCTGCATGTTGTAATTGTTTTGTCGACATCGCAACTTTATTTTGTGGGGTCTCAATATTTTGCTGCCCGTAAACCTCAATTGTAAATGCTTGATTCTCTAAATATTCCACTAGCTATAATATAAGATAAAATGAGATTGTTGTAGATTAGTAATTGGTTACCTAGTTTGATAAAATTTACTCTTACTGTCGATTTTTCCTATCATTCCTTTAAACTACAGATAATTATTAATTTGGAGGATATCTCATTCCTATCAGTCTTTTCCTTCCTTCATACAATTTACTTTAATCATAGCCATCAATCAAAATACCATAAAGGAGCTACTAACACTTTTAATATGATTAAAGTAAACTTTAACGTAGCCGGATGTAAAATAATACTCAAGCATACTATAAATATTACATGATCGAGGGATCTATTTCCTATCAAGTTAAAGGAGATTAACTCTGGTTATACGAGATGCGGCAGCAAAAAATTCGAAAACAATTCTTAACATATTTAGTTATAGTACTAATCGCTATCTATGTATAGAACATCAAAAAATTCTCCCATTAACTTTAATTTTAGTTGAGGTGTTTATCGAAGGGAGTGTTGCTTTATTTACCTGATTCGTTACTGTTGGGAATGAAAATCTTTCCGTATATTTGAAGTCAGGATTGATTGTACCTTCAACTACTTTTGTTCTGTATTCTTTAGTGTCAAGGTAAAACTTGTACTTACAGTAGACTTTCTAAAAGACGATAATTACATTATATAACATTATTAGATCGAATAATCATAGCAAATATGCAGATTAATCGCGTCATGATTCCTAAGTGACAGCTATACTTATTACAAAGAAATTTATATGCGTTACAAATGGAACTACCTTATTATATTTCATTGGCAATCCACGAATATTATTGATATTAAGGTTAAAATATAATGCTTTTCCAATCTAGAGTAGCAAAATAGAGAGGACAAAATGAGAAAATCTACTAGAAAGTGCTGGTGTAGTTAAAATTTGAAAATCTATATTTCACTGATACGATTTATGAAGATATTGAATTAAGTTGAAATAAAAATTACAAGATCTTCTGGACTTTCAATATCGTCAGCATCTTCTTCTAAATCACTTCCGTCAGCTTTACAAGGAACAGCTGAAATACTCATAATACCATTTTGATTGCCTTTAAAATCAGTTATATTCAGCGACTCCTCCATGTCAAACTAAAAGAGGAAAGAAAAAAGACATTCAAAGATTATTGTAGGTACTAATTTTTATCCCTCTTCATTTCCATCTTTCATATGAGTATCTTAAACTAATTGCGATCGACTAGACGACAACAGTGCTCTATTTTGATTCATTACTATATGCAAAATTGAATTAAATTTGGATATACCATATAGGCTAAAGTTTCTAAATAAACTTGTACAGATCCAACTAGCACATAGGCATCGCTAGGTTCCCAAAATGGATCTTCATCCTATAAATATTATCCAGGTAAAGTCGTCAATGTATTATTTTTAATATGGGTAATTCGTTTATTCTGATTCAGTTTTTCCAGTCAATTAAAGTTTAAATACTGTACCTCCTTATCAACTTTATTTTCTCCAGTTTGTAAGAAATTTTGATACATTTCTTGCATGAGAAATTTTCGATTAATAAACTTATCCTTGTCCCATAGCCAAGATGCATCGTTAAGTAAATTACGCATTCTAACGAAGATCTATATCCAATTGTTTGGAATGAAAGAGTGCAAAAGATGTCATTGCAGATTAGAAGAATGAGACTTATACTAATTAATAAATTATATAGATAAGTAATGGAAGTCATTTGACTCATTTCCATTACTATCGAGAGGTATAGAATAATTTTTACCTCCGTTCTTCCTTCTTTTAGACCTCGAGCTTGTGGAGATACTAATACAATCTCAAAGACGACCTATTTTATCATATCCAGTTAAAACTGTCAAAAACTAATTCGGTACTAAATAAAAATCTACTCAAATAGTAACAACCCTTTCTGACCTTCTTATTTAACTCTTCACTCATAGCATTAGCTTCGCTAATAAATTGCATAATTTTCATTAAATCTTCTTGTAATAGCAGTTCCTCTAAATGTTATGAAATAAACGTGTTTATATCTATATCAGTCCTATATATCTTAGTCTATTACTGCCAGCTGTGGTTGTCATTTTTATAAGGTTAAGCTACGAGTATAATCTGACAGCTACAGAATAGCAGTAATGCTAACTAAAGACATTGCTCTTAATCATCGATTATTACCACTATTTAAATAGACTGTAGCTAATACTTAATGTCTTAATCCTATCAGTCATAGATATAGGAAATCAACTACTTTAAAAAATAAAGTTGCTCTTATTTTCAACTATTAATATTCACGAAAACTTTACTTGCTGTACCACTTGATGTCAGAGCCATATTTTAACAATTATAAAATAATATAATAGCAAATATGATAGTTACAAATAACTCATTAAACAATTTCTAACCTTTCGATTTTCCCTTAGTGTCCATGTCAAATCCAGAACTTTTAGCAATTTCTTTCTGAATTAGATCCCATGTTACTTCTCGAAATTCTTTGCCTGTTTCTTGCGCTGCCTTAAACTCTGCTGGATAATTGAGTACGTAAATATGATTCGAGCCAAAGACAATCCTAAATTAAAAGTTGACGATTAGCCAGGTTCGATCAATCTGCGCCTACTTTGCTACCGTTATCGTGTATGTAAGATATGGCAATGGATGCCTCACCGATCATTATGGTGAAGTATAGTCTCTCCAGTAACTGGTTCACCATTTACAACAGTTTTAGCCAGATCAGGACCAGGAAAGATTGTTACAACATCATTCTTGAATTTAATGATGGCATGTTGCTGTTGAATACTGTATAATAAAAGTAAATTCGATCATAAGATGCAAGGCTTCCACATTTGATCATTATGCTTATTATCAATTTGAGAATGTAAATAGCTCTGTTATTTTTATCATTATATATTTAAGCAAAGTAAAAAATAAACCTTAGGCCATTCAAGACAATGTTAGGTTCCGGTTCAGCTTTACTATTGCCAATTGTATTTTCACCTATTAAATCATTTTTTAAATTTAAAATTTTGCAAGGCACCTCTTTGTCATTTTCAGGATAGATTGACTAATCTTTATATATATATTGCCCCTCGTGCATTTTAACTAGAGTAAAAACCTGGGTCGACGAAGTGTACAACAACACCAGTTAATTGAGGATCTTCATTTAGATTCCATAAATGTGGAGTTGTTTTTCTTTTATCACGCAATCGGTTCTCTTCAGTAGCCTAATTATGTCAACATTAAGCATGGGTTAAACTAGAAGTTGATGTTACTTTTAAAATAAATTCACATCAAGGTAATAGATAATAACCTCTTGAGATTTTGTGGATTCTTTCAATTTTTGCTCCCACGATTTTTTCATCTCTTCCATCTCTCTTTCATTTTGACGAATCTTGAGATACCAGGAATAAAAGAAACATTAGTCTATCAATGACATACTAGATATCAGATTAGTCATTTACAAATTACCACTTCTTCCATTTCTTTTCTCATCTCTTCTACTTCAACTATAAAAAATAAATCATGTTGATCATTTAATCTCAGATCATAATTACTTGGATAAATGCTGAGATTTTTGGAGTATTACTGCCTTATCGACACTATTAGTAACGGTATTATTTACGTGATGTACATGGATTTATTTTTTACAGGAATAGAACTAAATACAGTTGATATGTGAATAATTTCTCTATCGGCTCATATCACGAAAATCTTTCTATAGTGTTGCGTTACAAATAATATCCTATTGACGATTCATGGTATAATATGAGAATCTCTATCTAATGGTTGATTATAAATTTGCTTTACATTAATTTACCGTCATCTTTGACTTTCACTTCTTGGACTGTTCCTGCACCTTTTAATTGAGCTAAAAGTCTTGCATTTTCTTCCTTTAACTCACGAATTAATTTTTCTGTAGGGCTTTCATTAACAACAGCTTTTGTCTTGATGCTTTTAGCTCGATCAGCTATTAGAACCAGATATAATGCAATAGTTAGATACAATAAAAATAGATCCTAATATACCAGATTACAATACATGAAAAGAATTGCATTGATTTCTTCTAACCAAATCTCAACGTTGATAATGTTTCGTCATAATTAATATCAGCAGGGCTCAAAGCAGCAATCTTAAATGATACGAATATGGTAGAATTAGAATTGGCTGTAATTATCATTGTAAGATCTATGATATCTGTAGAAACACATATTATGACAAGATTAATTTAAAAGATCTTGATTCACCATAATGGTCTTGCTGTTTCCGTCTAAGGCATTCTTTAATAATTTGGTAAGAGCAGAATCACGAAATGGGACTATTGGATTAATCGAAAAATGAGATGACAAAATTAGTTTAATAGTAAATATAGGCTAGATTATAGTTCTGCAGCTATAGGCTACTTTCTAGGATCCTAAACATTGGAATCTCTCATCCCTTACTAAACTTACCAATAACACTCTTTTTCGATGATGAACGATCAGCTAAAGCTGTTATAGAATAAGAAAATCGGCGGGTAAGATATGATTTCCTATATTAATAAAAGTCACCTGATAGTAATATAAAGTACAGTAAGTAGTTGGAAGATTTCAACTCACCTTTAATAACATTACCAAGAATTGTTAGTGATAAATTAATAGCTGATCCTTCTTTCAAACGATCTCCAGTAGCTCCTGTTGATTCTGCACGCTCACTAATAAAGAAATGTAAGATTTTATTATATCACTAAAAATTATAGCAATAAAGCTGAGCTAATATAAGAATAATTTAAAAGCCGATCAAACTATACGCATATAAAACTTAAACTATATAAGATCTACCTGCCAGCTAAATCGACAAGGTTCATTGTCGATGTTCGGGTCATACTTTGATTGCCTTTAGCTTTCGTTTTTTGCTTAAATGTAATGGCAACAATTGTATGTGCGCGACTAAATTAAAGAAAAAGTGAAGGTATTTCATTAACAGATTGATCTACTAGCTATAAACTGGGTTAGTCCTCAACGTATTCCAGTAAATAGATTTGATTATTACGAGCATTAACCTGCTTGTTGCATTCATATTAGTTGCTGCAATAGTTCTATTACGCGTTCCTTCTTCCATTCTATTTTCAATATCTTTGTAACTAGTAACAGGTACATTCTTCAATTCTTCAACTAATAAAAATGTTAGAAAATTTTAAATTTTTTGAATAAGAGATAAGATTAATATGGTAATAATAGGGAAATGCATAATCTAGGTTGTAGATTTAGTGGCCAAAAAGATCGACCTGTGATGCTTCATTTAACTACATTTTAATAGGAACAATATCTTACCATAGAAACCTTTCGAGGGATGTTGACGAATTTTTAAACCCCCTTTCTGCACACTTGGTCCTTTAGGATTTAGTAGATCGCGTACCTACAGACAGTTAGTCATGGCAAACAATGAATTTTAATTATATAAGGATTACTTTGACTATGTGAAATGATAAGTTTGGACGTATAAAAAACCAGTAGAAAGTGTTCTGTAAAAGATATTTTATCATGTATTAATTTAATTGTAATCAATCTTACCTGTTCATTGTAGATTTCTAACATACTAAAATTAATCTATTAAATTAAGACAAGAATAGAAGAGAAATTAGATTGAAGTACAATAAAATTATACATAAATTGACAATTACTTCAAACTCGGTCGTATCTCCTCCACTTTTCTTTTCATTTATGGTATTAAATAGTTCTTGACATGCCACAGGTATAATACCTACAGGAATTAAAATCAAATTTGGGAGTTAGTGTATCCATATATATTACTTATAATTTATTTTAGCCCTTTTAGGTTAATTATTAGATTTAAGACTAGTTAAGATAGCAATTCTTGAAGACGTAACCATCAGCTAAGATTTCTTACGGGTTACTGATAAGTACAATAGGTGCATTACCTTTATTAGCTCCATAGCCAACCATAGAGTATGATTTACCCGATCCTGTTTGCCCATAAGCGAATAGAGAACAATTATAGCCCTTCCAGGCGTTATCTAAGACACCTTGGCCCAAGTCTTTAAATACACGTAGCTAGACAAAATAAATAGGATAAGGAGCGTTGTTTAATCCAATTCGAGAATATATAAGACATTTATCTCGAAGAATTCGAAATCAGGAAAGAGTATTGTATTTATATTGGCCAGTAATTTCTAGCCTTAGAATAGTTTCTTATTGATACAGAAACACTAACTAATTACCTGATCAGCATATCGAGGAGAGGCTGGCACTAAATAGCCATCACTTTCACGTTTGGTAAAATCATCGTGAGACCAGTAACTGTAATCGAATGAAAATCGTTTTGGTTCTTCATTTTTCTCAGCAGGATTGGAAATTTCTGTGGTCTTGTCGATCATGTTAATGATAACAGTTGCACCCCGAGCATTTTCACGCTCGTTGTGAGGCAGAGTTAAGGATTATAAATATGCTATGCTGTTGACAATATAATGGATACTAAGATAAATTAAGTCTAAGTTGATGATTTACGACAGACGCTCATTATTCGATATTCGTAATAAACGATAATAAATGTTATCTACTCGTATATTTGTGTCCGTGTTAATTAAAGTAATGTAGAAGCAATAGGGTGCCTACAATAATTCTGATGTAATGCTTGTATTAGAAGCAATTTAGATATTATAAAAGTATTATAAAACAATTTGATAAACAATTTGGAAGTATTTTAAAGATACCTAATCGTCATTAATTTTTGACGTGGTGCTTATTTGTGCAACGTAATGAATATAACTTAAAGTAGCCTTTAACCTAATTGTAAGTGTATCTAACTATCGTTATGGTTGGCTGTAGTTGTAACTCTCTCTTTAATAATCTACAGTATATCGTAAATTGGTTTATAATAAGGTAAAGTAATCCGATCATATCTAATTTTAAAAATTACATGACGACAAGCATATTTTTAATAGAATCTATCACTTCCGCAGTATAATAAGTATAATAATTTTTTACTATTTTTTAATCCAATTATCATCAAAAGTATCTCACTGTTAGTACGATTATTTATGGATAAAACTCTCCCCTAATACTCGTATATCGTGATCTAGCTTATAATAGCATAAATAATTAGATTGTATCTGCTTTTTAAGTAATATATTGCCTATATACAATGTTTATGCGACAATTTATTTTACAATGCAATGAATATAACTACTAGTCGTTCGTCTATCTATGATTAAATGTATCTTATTATCAGTACATATCGTTGTGGATATGACTCTATCTTTATTACTCGTCTATTACGATTTGGTTTCTAATGGGGTAAAGTAATCAGATCGTATCTACTTTAGACTGGATCTATATTAAGGCCAATATGCGATATACAGTAAAAAAATCGACGTTATAGTTTAAGGCATTTGTATCCTATGTTAAAGTACGCTTAATTAACACTTCGCGGTTCATTTACCGCTACCAAAATTAATAGCTGGTACATGACTACATGCATAAAAGCTCATTTTGTATGTATGCATATTTCTATTCCGATATTGGCATAATCTACCGGAGCAAGCTTAAAAGTAGACTAATACTGAGAGTTCCACTATCGGCTGGGTACTTTTTAAGCTCTATATCAAATCCTACCGTCATCAGCCTAGATTGATTGGAGTCAACAAATTAATCCATACAACTATAAGTTAGAATTTAGCCTAAAATCACGGTCATATTACAGACTTTCATGGTATTATCTTATAGATACTTTCTATGACAGAATAAAGTCTTAACTATACATAAAAATTGGAGAAAATGGTGAAGAAATGAATGGATATAAATGGTCGAACACGCACTGCGACACGAACGTTCTCCGCCATGACTTGGTAAGAGGATTTCTGTTGCTACGATACTACTACGCAAGCGTAATAAAGGCTTAGTGCAGATACAAAACAAAGCAAAGTTTGCGCAGTAAGTACTGTACACTGTACAGTGTACAGTACAGTACAGTACTATAGTCTGAAGGCTACTGTACTGAAGATTAACGATGGTTCGTATTCAACTAGTTTAAGGTAGTAGGATTAGGTTCAATCAAAGTTGTAATCAAAAAGCCTTACTATACCGGACATTAACGTAGAGTATACTGTATAATACTATGGCCATTAGCCAAGTTTTAGCCGATTTCACCAGTAACCCATTTACCATATTGGTCTCATTCTACTTTCGAGTGTTATTGACGTTAAGGCTAAATATAGTAACAATCTATTTTTAACTTTCTTGAAGGCCTAACATACAAAGAATGTATTTGACGTCAACGCTACGTCAATTCTGGTCAATACAATACACAAGTCAGTCAGTATTCGTGTCAGTGGTTCATACTTCACTTGATCCGTAACCTGACTTGATACAGTCCCCTAGGGGGCAACGCCTTATAATGTAAATTTTCTTGTCTACTTCGTACCCATAAGAGAAGTAGTCGCAACTATAGTTTATTATAAAAAAGAACAAGTTCTTATCTATTGTTGCCCGAATGAGCTTCACTGGTGTGGGGTGCAGGCTTCAAACCTGTAGCCGATTAGCGTCGGAGCGGTTCAATTCCGCCTTTCGGGCGAGTACAAATTAACTATTATACTGTACTATGGGAATCAGGTCTTGAATATGGACTCATTCATTGTCCATGACTAAACTAGCCCATAGTCAGTCAAAATTTTACTCGAACTACAGCACTAAAGTTCGAAACAAAAATTTAAATTCTTGCCTTGGCTAGCTATTTACAGCTCAACTCTAGTAGTTAACCCTGAATACAAATTACTACGACTAGCCCATAGTGGGTTCAAGTTTTTACCCTAACTACGGCACCATAGCTCGAGTAGGAAACGGAAGCTTTTTCCCTTGCCTTGGTCACCTATTTACAGTTCATAATTATATTAATATATACTGTATGTCGTTTACCGTCGAGATAATCGGTTATTTTGCACGTCGAGATAATCGGTCATTTTGCAAAATAACCGATTATCTCGACGGCAAGCGATATAGATATATAATTTACAACTGATCCATCTGCAGTACAGGAGTCAAACCTGGATACAAACCACTTTGGGAATCAGATCTCGATCATGGATTCATCCATCGTCTATCACTAGCCCACCGTCGGCCAATGTTTTAACCTAGCTTCAACACCATAATTCTAGTAGACAAAGCTGAATATAAACTACGATGGGAATTAGGTCTTGACCATGGATTCATCCATCATCCATGACCAGCTAGCTCATAATTGGTCAACGTTTTACCCTAACTACTCGTACAGCACCATGCTCTAGTTCGGGCAGGAAACCAAAGCTGTTCCTCCTGCTTTGGCCAGCTCTCGTATTTATAGATGAACTCTCTGCAGTAGTCAAGTCTGATGATGACACTGTAATCATGACAGAGACGTAGACCGGTCGAGAGATTTACCCCCAAAAATGTCCATGCTATATTTTACAAAGTAGTTGATCCAATCGAGTAATAAGTCGATAGGAAAATCTTGATCAGACATGATGGATTAAGAATTGGGTAAGAGAAAGGAAAGCATCATGAAGAGGATTAGTACAGTACATGATGTAATCGATTCTGTAGCTAGGATAATCTTACTATTGCAGAAGCGCAGTTCAGACATGATGAATACTGTCAACGGGTCGAGAATTCAGTCAAGAAAGTTTCTTCTTATAGAAATACAAGAAAACATCATGAATAGAGCTAGTGTATAAAGCAATCGATTCCGCATCCAAGACAACATACTTACACATCGACGGATCGACAATTCGGTCAAGAAAATTTCTTCTTACAGAAATGCAGGAAAACATCATAAATAGAGCTAGTGCACGAACTAATCGACTCTTCAGCTAGGATAATCTTAAATCAGACAGAACGAAGACAGTAGATTAGTCGAGAATTCGGCAAAGACAGGTTAAACATCATTAACGGAGCGCGTATATGGAGCAATTGATTCCGCATCCAAAATGATATAGTTGCGCATCGACGCTTCGAGAATTTACGAGTAGATTTCAATCCTGTTACACAATACGAGGGCATATCAAGCTTAACTTTCCAGTATAAGGTACACTTAATTAATACATCGCTATACACGTATTACAACTGTAAATAGGAATAACAACGGATATTGACTGTAACGGCCATAAAGGTTATTCCAATCATTGACCAATACGGTAGGTATTAAAAGCAAATGATATTAAAATTAGTCAATAGAGGATATTCCCTGTCCAATCGTCACTTTAATAATCATCACCTATAAATAGAAAGGCTTATTATTCTTACTAATTTATTAAACAAATTAATGTGGATCTATGCTCTAGTAGTTAAATCGATCGACAAACTATATCGCCTAGATAGCAACAATAGGTGGTAAATCAATTTATTTTGTGCCCAATATACAGCAATACAGCATTAGTAATTAGAAGTTACTTACCGATATTTATTGACTAACGCCTTTCTAAACTAGTCCAATCAACGATATCAAAATTATTTTTGATACAAATATTCTTAATTAGTTGCACATGCCTCACTTTTAATAATGACAGTTTCTATTGATAAACTACGATACAATTGAGTCCTTATTTTCAACTTTAGTATTTGATCAAATGATACGGTAATAACTAAAAAAATCACAAAAGCTACAATGGACGCGTTTTTACCATATTCGTACACAGATGGACTTCATAGTATCATTGATAACTTTATTCTGCTGGAACGGGTTATAATCATAATATCATCTATCTATAATAATAATAATTCGCTATTAACTTAAAGTCAGTTTTGTGACAGTTTCTGTTATGTTTTTAAGCAATGAGTTCTACTACGCGAGTAAGATTTATAACTAACTTTATTATTGAAAATGCTGGGTATTTATAGATATTCCAGCGTGTACCTTTTGCCTTTTTGCGTCGTGGCATTTTACATATACATCTAATTACTATTATAGCTATCGTTCAATTTCCAACATACGCATAAATATAATAAATTATCAGTCCACCTTTTACACTATAATCATGTACGGTATTACAAGACTACATACTAGTCATCATATTATTAGTACTTATATAGACGATATATTCTAATCACATACTTGACGCTCTATCTAATAGCTAATGTAACATATATCGTAATATCTAACACTATTTACTACAGTTTCTAATCAGAAATTGCATCATTTTTACAATCACGTATATCAAGTTTAGGTATTATCTCCACATTTGTCTAATCACTCTATTTCAACTGCAAATAGTTATAGTAGTGAATAGTCAGCGAAACAAAATAATTTACTTGGGTAGTCTAGTGATAACAGTCAAACCAGGACAGGCGAAGAGTTGACATCGTTCATGGTTAATGTCTCATAGTAATAATCAACATGTTGTAAGCATGCGGTTTTTACAAATGACACACGAATCTTCTAGTAGATTTACGTCAA